AGGTGATCGAGGAAAAGTCGGAGGGTAGGTTCAAGGTATAGCAAAAGCCCCAGGCTTTTTGTTGCAAGAAAAGAAGCACGCTCAAGGGATATCGAGATAAAAAAGCGAAAAAGCGAATAAAATCAAAGCTTGCTGGATGGAATGGCGTATGCGAAATGTATGCCATGCAAAAGAGATGGAGGGAAAATGAGTTGGAAAAAAGCGGAAAATGTGATGGAACTGATTAGTTCTCAGTCTTCTCTTGAACCGGCCTTAACACAACAGGTTCAGCTCTCTGTACCTCGGCGGGATGCTGCTCAGCGGCCTGGCGAGGAGCAGGAGCGATCTTGATTTCGTGCATGCCGATGTCACCTTCACTGCCGCCGCGGCTGCTCTGGCTGATCTCACCATTGGGCGAGTGGCCCTCAAGCATCTCCTCACGCGGCGCGCCACCGAGCATCATCTCGCTGTGTTCGCCAATGCCGTAGCGCTGCGCGGCGGGGACCTGGTGGCCATCTGCGAGCTGGTCGTGGTTCTGGGGGGTCCAGGCAAGGTAATCACGGCGGACCTCGACGTAATCGTAGGCGAACTCGCCGAGTTGGTCGTCGTCCATACCGAGCAGCTCGGCTTCCTCGGAGGCGCGCAGGTTCAGGCCGGGAATGGCGTTGATTGCGTAGGCGATAATGGCGGACATGACGAAGGAGTAGGAGGCGGTCGCGACGATGTAGGCGATCTGAATGTACAGCTGCTTGTAGTTGTGGATGACCCAGCCGCCGACACCGGTGCCGGTGTTAACACCGTCAAGGCCAACAATGGCATCGTCAGCGAACAAGGCGTTGAAAAGCAGGCCAACAATTCCGGCAATTCCGTGCTCTGCCAACACATCCATAGAATCGTCGATCCGGATCCAGTACTTGATCTTGGTTGAGTAATTGCAGACGATACCGGTCACAATACCGAGGATAACGCTGGCCCAGGGAGAAATAAATCCGGAGGCGGGTGTTGCAGCTACCAATCCAGAGATAGTACCGGAACACCAGCCGACCATCGACCACTTGCGAGCCAGACGCCAATCGAGGAGAACCCAAGTGATGGCGGCGAAGGCACCAGTCAGGTTGGTGTTCCAGGATGCCATAGTTGCGCGCAGGTTAGCTCCGAATGAGGAACCACCGTTGAAACCGAGCCAGCCGAACCAGAGGAAGACAGTGCCGAGGAGGATGAGAGAGACGTTGTGTGGGCGGAAGTTGAGCATCATGCGTTCCTGTCGGCGACCGAGGACCATCGAGTAAGCCAGAGCTGTGAAACCGGAACCAATTTCGACGGGACCACCACCGGCATAATCCAGCACGCCGTACTTGAATGCCCAACCATTGACGTTCCAGACCCAGCAGGCAAGCGGACAGTAAACGATAGTAGCCCAGATGAAGACGAAAACCATGGCAGGAAGAAGGCGACCGCGTTCAGCTACAGCTCCCATGACAATGGCTGCAGTAACACCACAGAATTGCATCTAGACATTCACAATCAGCATTGGCCTAGAAACCAACAAACAAAACCAGATCAGTGATTTCCAATGTTCGATCTTACCTGATAGAACGCGTAAAGCAAGTTAGGGACCAGTGGAGACCCAGGGCTTGGATCAGCCAATGTTTTCATTAAACCAAAGTTGCGCAAGTTGCCGATATAACCGTTGGTCGCAGTCGGGGAGAAAGCAAGCGAATAACCCCAGAAATACCACTGGAAGGTCACGATAGAGAAGGAAGCCATACAAGCCCAGATCATACTAAGGGCAGACTTTCGACGAGCCAATCCCGAGTACAAAAAGCCGAGACCGGGAATCATAATCATGACCATGGCCGAGGCCACGATGATGTAGGCCTGGTCGCCAGATTGAAACCATTTGTTCACATTTTCGGTGCCTAAGTGGGAACCCATGTTAGACCATCATTTTCCCTTTTTCACACCGAGATAGGATAGACGCATACGGGAATCGCCGCCCAAGTCTTTGTTGGTCGAAAGGTCGTAGTTGGAAGGAGCTCCAATCCAGTTGTAGGAGGCATAGTCCGGGGCGTACGGGGCTTTCCCGCTGAACGCCATTGTTGAAGAAGCTCGTAGCTTTGAAGTTGAAGGTGCGTAAAGATGGGGTTATAGCGAAAGGTGGAGTGTGGAGGAAAAGAGAAAAAAAAATAAGGATGTTCCAGAAGTTAAGGAAGAGAGAAGAATTCGCCACGAATATAAAAAGTCAGGAAACCCGAACTCTTCGAACCAAAAATCCAAAAATCCAAAGATAAGTCGATCGACACTGGTGGGTCTGGTCCAAACCGAATGGTAAGCAAAAAATCAATTCACAGTTCCAACGCAATTCAGCTAAGAAAAAAAACACTGCCTAGTCAGAGAGAAAAAGTTAAAAAAATGAGCATGAAACAGTCTCCCCATAAAATTTTGATAGGAAGGCGCGGTTAGGAGGAGAAAATCGGACGATAGTTGAAAAAAAAAAGGTGGTTAAAGTGGTCAATGTGGTCTTGGTCAGAGATTGTGACAATAGCAATGGGATAATCCCGAAAATACTAATATCCCCTCTCTCTCTCTTTCTCCAGTCAGGTCTTCAGGTCAGGTCTTGGATATATAAAGTTTGCATTTGTTTTTCTGTATAGATAAATTAACATAATAACACATTGCTATGAACCTCGTCATCCCCGGCGTAGAGGGCCGCAAAAGGCCGCAACGATAGGGTGGCAAGGGATGATAAGTATGGGGTTTCCCCTGCCAATAGGTCAAGTCTTGGCCTTTGAGGGATATACCTGCGCACTGGGAGATTACATGTAGATTATGATCCCATGTACTCCGTACTCCGTACTCCGGACCATTTGAGTCCCATTCGGCAGGTGACTCAACTCCGGGGAATAGTTCCTGGGGTTCTTTCGGGGAAGTAGATTTCACAGCCTCTGCGGACATGGGTCTACTTCTTTTATATCTTTTAAAAGGAGAACTCTTCATCTAAATAAGATAACCTATGTACTCCGTCGATAGCCTAGATAGCTTATCATCAATATCCTGCAGCTACCCCCTCTTCCTGTATACATTAAGAGTCGGGGAGTTCCCAATTCTGGAGCCTTCGGAAAGGAATAAAGGAGCTTATCTTCTTCTCGGAAATCAGAGCTTCAAATTCCATAAAATTCCTATCCGCCACCAGCAATTGGACGAGTGACGCTGTATTCTTATGGATGTGATTGGCTACAGATAAAGTCCAACTTGCCACTCGCGCTAAGTGGGTCCTGACCGTAAGCTAAGCCTTTCCCGTTTTGTGTTAGCGCATCGAAGTGGGAATGAGCCAACGATTGGCGACAGATAAGGTCTTCCCGTTTCGCCTCTTGGACTTTTCTTGGCTTTCCGTTTTTTCCCGATCCCGGGTCCGGCAGGGATCTGCCTGGACTTTGATTTTCTTCGCCGTGTTCGGATCAATCCAGGGTTACCACCGATGCCGGAGCCTTGACCCTATCTTTGCACTGCGAACTATGGAATTCAATGGACAATTCATATACAATATATTCAAAATTTATACGGAGTAGAGGAGACGAATATTGTCATATTGACGTGTTTTTTATCTGTATATTCAACATACGTTGGAGGAAGAATTCACCCTATTTCCCTCATCGGTTCTTCTGCAGTAAGGATCCACTCCTGTGGGGGTCTTCAGCCTCCATCTGGGCCGAAACAATTCTCCATACATTTTCACTGTCAGGGTACGGAGTACTCCGGACAGAGTATTTATAGCGATGCTAATTTCCAAGGTTGGATAACTCCAATGCTATATGTCTTTAGGTATGGCAGACGCTCTATGATTTGATTGTACGGAGTATACGGAGTGTTTGTATAATATTGTACAACATACCTGGCTTTTGAGCCAAAAAAAAACCCCAAAAGGTCAGAAGTACGTACGGAGTACATTATCAAACATATATATTGCTTTAAAAGACACAAGCTACGATACGCACAAAATCTCAACTATACCACTCTATACCAAAAATCAGACCCCAATACACGTACTACCACCACTACAATGATACAAAATAACGAATACTTAATTTAGATGGAAGATTAGAAGAATTTAAGAATAGTCGACCATGGATGTGGTCTGGTCAATAATGTCTCTTAGTAGTTCGTATATTTTATTAAATATCATCTCCCCTTTCCAAGTCTTTCTTCTTTTCATGGACTTCCTAAAGCTTCAATTGCATCCCTCCTACCTGTAACCTTCCTTGGACGAATGCACCAATCAGACGGGACCGCCCAGGTGGGTCTTCCTTTGATTTTGCTTATAGCGCACATTTTAGCCAAAACTCACAATACAGCGGCCGGCTGGCCCAATGGCAAGGCGCTTGACTACGAATCAAGAGATTGCAGGTTCGATCCCTGCGTCGGTCACTAACTTTTTGCTTCCACAAGATATCTATTCACTTAGCAATATTTGTTTTTGCTCCATTGGTAAGTAAGGATATCAATCGCGGTGGTATAAGCAATCGGGAAGCCAGGGAAAGGAAACTGAAATCAAAAGAATTAGGAAACATACACAGTTTCCAGGAAGCGTACGCTCCGTAAAGTGTGAACGAACTTCGCTTTCGGACAGCTATGTACTTTAATCTTTTCTATATGACGGCTCATAGAACAGCCATGTTTTGCGGAGAAATTAGTCCCAACTATTTTAACCCACGAGCAATATAGAAATGGAATCGGAGAATGATCAAAGAAAGAGTCTCTCCTGGAACTCCAAAGTAAATTGCAAATGGTATCAGCTCGATCACGATGATAGAAAATGTGTATCTTTCCGCTAAGCAAAAGTTCCCTAAAGGAGACATTGATGAAATGGTGCAAGAGCCCTGGATTGTCAAAATTCCGCCCCCTCAGAGTCAGTCGAAATAAATCCTCCGCGTTTCTTCATACTTTCCTAGCTTATGATCTCTACTTTATAATTGCAAAAGAGGTCAGCCGTAAAACTTGGAACCAAACTGGGACTAGAAAAACTACCAGCGCTTCCATAAAGGCAGCCATGAATTCTTTTTCATCGACGAAAAATCTGGGTGCTCTGAGTGCTCTGGGTCAAATATCTGGGCAAGTTCGTAGTCGATCCAGAGTACCCGATCAGAATCACCCTGGATCAGCATGTTTTGGAAATAAGGATCAAGGTGTACAATCCCAGCCTCATGAATGTCCATCAGGAGCTGGTGGAATTTGCGAGCTCTTTCCTCTGTATAGTTAGAGATGTCAAAAATGTTCACATCAGGAACATATTCCATCAGGACACCATTTGGGCGAGCCTCGGGATCGTGACCTTGAGGGAAAGTTTTGTCATAGAATTCCTTGAGCTGAGGTTGCCAGCCCTTTGCCTCGGGGTCAATATTCTCAACCATCCCATAGAAGTCAGGCACAGATCCTCGTTCACAAAAGCCTCGGGCCTTCAATCGACTATATGTGCGGCTCTCATTTTTGAAAAGGTCGATGGAGCGGAACGGTGGGTCCCACCTCCGCCATCTATAAGGAGCGAACTACCAGACCTGTTAGAGAGATCACAGGTGCACTGTGACTTGTTCCCTTACCACTTTGAGCACACAGTCCTTGTCTTGCCAGCGGGCTCGGCACAGAAAGGCCCTATCAGTCTGTTTGATGATCTCAACGAATTTCACATCATCAATGTCAATATTAGATGCATTATAGTCTGAAGACATCTATCTTTTTTTTCCAAGGCAAGAAGTATTGAAGCCAAGTAAAATATTGGAAGACAAAGGAGAAGGGATAAAGGGATGGATGCCTTTCAAATATCAAGTGGCAGGATATGGCAAAATGAGACTGATTGTATCTCTTCCTGCAACATAAGCGCACCTTAAGCTACCTAGCAAAGGCCTTTTCATTATGTGCGTTGGTCACAGCGTTTTGCTCTGAGTGTATTGTGCTAGCATTGCCAATGGTTTTTTATTTATAAGCCAAGTGTGACTCCAGGGCTTGTTATGGAACTTAATACTCAAAGCTATATTGAAAATGGATGTGTACCTTGTGATGGCGCTTCCAGTTATTGTATGTGCGTGGAGTCACAGCGTTTAGCTCTAAGTGGGTACTAACATTGCCAATGACCTTCTCCATTTAGAAGTCACAGGTGTGACTTGACAAGGGCTTGATGCTCAAGCTACAGACCCACTAGTAGTGACAGTGCGTGGGCGCTTCCAAAATGTGTGTTGGTCACAACTTTGAGTGTGTTCTAAGGCTATGCTAACATTGTCAATGATTTCATTTAGTTATCTACAACAAGTAACAAGAATCGTCGCTCGCTTGTGCGGCCTTGTGACGTCTTTTTGGTTAGTCTTTTTATATGCACCTATACGTACCGGATTTTCCCTGGCGGGTGGGGCTTTCCTATTTGAGCTGCCGCCGCTTTTATGAGGGTGCTCAGGCTCAGGCTCACTGAGTAGATGTCAGCACGGGCTCAGATCAAGTGATCATGCTCAGTGCAGTCACGTACAGCATGACTGATCCTCAGTAAGCGCTCAGTGAGTGCTCAGTGGATGCTCACTGATTACCCAGTGATGCTCAGTGTCCAATCAGTGAGCAACACAGATTCCCTCAGCACGCCACAGCACGCCGCAGGCTTAGACTGCGACATCGCCCATGGACGGACTGGTGGGCATTGCCCATGTGCCTTATGTAAGCGGACGATGGGCACTACTTAGGTAGCCGCTCCCGAACTCCCAAATAGGAAACCCTGTTCCGTAGACGACGTACATGCGTACCTGGTTGGGGGCAAACAAAAACAGTAAGGTACCAATGCATGATCACGTGTGTCAGAATCCAAGTCAAACGAACATGTCACGTCAACAATCAGCGTGAGGTTTGTCGATGGCAAAGGGATTATACCATCGAACCCACATCACACATAGAGACGCCCAGGATGACAAACAAGAGTGAGAAGAGAAAATCTGTTAAATACATATGTATGCTTGTGTTGCCTTTATAGATTATCTGACTCTTTCGCGGCAGATCTTTGGGAAGAAGCTATTAAGCAACTCAACAAAAAACTTCAAGCGAAGATTGAATTTCGCAAAAAAGAATTGGTAGACCTCGAAAGCGTAGTAGCCAGCGCCGAAGAAAAAAAGGAAGAGTTCGCTAGTAAGAGATCCGAGAAATTGCATCAGGTTTTTGGCCGGGTGGTGCAACGACTTTCGAAGTTCAAGGACATCGGTGATTCCGTGGCTGCAATCGAACCCACCCACCTGGCAATCCCCTGGGCAGCAATTAAGCTAGTTCTTCAGGTTCGTGCACAAGTGATTTCTTCGGATCTCTAGGGTTGAAGATGCTAACCTGGTGGCGGATGCTAGATTTCAGTGAAGGATTTTGAAAATAATGAGACTGTGTGTGAAGGAATTGAGATTTTCTCCGGCTTGGCTCCACGATATGCCTTATTTGAGCGTTTGTACTTGAATCACACGTTCCCTCTTCAAGATATCTTGGAAAAGGCATTGGTCAAGCTATATGCTACAGCGCTGAAGTACCTCCTCAATGCGGAAGAGTACCATACCACGAAGGCCTTTAGTATGTTTTCCCCTTCCTCTGAAAAGAATGCCTCCAAGCTTAACCGCCAGGATTACTCACCTTTGAAAATCAAATAGAGCGAATTTCCAAGGGCTTATCGTTTGCTTATGATGGATTTAATGGATGGATGGGTGAGATCCAAGAGCAACAGCGAATTGCAGACGAGTCAGCGCGATTAATTGACGCCTGGGGTAAATGATCTTGCATAGATCTCTATTCACCAGCTATAGCTGACTTTGTTCTCCCTATGCAGCTAGCAGAGATAAAATGGACTCGATCGAGGGAGAACAAGTTGCTCTGAGAGAAGGCTTGGAGTATTTCCACGAGCCTATCCAATTTATCCGAGATGGCTTGGTCAGCCTGGCGAACAGCTACACAGGTAACTTGAACTTCGGTTTAATTACTGGTTTTAAGCTGACCCTGTATTTCAATGTACAGAGCATGAAAAAAACGAGAAAGAGCGCCGGATCCTCAAGTGGCTAACTCGCCTCCCCCTGCACGAGGTTCATAAACAGAAGCTAGAGGCTCGTCTGCCTGACTCAGGGCACTGGATATTCGAGGAAGAGAACTACAAGCAATGGCGCGTCTCCAGCAAATCAGCTCTGTTATGGCTCCATGGACTCCGTAAGCTCTACGTTGGTCCCATTCATCTTCAAGCAAACAAAGTACTAACTTGACTCTCAGCGGCCACGGGCAAGAGTACATTGATGTATGTCTGACTTTTCTCCCGGCTGATTGTGACAATAACAAGCCAATATTAATTGTAATCCAGGTCCACGATCATTAATGGCCTCCAGGCCAAACACGCGCATGCGCCAGGAGGCCCTCTTGCCTACGCCTTCTTCTCGCGCAACGATTCCGATCGACGTTGGCAAGACCCCGGGATTCTAGTGTGCTGCCTAATTGCACAGCTCGCTCGCCCAGGACACTCGGCCCCATTGCGTGGAGAAGTAATTCGCAGCTATGAGAAGATGGTGAATGAAGGGGGCGATATCGCAGTCGCAGAAGGAGCACGTCCTACATGGAACGATGCAATCCAGCTTCTCTTTGAACTAATAGACCAGGGCACTACCACGATCTGCATTGATGCAATTGATGAGTGTGCTGAAGATCTCCGTGGTGATTTCCTTGATTTGATTGATCGTCTATTAACTAGAGTAGATGGGGGGCGAGTCAAAATCCTCATCTCTAGTCGTCCGTCGCTAAAGATTTTGGATCGATTCCCCTTATGGCCATCCGATAGCATTGATGTGGGCCAAAGCGGTGCAGACCTTCAGGCCTATGCTCGGTATAGAGTCGCGGAATGCGTCAAAAGGATGAGGCAACGTACTCGCTCTGTTCCGGATAATTGGGAGGAAAGGTTAATACAGCAGCTGGTAGAGGGCTCTCAGGGAATGTAAGTTCACAAACCTTTCTCCATCTTTCGTTCATTAGATTTGGTAAGCTTATGAAAGTAGGTTCCTCTGGGTCAAGCTGCGCGCCAATATGCTACTTCTCCAGTCTGACAGTACCATCTTTGAGGGGGATTTGGACCAGGGGCCATCCGGAGATCTGCCTAGAGCCCTGCTTCAGCTTTTTGAAACCATCTACAACAGAATTATCGCAAGTAGTCCACAAGGATCAATAACACGTCAAGCAGTTTTGACTCTGTTACGGTGGCTATTGTGCGCACAGGCCCCTGTCACAGCAGAGGATCTCATCCAGGCCCTCACAGCCTTTATAGGAAGAGACAGGATTGGCTCCGATATACACGTCGCAAATATCACTGTTTCTATGGTACTTGAGAGCTGTCAAGATCTGGTGGTAGTTGATAAAGACAGCAACCAAATCCGCTTCGTCCACACATCAGTGGGTGATTTTCTCAAGCTTAAGGATGGGATGCAGTCTGAAGAACAACATGCAGCAGTGGCCAATCTATGTTTAGCCACAGTGCAGAACCTGGCGTTAGAACCACGGGCGGCCTCCTCTTTGCCCCGCAGCAAGTTTCACTACTATGCAGTGCTGTATTGGGCCTTGCACGTAGGGCAGGCAGGTCAACAGCATCAAATCCAGACCGTACATGATGCATTGGATGATCTGTGCCAAGAGCAGCCGTGGTTTAAATCCTGGCTTCCCGAGATTCGGCCTGCTTCTTCGCTCATTCTCTGTTGGGATGATCCTCATAAAGACAAGATCATACAGGCTCTTAGCTCGCCAGCCACATCGTTTTTCACTGCCTGTGCGTTTGGATTCACCAAAGTTGCTCATCACTGCATCCAGTCAAACACAAATCTAATCTGCCAGGTGAACGATATGGGTGCTACAGGCCTGCACCTCGCCGCTGAATATGGCCACAAGGAGATTGCCGAAGCGCTCTGTGAGGCAGGCGCTGATGTAAATTTCCTTGATACCAACGGCGAGACCCCTCTGGTTCGCGCTGCCGCGGGCGGCTTCAAAGCCCTGGTCTTGATGTTGCTGGAGAAACGCTCCAAAATACAAACTCAGGGCCGGCGGTATGGAACAGCGCTACATAGCGCTGCTCTCCATGGCCATTTAGATATAGTTGAGATTCTTCTCAGTCATGGAGCGGATATCAAAATAACTAGTGGCCAGTTTGGCACAGCTCTACATGCAGCCTGCCTTCGCGGCCATGAGGGAGTAGTCAGGCAGCTTCTCGACGCTAAGGCGGATATAAACGCACCAGGCGGGGTAAAAACCGATGCACCCGATGAGCCTGCTGATCGGCCTACAGCGGAGGCCAGTCTAGTCCTTGCTATCCATGATGTACCGAAACGTCAACATGTTTCTGAGGATGACGAGGAGAGTTTATATGGAAACATGTTGGAAGAGTTGAAATTTGAGTTATTACTGGATCGAGGTGTGGATGTTAACATCTTACCGGGGGGCTTCGGTCCACCATTGCATACTGCGGCTCGAGCGGGCCATGAGGCGGTCGTCAACATACTGCTAAGCCATCCTATGATATCCATAATTTGTGAAGGTGGCGAATATGGCACTGCGCTGCAGGCTGCCGCTATAGCTGGCCGCACTAGCATTGTTGAGCGACTTCTTGTTGCTAAATCCGACCCTAACACGCAAGCTGGGAAGTATGGTACAGCGCTGACAGCAGCTTGCCGGCAGGGAAATCTCGCGGTTGCGGAGCTTCTGTTGAAGTCAGGCGCTGCAATAAACATTCAAGCGGGCGTCTATGGCACTGCCCTGCATGCAGCATGCCGTAGTGGTAATGAAATTCTGGTCCAGCGCTTATTGGACTCTAAGGCTGATGCAAAACTGACTGGGGGCGATTATTGCACAACCTTACAAGCTGCTGCCCGGGATGGATATGATCGTATAGTGCGTATTTTACTCAAGCATGGTGCCGATGTCAATGTCGAGGGTGGAACCTTTAAGAGTGCGCTCCGGGCCGCCGCGTTGCGCGGCCACCAGAAGGTGGTGGAGATTCTGTGCAAGGCGGGGGCTAAATTGGACGGTGCTCTGCAGTTGGCCTGTTTAGGTGGCTACCAGGCAGTGGCTGAAGTTCTCTTGGCCTATGGATCAGACCTGATGGGCCCTGTGAATGGGGATACGCCGCTACAAGCTGCTATAGCGCGACGTCACCACTCCCTCGCGCGATGGCTACTTGATAAGGGGGCAAAAGCTACTGATTCCGAAGGGAGATGGGGCACAACCCTCCAACTTGCAGCCTTGGCTGGGGAGGTGGAGTTCGTTGGCATCTTTCTCGGGCAAGGGGCAGATCCCTGGAAGGAAAACAATAACCTCGATGTGAATGTCGTGGAGGAGCTCGACATCAAGCTACCAACTGGGAAGTATTCCACATATCCCATAGTATTTGCGGCAGCAGGAGGCCACAGTCAGGTTGTCACCCTTTTACTAGATGCGCGACTACCCAAAGTCCCCAATGATCATGACAACTTCGACAAGTCGGATCGCCCCAGGTCTTCCATCAAATCCGCCGTGCGTGATGCACTGCTCGTGGCACTGGAGACAAACCAAGAGGCATTAGTTAGTCTACTGTTGAATCGTGATGTACCAGTTGATCTCGCCACTGTTCATCACGCATTTCGCGTTTCAAATCCCAATGTGGTAGTCTCCTTGCTAGAAATGCTGGGCCAACGTACTTCGGATCAGGAAAGATACAAGCAAAGCATATGGGCAATTTCCAAGGCGGCTCTCTGCAAAAAGCTGGAGCTCATGGACCTACTGCTGCCATGGGTCACCCAAACCACCCATTTTGACCCCACAGATCTGGAAAAAGCTCTACAGAATGCTGTTTGTTGCGAGAATTTGGAGATTGTCAACAAACTTCTTCAGTATGGTGCGAGTCCTACTAGCCAATCCGACTCCCTCACTCAGTCCAACCCGAGCCCGACACCTACCGATGAGCACAAAGACATTTTACTTTCCCTGGTCAATATCACTCACGAGAAGAACGAGGAAGCTCTTCGACAGGCCGCACATAATGGCGAGGAAGACATAGTGACCCTCCTGCTAGACAGTGGCGTTGACGTAAATGCTGAAGGGGGTCCTTATGGTACCGCGGTGCAGGCCGCAGCCAAAGGGGGCCACGAAACCATAATCCAACGGCTCATCAGTGCCGGGGCCAACCTGCGCTGTCAAGGGGGGCCACCTGCACATTGGGAGACAGACGATCTATCATTTGAATGGACAGGAACTTCCAAAAAGGTTAAACAGCGGTACGAGACAATCACCAAGAGGTTCAACGAGGCTGGCGTAACAGAACCGAGACGATGGCAAAATGGTTTATATGGCACCGCACTTCAAGCGGCTGCAATGACTGGAAATGTTAAAATTGCGACGATGTTAGTAGAGGCTGGTTCCGACGTCAATGATATCGATTCCCTCGGACAAACTCCACTGCACCGCGCGGTGTGCAACGACCATCTCTCTATGGTCGAGTTTTTGATGAGCATGGGAGGTGATTTCCAAGCTATAGATTGCGAAGGCTATACTCCCGTGCTTCTCGCGGTACTAAGGAGTCATCAAGCGATCTTCGAGAGTATTTTGGGCTCAGTGACCGAATCGAGTACCAGCTCTGCGATTATGAAGCAGTCACTGCATTTGGCGTCACAGAAAGGGCGTCATAGTATAATCAAATACCTGATTGATAATGAGATCGATTTAGAGGTGTGCGATGAATACGGCCAAACCGCATTGTTCATCGCCGCCTCGAAGGGTCAATGTTTCACGGTACGCCTTCTCATCGATAATGGTAGTGATATCAATCATCTTGCTCCTCGCCAGCGTACGGCTCTCCATGAAGCCGCCGAATCAGGTCATGACGACGTGGTCCGTCTGCTTCTGAGATCTGGGGCCAACATGCTTGCGGTGGACAAATATGGCCGGTCAGCATTGCATTGTGCCGCGGCGGGGAGCCATAGCAAAGTGGTGTATTTGCTCTTGGATGACGGTGTACCACCGAATCTACAGGATTACTCGGGCAAAACAGCACTGCACCTCGCAGTTTCTGAACCAAACCGCGAGATAGTCACCATGTTGCTCAACAAGAATGCCAACATCAATGCCAAAGATAACGATGGAAAGACACCCATTGAAAAATTAAAGCGATTCACTCATGATGGCCTCAGAGACTTGCTCATTAGTCGTGGAGCAACAGACACCAAAACTCGTGATGGATCGGCGTCTGCACCGGGGAACGTCAGCCGCAGATCTAAGCGTAGTAGCGAACCTTCCTCCAGCGCAGACATGGACAGCATGTATACCTATGAGTCTGGCAGTGATTTTTCTTCAAAAGCCTCTGCCGAGAATGGTCGTTCGTCAAGAGCCTCTGCCGAGAGTGGTCGTTCGTCAAGAGCCTCTGCCGAGAATGGTCGTTCGTCAAGAGCCTCTGCCGAGAATGGTCGTTCGTCAAGAGCCTCTGCCGAGAATGGTCGTTCGTCAAGAGCCTCTGCCGAGAATGGTCGTTCGTCAAGAGCCTCTGCCGAGAATGGTCGTTCGTCAAGAGCCTCTGCCGAGAATGGTCGTTCGTCAAGAGCCTCTGCCGAGAATGGTCGTTCGTCAAGAGCCTCTGCCGAGAATGGTCGTTCGTCAAGAGCCTCTGCCGAGAATGGTCGTTCGTCAAGAGCCTCTGCCGAGAATGGTCGTTCGTCAAGAGCCTCTGCCGAGAATGGTCGTTCGTCAAGAGCCTCTGCCGAGAATGGTCGTTCGTCAAGAGCCTCTGCCGAGAATGGTCGTTCGTCAAGAGCCTCTGCCGAGAATGGTCGTTCGTCAAGAGCCTCTGCCGAGAATGGTCGTTCGTCAAGAGCCTCTGCCGAGAATGGTCGTTCGTCAAGAGCTTTTGCTAGGCGCGCTAGGCGTGCTAGGGATAGTAGAAATGTTAATCAAGAGGAGGACAAAACAACGGATGATGATGTCGATGATGAATACGATGCATATCAAAGGGCCAAGATGATGATGGAGGTACAGTACATCACGACCAAGATGATTATGGAAGTACACATGGCCACAATCACGAGGATGATGGTAATGATGCTGTTGATACTTGTGGTAATTGCCGTGATGTGCACCACGCTAATGAGATGATATTACCTTGGTTCATACATGGAGGGATCGAAATGCAACTAGCACAGCTAATGAGATAATTACACTCTGCTCTGCCACTTTGTGCTCTCGGCTCTAGAGAAATAAGACTTGTACGGGTGTTCTGGTCGAATCCTTTCTCCTGAGTAGGCTTAATTAATAGAGGCATGCATTACAGTCGTCAGTTCTAGATAGACTGGAGCGGTTGTGTGATTAGGAAGATGAAAATAACACAACATTAGAAATTATAGTAGGTACTCTTGTAAATAGTAAGTGTTTATAAAGAATCCAATTACTCGGTGGAATTCCAGCACCTGAAAGGTATGGAACAACAGATTAGGGCCGTTCCGACATCAGAGCTACATGCGATATGGTCAGGGACCATGGAAAAGAAATAAAAAGAGAGAAAAAAAGCCAGCAGGCACTAGATGTTTCATGAATGAATCACTAGCCAGTGTTTGCGATCGTGGATATATTCCGTCAATTCATGAACATCTCGAAGCCAACTATAAGAGGGTTATGTTAGAGGCTCGTCCTGTTCGTGAAACTGCCGGCCCCCAGTGTAGATTTGGTCTCTAACTTACAGCTCGTTACTATGATCGTGCAGTAGTACTACAGGGGCTGATAGCAGCCCCAGCAGCCCTGTGTGGACAACGCAAGTTAAAATTGTACAGGTTGCAAAGGATCGGTTAGCTGAAAGACAAACCTCGAAGCCTGAGGCTTTCTAGAAAAAGGTAAAAAGACACGGTCAGTATATTATCGAGACGAGAATAGATTCGACAAGAATAAGAGATCTCACCTGACCACACGGACAACTCGGTGCCTCGTTTTGGCACACAGTAGCGCAGAACGTGGCTTGAGATTGAGAAGTAATTCCCAGACAAAGGATCGCAAGGACCAGTCATAAGGGAGACCCTTGCTAGGCAGTGATAAGACCAGTTAGACACGCCACGAATCGACTGTACTCTCCAGGGCTATGCCCAACATCACATGGAGTTCCTTTACCAATCCTCCCCTTTTGTAAAGAGAATGGGATAGAAAGCTTAAAGGAAATCCTTTTTTGGCCCCGGTCCAATGTGTTTTATTTTCCAAGCTTGTTTACATGGTAAACGACAAGATTTTAAAAGTCGAGAGATTTTCTTTGCTTAGTATTTTCACTTTTGCAGAATCAGGCAACTACTTAATACCCTGGGGGTATTGGTGGGCTGGGACGTGGATATTTTGCATTCTGATGGCCTTTGCGCCTAGCTGCCTGGGATGGCGGATGACGTTGGAACCGGTACCCCTATAAAGCGACCTTATAGGAAAGCTAGACCCCATCACGACTTCGATTCTATTAGAGACGATGTCCAAATTTTGGAATCGAGTCGGGTCGTAGGTCTCAGTAAGGTACACAGCGAGGCAAATGCGGTATTTCCGAATGAGGCTCATCCTCACACTCAGTGAGCACTCAGTGATCAAATCAGAGTGCTCAGATGATGATCAGTGAGTGGATCAATTGATTATGTAATGGCCAGTGATCAAGTCGAGATACTCAGGGACGTGCTCAGTTTTACTCAGTGATCAAAAAGCGGCAAGGGGTGAGCACTAAAACGGAAAGAGAAAGGTCCCGAGTACCAAGAGGCATTGTCCGGTACATATGTCTTTTGAGCTGGTCTTTTTAGATGTATGTGAAGATGGTAAAAAAAAACATACTTTGTGCAAAAGACTGGTCTATGTATAAACAGGGATTATGCAGATGGGCGTACGTCACTGCTTAGGAATATGTTTCTTGCACGATATATGTCACGTCTCAAAGAGCATCTGACAACACATTTTGAAAACCTTCAAAAAGACTACGAAAAAAAGACAAGACAAGGCCGCATAAGTGGCTGGCTATGTGGGAAAACACATATATGCCGACAACCGACCATTCTATTATGTATATGGGGGATATCAATCCAAATATGATAAACTACACACGCCTATGCCATGGAAACCTCTAAAATCGTAACAGGCAATCCGAACCGTACACTTGTTGTATCGGTAGATCAGACATTGACGCTATAACCGGAACCCATACCGCGCCGACGACGGATCGCATGTAGATACTTGCGGCCTTCATCCACCCAGAACACCGAACTGGCAATGAGGAACAGCTTGACCAGGGATCCCAAGCTGAGAGCCTCGGTCTGGAAGATGCGCTGTAGGAAGGGTAGGTAGATCACGCAGGCCTGGCCCGCCAAGGAGCCGAGAACAGCGTAATTGAACATTTTGTTTCCAAACAGTGGCATTTCACCACGCAGGACCGACTTGCCCTCGCTGCGGCAGCTCAATGCGTTGAACATGTCGAATAGAACAAAGCAGGTGAATGTCATGGTGGTGTCGTGCGCAGTGACGACGCGAGAGCGCTTTTCGACTGGGCTGCCGTCGGTGAGATCGCCCATTTCATGGATGTAGATCGACAACGTGCCGATCATGATGATCATAGCCGAGGTGAGGACGCGCTGGATCAGAGGTTTGGTCAGAACACGGGCTGTCTTGGGTCGTGGTGGGCGGTTCATGATGGTAGGGTCGACGGGCTCGACGCCTAGAGACTGGGCGGGAGGGCCATCCATGAGAATATCTGGAATGATTGTTAGAAAAATACAGGAGATGGAATCAGATATAGGTGAACTCACTGATCCACAAGATCTGCATAGCATTCAGCGGATTCTTGAAGCCAAGAGTCGTGCTCAGCAGTACAAGACTGAGTGCAGCCACACTGGTACTAAGCTGGAACGTAATGAAGTTCTGGATGTTATAGAAGATGCCCTTGCCCTGTTCAATTGCCTGCAAGATGGTCGAGAAGTCGTCGTCCGTCAGGATCATATCCGCTGCCTCCTTGGCAACGTCAGTGCCGAGCTTGCCCATGGAAATACCTATGTCGGCTTTCTTCAGAGCGGGCGCGTCATTGACACCATCGCCAGTCATGGCAACTACATCGCCGCGGGCTTGAAGTGCTGTCACAATCTTCATCTTGTGATCTGGGCTCGTACGGGCAAAGATCGAGACTGTTGAGATCGCCTGTGAAAGTTCGGCAGCAGTCATACGGTCGAGTTCGTCGCCTCTGATGACCGATCGCGCATGCGGGGAATCGTTGACTGGCATCCCAAGCTTCTTCGCAATGGCCACAGCTGTTGTCTCGGCGTCGCCAGTAATCATGATGATCCTGACACCACCATTCATCAAGCGTCGAATGGATTTGTGCACATCTTTACGCGGCGGGTCGTTCATACCCACCAGACCAGCAAAGACCAAGCCATTATACCGCTCGTCATCATCACCATGGACAATTTTCGGGGAAGACCGACTGCCAAAGCCTCTGCCACCCCTATACGTATCACGAACAACTCCACTGCCAAAAGCGAGGACTCGAAGACCCTCTAATGCCATATTCTCTGCCGCATCCCGAATGATTTTGCGACGGGGCTCGTCTAGAATTACTTCCCGACCATCCTTGGTGAGATAGGTATCAGATCGTGCTAAGACCTGTTCCAGAGCACCCTTGATATAGGCAACATGGGGTCCTCCATTTGAACCACCAGAATCGCCGATAACAACGCCCATCCATTTCCGCTCGGAGCTGAACGGGGTCTCGTGGACGCGAGCGCTAATACGATCGCGCACATCATCTTCTCCCAGGGCATCCATTAGATCCAAGATCGCCACATCGGTTGGCTGACCCACCCATCGACTCTTGGCAGCAGCTGAATCACTATTGATGGTTGAAGAAAGTACTGCCGCAGAAGATGCGCTGGCTGGCGAGTTTGCGTGCATCCGAGACAAACGAGAGTTGTTTGCAATATTACCAACGCGAAGGATAGTCTGCGCAGCAGGTCCAGGAGCCATTGCCGTTGTCATTTCTCTTTGCACCTCGAATGGTTCTGCGCAGTCAAAATGCCACATTTTGGTAACTGTCATGTGGTTGAGAGTGAGAGTTCCAGTCTTGTCCGAGCAGACGACATTGACAGAACCAAGAGTTTCAACGCTGGGGAGTCTCCGCATGATTGCCCCCCTCTTAGCCATGCGCAGGACGCCGAGAGCGAGTGTGACAGTGACAATGATAGGCAAGCCTTCTGGAATCGCTGCGACAGCCAGCGAAACACCAATTGTGAACATTTCGAGGATCTTACGACCTTGTATAAGACCGATAACCACGATCAATCCAATAACACCGAAAGAGATATAACTCAGCTCCTGGCCCAAACGATCCATAGACAGTTGTAAGGGTGTTCGGGGGCTCTCAATTTCTTGGAGCGAAGCTGATATACTGCCGAACTCTGTTTTGGCGCCGGTCGAGATAACGATGCCCTGACCGTAGCCTGAGCGGACTAGTGTACCCATGAACGCAACATTATGCTGCTCGTTCAACCGAACGTCAGCACCAACAGCACCGGTGGCCGGTGCATCGTAGAATGGAGATCGAGGGGGTTCTATTCCTTTTAATGCTGGAGTGGCCCTGCCAGATGCGGTGCGCAGAGCTTCCGCATACTTCGCGACAGGTTCGTTCTCTCCAGTCAAGTTCGACTCGTCAATGCTGAGATGTGTTGCAGCGGTGATTCGAATATCGGCGGGAATACGGTCTCCGGTAGTGAACAGGACCAGATCTCCGGGCACAAGCTCGTTTGCGGGAACGGTTGAAGAAGCCTTGACCGCGGCAGACGCCGAGCCTGGGCTCTTGCTCCGTATTTCATCCAATTCAATGGATGAACCCAGGGGCGATGTACTGCCATTCTCGGTTGCCGCAGAGGAAGCTGTTGGAAGATCACGGATCAGATGGGCATAATGGGGTACAAGTCGGCTCAATGCTTCCAACGACTTCTCCGACCGATATTCTTGAACAAAGCCGACAGTCACAACAATTGTTACCGCAAGAGTAATGCTGATGGCATCATCGTAATTGCCCATCACAAAAGAGATTGCAGCAGAGCCAAGGAGGAGGAGAATCAGTGTCTCCTTGAACTGTTTAAGAAACCGCAGCCAGAGGGGTTCTGGCTCATCATGGGGAAGCTCGTTCGGTCCATCTCTTGCCAGGCGTATTTCTGCCTCGGCGGGTGTCAGGCCATGTAAAAGGGAGGTTCGTAGTCGCTCGGCAGTTTCATGAGGCTCGAGCCACGAATATGTTGAAGTGGATGTCTGGAAGAAACAAGACCGTGTGTTAGAAAGTCCGTTGCCTAATGTCGCCAGGAAGTGGAAAAAGCGATAGCACACATAGTGCATTAATCAAGCAAGTAAGCTTACCGACGATGGAGCATTTGGCCGTCCGGTCATAGGTGTTGTGGAGGGAGGCCGAAGAAACTCGGCGTTTGATGCATTATGCAAAGGCAAGGAAGGTGTTGCGGACCTTGACATTGCTCATGCTTTGGAAGGATGGATTGTTAAAGACGATGAAATAAGACGTTAGATGTGTCGAGAAGTATTTTTCATACCGCCTCGATAAGAATTGACTGTGCTTCGACAATCCACATTAGTTGCGATCTGGCAGCAGCTTCACACGGGGGCGGGTAGACTAACGGCTAGATTTGCGGAGTTGGCGCAAGTCGCAAGTCGGCCGACGACGAACAGGGGACTGACGGAAGACTTGAGACCAAAAATCTAACTTGAAAGAGACTCTTGCTATGATCCAAACCGCAAAATAATCCCATTCAGAGCATCCAGTCCACTTAGAAGAGGCTACGTCCCAATGGTGATGCTTTACCCGTTGTGGACTAGTTATTTCGGGTAGGGAGTTTATCCGTCTACTACATTTAGACTAGCGTAAAATATCATGTGTAAGGCAGAGTATATGATGTACACAGTACTTCATAAGAGAAATGATGTATACAAGAGGTTTTTACAGCTTTTTTTTCAAAAAAACCTTCCTAACATATTCATTGACGCCTTCTTTTCTCTTTACTTGGATCCTAGACTAGTTTATTCGCTATCAAAATTCATTGTTATGGTACTTCGTACGGAGTTTCCTTTGTGTACCCTACACGTGACTTGAACATTCCCAGCCCCCTCAATTACATCAGCAAAAATCCCGCCCAGGCCACAGCTGCCGCCTGATATTCCCACCGACGCGCATCTTCCGTTCCTCCTTGGTTTCTCAGCCAACTCCAAGATATCCCTCGCGCGCACATACCCTCCCCATCTTCATTGTCTTCGATGTCTTGAATTCACGCTATCGAGTGATAAACATTTTATCCTTTTAGTCACATATCTACCTTTTCATACAATTATCGAGTGCGAGTCATCGCACAAGTCATTGTTTTCCCGGCTTCAGCGCGTCGCCCTTCTATACCTCACCCCCGCGCCGGGCGGGTACTTTCGCCTACTGAAGTTCGTGAAAGAAATTTTGCCGTTGTAAAATATCTCGTTGCGACAAACACACCATGTTCTATTCCGAGACCCTCCTGTCGAAAACCGGGCCGCTGGCTCGCGTTTGGCTGTCAGCCAATATCGAACGCAAACTTTCGAAGTCGCATATCCTGCAGTCGGACATCGAGAGCAGCGTCAATGCTATTGTTGATCAGGGTCAAGCCCCTATGGCTCTGCGATTGAGTGGTCAATTGCTGCTGGGTGTGGTTCGAATTTACAGCCGCAAGGCTCGCTACCTCCTCGACGATTGCAATGAAGCTCTGATGAAAATTAAAATGGTACGCACTCCTTTGAACTAATTGTGATTTCGTTCAGTCTAATCATATATCAGGCTTTCCGTCTCACAAACAACAATGACTTGACTTCGACTGTCGTCGCTCCAGGTGGCATTACTCTTCCTGATGTGCTCACTGAATCTGATCTTTTTACCAACCTTGATACGTCTCTGCTTTTCCCTCAAACCCTCGACCTGGAGCCTGCTGCCAAGCACCCTAATGGCATGGATTTTGGAAGTCAATTCCTTCCTGACAGCAGCTTCCGCCGCTCTGTTTCTCAGGAACCCGCACGCCTTGAAGACCCTTCCCTTGTTGATCTTGACTTGGGTGAAGATGAATTGCCTCTCGGAAATGACCCGACTATGGAAATTGGTCGAGATGCTCCCGCACCTCGTCCCGTAGAGGAAGATCTTTTCAACGACGCTGGAAAATTCAACGATGACGACGATCTGGGACTGGACCTTGGAGATGATGACGCTCTCGACAAGATGGACCTTGGCGATGATGGCCACGATAATCTGAATGACCTCCTCCCAGATGCCCCCATGGATTTCAACAACGATGACGACTTTGGTGGTGGCGAGACACCCCGTGCTGCCGACAACCGATTCGAACGTGACTCCGAAAGCCCCCTTTCCGATGCTGGGTCTGATCAGATGAATCAGCTTGAAGAGGAATTCAACCGAGATGTATCTGCAACCCCCGATGCTGTTAGCGCCCAGCAGGGTCAGCGCACCAAGCGCCTGAAGCTTATGGGACTCGACAAGGAAGTCGCAATTTCCAGCTCCAAGATCAAGGACCAGCAAAATGATCGTTCTTCGATTCTGAAGCCTGCATCATTCTTGCCTCGCGACCCCGTTCTCCTTACTCTTATGACTCGTCAGCAGAATGGCAACTTTGTGTCCAGTGTGTTTGGCGAGGACCGTGGACGCGGATGGGCACCCGAGCTGCGCGGCATGCTCTCTTTGGATTCTGTTAAGAAGGCCGGTGAACTGAAGCGCAAGCGCGACAGTGGCATTTCCGATATGGATGTGGCTGCCGTCGACGTTCCTCCCCTGGAGCTTGGTGATGAGGAAGCCATCGTCCCGATCGACGAGGGCATCGCTCTCGATACGACTATGAACCAGCGCTCTGAGATTGAATTCCCTGGGGATGACGAAGATCATGTCTTGCATCTGAGTGATGACGAAGGCAACAACCAGCCCATGGACGATCTGGACGATACTATGGTGCACCTCGTCGAGACCGAGCCAGTCTCAATGGGTACCAAGCACGCTGTGCACATCCTCCGCGAGAAGCTTGGTAGCTCATCCGATGAGCAGAAGAAGAGTGTGTTGTTCCAGGATCTCCTTCCCGAGCAGCGGTCCAGCAAGGCCGACGCTACCAAGATGTTCTTCGAAGTCTTGGTGCTGGCTACCAAAGATGCCGTTAAGGTTGACCAGGGTGCCAAGTCTATTGGTGGTCCCCTCAAGATTACTGGCAAGCAGGCACTTTGGGGCTCTTGGGCCGAGGAGAACGCTTCTGGTGCGATGAGCCAGCTCAGCCAGGCTCTGTAGAGGATGTGTCCTCTTGACCAAAATTTCTGGGATCTATTGGCGCATCTTTCTCTTCTTGTACAGCTCAACTTTGGGATGGTTCCATTGAATATCTCGATTTGAGATCCGGTGTTTTTTTTTGGGAATAGCATTCAATTGAATGACTATCAGGAGTTTAGGGCTGGCGTGGAGACAGGACTTTTTACTACTTTTGGGGTTTTTGTTTGGGCACCTAGTCCCTTGGGAGCGACTTTGATGAATTGATTCTGTTGCGTAGTAGTGTTAGCTCTAGCTTAATTGAACATATCTTTTATCTCAAACACCTTTTTTTTTGTCTAGACTTGTGATCTCGGAGATATATGTATGTAGCTCTGTACCACATGGCTCCCACGTGTTGGACGTTCTTGGCGTCCACAACACAAATGCTCCGATTCAAAAGACAACGCACATATATATTATAGAATCTGGGTAGAATTTAGGTGGAATTATTCTCTACGTTAGAATTACACTTAGCAATATCCAAGGCTATCAGTTAGCTATACGGGATCACTCCCGAGGTCGGCTTCGATAAACCGGAATTAGGAGCCCGACTTATTTATCCCCGAAATCGCCTTGATTGATCAGCTCGGACTTTTGATTTCCATTTTAGACGCTAAGAGTATTCCTTAATTTTCCTCGCAGGATAGTGACTCAGGTATCCACCAGTTAATACATTTACTCAGGTAGTTCCCTACCGTTCGTTTTGTTTTCTATGACTTCATCGCTAACACAAAAACAAACCAGATGAGCAAGCCTGATCTTTGACATTGGCATGTCTCGGTCAAGTACAGACGTATCGCAGCCGGACCTCGGTGAAGAAAAAGCCCACACTGGCTCCAAAAGACACTCTAGCGATAAGACCGACGACGATTTCGACCGCACCAAGTCCGAGGATGTAACTTATGCTCCAATCACCTCCCCGGGTACCCACAACAAAGGCAGCGCACCACTCCAGAAACAGCGCTCGAATGCGTCTAAATCAGTCGCATCCAGGTCGCTGGAACGCAGCTGGTCGCTGAATGACGGCGTCAGTATTGGCGGCCATGAAGTTGACGAGGCTGCTGTGGCGAACGATGATGAAGCGTATACTGTGGGCTGGGACGAGAACGATCCCATGAATCCGCGCAATATGAGCAAAGCCCGACGGTGGTTGGTTGTCATCATTGTCTCCATGGGTTCGCTTTGCGTGTGAGTATCCAGCCCGTTTAGTCTTGCTTTCTCTGCGCCGCTTAGATACTGATCGACTGCATGTAGGACCTGTACCTCTTCGATGTATACTACGACATATACCCAATTGATGAGTGAATTCGGATGTTCGCAAGAAGTTGCGACTCTTGGATTGTCGTTTTTTATTTGGGGTCTTGGTTTGTGCTTATCCTGTCGTCCTTCGCGGGCTTGGCTATGTGCTAACGCTTCTAGGTATTGGACCATTGTTCCTAAGTCCATTGTCAGAATTCTTTGGCCGCAGAATCATCTACATAGTATCATTCTCGCTATTTCTTATATGGCTAATTCCATGCGCAGTTGCTAAGAATACTGAGACCATGATTATCGCTCGGTTCTTGAGTGGACTGTCAGGCAGTGCGTTTTTGAGTGTCGCTGGAGGTACTGTTGGTGACATGTTTGATCGCCATGAACTTGCCTTACCCATGATGCTCTACACTGCGAGTCCTTTCGTTGGACCAGAAGTGGGCCCTTTGTATGAAATCCTCATTTCCCTTGGTGCAGAGCACCCTCCGATTGCAACACTAACATTAAACCACTAGGGTTGGTGGCTTCATCAATGCATTTACCACATGGTATGTTTCCATAATGAATTCTGGTACCGACTGAAGCTTACAAAACTCCCAGGCGTTGGACGTTCTATGTCCTCCTGATTTGGTCGGGGGTGATGCTCGCCTCGATAATATTCTTGGTTCCAGAGACCTATCACCCAGTGTATGTATTTCAAGATCCTGGAATAATTGCGACGCTAACAATGTTCCAGACTTTTGAGGCGTAAGGCGCAGAACCTACGCCAGGAAACCGGAGACGAGCGATGGAAAGCTCCGATCGAAAAGCTACAGCGTTCTATAGCTCAGACCGTCGTACATTCCATGTACCGCCCTATGCTTCTCTTAACGGAGCCGATGTGTCTATGCCTTTGCATTTTCTCGGCCATCCTATTGGGTATTCTGTACTTATTCTTTGGTGCTTTCCAGCTGGTTTTCCACGAGATCTATGGCCTATCAATCTGGCAGCGTGGACTGTGTTTCCTCGGTCTGTTTGTCGGAATGGTTATAGCCATTTTGTCAGATCCTATCTGGCGCCGAAACTACGTTCGCTTGGAGCGTAACCATGAGATTGCGACGAAAAAGCTCGATGACTTCCAGCCGGAGTGGCGACTGCCCCCAGGTAAGTTTGCCAACAAATTGCTCAGGTGCCAAGGCTCGAAGAAAACGATAGCTGACTCCGATGGAATAGCGATCCTGGGAGGACCCTTGGTTACTATAGGTCTTTTCATTTTTGCTTGGACAATCTATCCTAATGTCCATTGGATTGCACCTATCATTGGCAGTGCTGTTTTTGGTGCAGGGTAAGATCAACCTTGCAATCTCACCTGACTGGGCGGCCATCCGTCGGTCCTACAGTCCCTGTCTACCTTGTGGCTTTCTTTTAGCTAATAGGCTGTGTTACTGTTAGGACAATCCTGGTTTACTCGGGTATCTTCACATTCCTAGTCGATGCGTATCCAACATTTGCCGCCAGCGCTCTGGCAGCGAACAGTTTCACTCGGTCATCCTTCGGAGGCATATTTCCACTGTTTGGAATCCAAAGTAAGTTTGTCTGTACTGTCTCCGTGCTGTGACAAGAATTGGCAGCCCGTGCTTTGTATGCGGTACATCCTTCCAATGCGGGTCGATGCGTTGTATTCTCAACAGGCCTATCTGTAGCTCGTCCTCAATGCTTGACAGCTATATTCTTTCCTGCACACAGTTGAGACATAACGATTATGGCTAACGGCTATGCAGTGTATCACAACCTCGGATATCACTGGGCAACTTCCTTGTTAGCATTCTTGACCCTTGTCATGACCCCTTTCCCGTAAGTGTTGATTTTGACATACTTGATTTACTCTTACGTTATGGCCTACCTATTTAACCTCCCCCTGCATCATGAACCTCGAGCAAGTCGCATCGAGCATGAAAGTTTGATGTTTCAGTTGCATGTGGCTCTGGTGTCACACAGCTCAACGTAAGCTGTTTTGTCCACTGAACGTTGTACTGACATTTGTAATAGGTACCTATTCTTTCGGTATGGGAGCTGGATCCGAAGTAAGAGCCGATTTGCGAAATCACAGGCGTGATCGATACTTCCGTGCACATATAATACCCCATACATACTTTAATATTAAGCGGGTTGGTTGCTAGCTGGGTGGCTCTTTTACGAGGACAGCCACAGGTAACCTCGGTGCCATTGCATCTCGACAGTTTACCAACCGGTTTCGTCTGAACACGGTGTGCCGTAGGCGATGAACACGGCATTCCATGACCAGATGTTGGGAACCTCCTGTGCTGAGACGTTTTGGCTACTGGGGATGATAGGGTCAGCACCTAGTCTGCAACCATAGATCAAGACCTAACGCCTTCAGCTGCTGTACCGTCTGCAGTTCAAAAGCCAATGCAGAAAATTATAGTCAATAATACGCATGATTAGCAAGGATATATGCGTCATGTCCTAGCTCTACTTGATTTCATCTGTAGACATTTTGCACGTTCCATCTGTCCGTTCTGGATCCTAGGTAGGCCATGAATCCAGGATTGATCCTTTGCTACTACCAGCGCGCTGGACATACAAGGAATAAATAGATCGTACCCATTCCAAGAATAGAAGTTGGACGGACCTGGCCTGGCCCGGGCTGTAATTCTCCGACGGCAACCCCCAGTCTGCCAGGCCAGTTACGAAGCATACGAGTGTCATGTGGTTTTGGAATACAGTCACAGGCAACCATCCCCGACCAAGTTACCCCCTCCGGTTACAGGCAGACATGACAATCCCTCCTTTGGAGTATAAGAACCGTCATAGCTGAGCGATATATTGAGAGCCTTCTAGCCTCGGCAGAAGCACACTCAGCTAACCTCGGAACAAAACGGGTCGGAGTGAGGATGCCGAGCACGTCTGGAGCGGGGGTTTTCGGGATTGATTCAGCTTTGGTAAAAGAATAATAAAAGAATAATGACTCAATTGGAGATACTCGCATTGGACGTTTATAATCAAAAAGACAACAAAAAACATACAATCGACCTGGAAGTTTCCGCACGTGCGCAATTGCCCCCGCGGGGTTACTAAAAGGATAGGTCATCTGGTATGCGCGGAACCCGATCTGGCGCAGGATTCTGATTTAACCAATCAGAGTCCATGAACGCGCTTAAATTACCTGATGTTTCCGGTAATGCTGTGAAAGCTGTAATACTTGGCAAAATCAAATGCCGGCCTCCAGTGACAGTTGCCCTGAACGTCAGCATGTGAGTATGATGTACATATATAGCTTCTTTAGTTCTTATAAGAAGAAGTCGAAGAACCAATGTACCTCTTTACTATCGAGATCTCCGATCAAAAATAGGTATCAGATTAAAACATGCCCAATGAGGGATTAATACGTTGGGTAGCAAAAAAAAAAAAGAAAAAAAGCCCAGTAAATTAATTAGGTAAAATAGTGGCTGTTTTACGAAGTATAGCCAGCCCTGCACCTTTTTAGAAGTGCGAAACATAGCGCTAAATTTTTAAAGAAAAAAAAGAAAAATTGTTAAATCAAATCAAATCAAATAAAATAGATTAAAAAAAAATCGTTCGTCACTCATGCGAGTCTCATTTAGTCCTTTACAAGTCCTTTAGAATTCCTTTACAATTGGACTGTGTCGTGTTAACCCTGGGAAAGTGTTGCTTAGACACCCAGTCACGGGAACACTCCGATCGAGAGAGCCCTTCTGGGAGTCATCCACTTCTTCTTCGACGTTCCCCGCGAATAATATTTGCCTCGTCTCTCGATTTTCTTTCTTTCTCCAGCTTCTCGACTGGCCTCGCATCGATACGGCTCTCACATTTGGAGAGAAAATCACATCTTCCCCGCAGCCGAACGAACTCGCCCTCTCCACTCCCAGTCCAGCCCCGAACCGTTGCGGGATTTTTCTTGTCAGCTTTGCGCCAATTTCCCCCCATATACAAACCACATTGGAATCCTTCAATGTGTCAGATCATCGTACATCCGTCGCATCTCCAGTCGATTGTCCCCCGTTACACCCGTGACTCGACTCGACTCGCCGTGATTCCGGTTCCGGTTCCCCACCAACTGTAGTCGCAAACGCGCGATTATAGGAACCACGGTTTGGAGACCCCCTTCGATCTTCGCGTGGTGACTTGGGAGGATTTCAAGTCTCAAAACGGACGATTAGAATTTGTGATCGTTTCTTCGATCACAAGCTGGGTTAAAACCCGTGCACGTGGATCCGCTCGCCCGCCGAGATCGCAGCGCGGATGGTGTCATTGGTATTGTCGCCACCACAATTTGTTTCTTTAGATAAACACAAGAAGGCACAGAAAGTGGCCTACGCGGTTTGAAACACCGATTTGCCTCACTCCTGTGGACATATCCATAGATCACCGTTCTCGGGATACATGCCGAAATGAACATGGAAGCCAAGAACGGCTCACCGGTTCCTGCAGGGGACTACAGTGGGGATCGTGACTCCGCTGATATCACGGAACACGAACAATCGGACGTAAGGCCCAAAACTAATGGCGATAGCAAAGCGGACCGCAAAGCAGCCAATGCCAAGGATCCTTCCCGACCGCGACGGAAGAAGGCTCGGCGAGCTTGCTTTGCATGCCAACGAGCTCATTTAACTTGCGGTATGATGATAGACTGACTGAACCTCGCCATTGTTAGGCATCTGACTAATATATACCGGGTTTAGGCGACGAACGACCGTGTCAACGTTGCATCAAACGTGGTCTTCAAGATGCTTGCCATGATGGTGTTCGCAAGAAGGCCAAGTATCTCCATGATGCTCCCGATGGGGCGTTGATGCCAGCTGTTACTAGCAGCAACAACACCAATCTATACAACAGCACGCTCCGCAATAATCTGCCTATATCTAGAAATGGCACAAATGCTGTCAACCCCAACCAGCAACACAGCCAACATAGTCAACAACACAGCCATCAACATAGCCAACAATCAACCAACACCACGAATAACAACTTTTACCCTACGCCCCAGACACAGGCAGGATCTTACAACCCCTACCAAGAATCCCCTATGAGCCAAAGCCCTTTTACCACGCAATCACCTGTTTCACCTACTTTTAACATGAAGAGCAGCACCAATGGTCGAAACCCAAGTCTTTCATCGACTGTAAACCAGCAACCTACTCCAGGTGCTCTCTCTGGGGATACAAGTCAGTCCCAAAATCCTTTTGCAGGGCCATTTTTTGATCCTAGTGATCCAGCACTCTTCAATTTCGATCTATCGAGCATGAACTTCGAAAATCGATACGGTGCTCTGGAATTCGGCATGCTTGGGCATATGGCCACCGGAGCGGCCGGTGACTCCCCAACTGATTCCGCAGGACAGCGAGGGTCAATTGGCCGCAGTGGATCGGCCCAGTTCTCCACACCAGCTCCTGGCTTTGGAGAAAGCCCGGGAAATCAACCTTTCATGTTCGGCGATCCTATCCTAAATGATTGGTCGACCGGGCCGGCCTCGGGCCAGCATGTGAATGTCGGCGGTGTGTATGGCCAAAATGCCATGCTTCCCGAACACATGAAAGCAAACGCACCACATGCATTTGCAATTGAAAGTGGGCCAGCAAGCTTCACTAGTCCTGGCTCGGCCCAAAGCCCGAATATCGCAACGGCTGCATTCGACGACGGCCCGTTCAACAATATCGCTCCTGCTCCAAAGTCCAACAGCCTGGTGCCGAATGGACAACGCCAGGTGACGTCAGCGTCGATCTTAAAACACCCAAATCTGCATGTTGGCTCTAAACGGCGCCACCGCAACCCTTCCTCCATATACGAAAGCGTGAAGGAGCCCTATGCTTACACAAGTGGCTTCCACAACCTCACTGCTTTCATCCAACGTCGCTTTTCGCCGCAAAAGACTGTGCGAATTGCCAAGGCGCTTGCGTCTATTCGACCCTCTTTTATCGCAACTACTAAGACCCTCAATCGTGATGATCTCATCTTCATGGAAAAATGCTTCCAGCGAACTCTCTGGGAATACGAGGACTTCATCAATGCATGTGGAACGCCGACCATCGTCTGCCGACGCACCGGTGAGATCGCCGCCGTAGGCAAGGAGTTTAGCATCCTAACCGGATGGAAGAAAGACGTGCTTCTAGGAAAAGAGACAAACCTAAACGTCAACACCGGTGTTCCGGGCCAGTCCGGGACAACGTCACGCGGTAGTTACACCCCGCGCGGCTCGACATTAGAGAGTTCCGGCACTGGACGCCCCCAGCCGGTATTCTTGGCCGAGCTTCTCGACGATGACAGCGTCGTGGAGTTCTATGAGGACTTTGCGCGTCTGGCATTCGGCGATTCTCGTGGTAGTGTCATGACTCGATGCAAGCTGCTCAAATACAAGACCAAGGAGGATATGGAGGGTGCACAGTCCGATGATAACGGAAAGTGGAACAACCACCTCCGCAAAGGTGGCATTGCTGGCGAGGCTGGCATGAACCAGCTTGGTTTCAAGGACGGAAAGGTCGAATGCGCGTACTGCTGGACAGTGAAACGCGATGTGTTCGATATCCCGATGCTCATTGTGATGAATGTAAGTCTCTAAGATCACATAACCTCTTAGAGTTGGACTCGTGCTAACCCGTCGTCTAGTTCTTGCCATGCATTTGATTTCTTTTTTTATATTTTGTTTCCTTTCTTGTTTCTGTTTACCCTTTCATACCCTCAGCAGGCCTAACATCGGGCCTGTCTTCTTTTCTTCTGCTGTTCTACCTGGTACATATTTCCTGGTTTTGGGATTGTATGATTCCCTTTGATCTTGATTTCCTTTAGGCCACTGGCCGACGGGGTCTTTTCTTGTTCAATGTTCTCGTATATACGTTTTGCTTCTTGGATTCCTGGACCCAGTTCCATGATTGTCGATATGATTTCTTGTTTTATTTTCTTTTTGCGGCGCTCAAAAGGGACAAAAAATGATATCTCTGGGACGGGATCTACTGTATGAGGATAATGCCATGATATTGAGTGGGGTCACTTCTGATCTCGTTGAACCCTAGACCATGGATCTAAATTTAAACAAAGAAATAAGCTTAATCGGACCTTCGATCCAACCTTGGAATTGCATGTGGATTGGTGCCTGATACATCAGGCGTATAAACCCCATCCTTATCGCGATTACCCCCACCAGGGTTGATCGTATTCAGACACACTCAACGCCAGCATCACGCCAAACAATTGCTAAATCACACAATCAGTACACACCAGACGAAACTACACTCTTAGCATATTTGTCTGTGCCACTATTCCACGCTTAACCACACCCTCACCCGATAGAATCCGCTATGCGCTCCGACAAGCCGCGCGACCCGGTAGCCGGCCCTGATGCTGGCCCAGAACTTCCTTATCCCGTGAGATTATCAGGGCCAGTGATCAAAGGATTTGGCCGCGGGAGCAAAGACGTACGTCCATGAATCCAAGAACCCAACCTCGGCGCTATAATCGCATAGCGCAACAGGCACAACGGACCTACCACTGACTCACTCTCCCGGATGACTATAGCTCGGAATCCCCACCGCCAACATCCCCGCTGATGACCTATCCGAGAAGCACCCAGAGCTGACAACCGGCGTCTACTACGGCGTTGTAGCGCTGGACCCGAACACATACCATCCCGAGACATCCGAGGGCAGCGCATCCACTGCGGTAGTTTTGCCTGCTGTGTTGAGTATCGGATATAACCCTTTCTATAAAAACACCGTGCGATCTGTGGTATGTGATACATGATCAACCAGATGAAACACCATCAAATGTTGAGAACCGTGTTTTGGTGCGGCATCGGGCTGACGTGGTTGCTCACTTCAGGAAATCCATATCATGCCCGCTCTCACGGAACCATCGCCCACCGCTGCGGGGCAGGATGGCCAGACTAAATTCAATCGCCTGCCGGATTTCTATAAAACGCGACTTAACCTGCTGATTCTGGGTTATATCCGGCCTGAGTTTGATTATGTCTCGCTGGAGGCGTTGGTGGAGGATATTCGGGTGGATTGTGAGGTTGCGCGGGAGAGCCTTTTGCGTGAGGCTTACAAGTGCTATCTTGTTGATAGCGGTAAAACATCTGGGAAAGTCAGTGAGGATCGTGCGTGGTTGGTGAGCTTTGATTAAGTGGGGTTAGATATATCATGCCATTCGGGGTTGGTGAAATGATTATCCTGCATTACGATTAGTCTTCTATAGCGCAGATCATTAGTACATATAGACATAGAAGAATGTTCTGTTGACATGTCATCTCGGATCTACTAGATGCATCTTTCAAAGATGTGCCCTGCAGCTTAGGCAGATTTCTCTTATTTTCACCTAACTAATTGAAATATATAAACCGATAATAAAACAAATTTACCGTGGGTTCATCCCACCCCGTCATATTTTTGGATCTTCGTACTATTGGCAGCTGGGCCCTCGCGGGCGAGGCAAGTGCTGGAGCGAGTCACTCCACGACTCGCTTCCTGAGGAGGGCCTGATAGAGTATTCGTGGGCAGGCCCCGCTCGGCTAGCTGGGCGGCCTGGGAAATTGGTCGACTAGGCGGGAGTCGATAGCGGTTGGTGGTACACGGAGCCCGGAGACATAGGGTAACGGTCCAGCTCCAAAGCTGTTCTGCCAAAGTCCGCCATGAATCTCACGTATTCATTGCGCCAACGTTCTTCTCTTCCTCTTTCCTGATATTCGTTTAGTTTAGCGTGCTCATAATATTTTAAACGAGACGTTATCAATCCGGGCAGCCACTAAATAATCGATGTGAAGGCACAATGAGATGAACTATGAGGCATATGACTCGGATGGAATCACCTTACGGCTACTAGCGCTGGTATCTATTGTCAGGCAACAGGTATGTAGAAACCACTTACTTTAATCATAATCTATGAAATAGAACAGAAAATTGATGGATTCTGTTGACATAGGCACTGCTGTTGAGGCAAAGGGTCTGAGGAAGAAGAGATCTAGTGGGGTGGAGAGTGAGGGTTATGAGCTGGCGTGTTCTTTCCAATTGACTACACATGAGATCACTTGACTTTCTATTTTTTTTACGTACCTCTCAATAAAAGCTTTCTTTCTGCGCTTTTCAGCTAATTTAGAAGACATGGTAGCTGCGCGGGAGAGAGAAAGAAAGAAGGATGTTTATTAGTGTACGGAGTAAATTAAGTCCTAATAAGATATTCGAATATAGCCTATATGTTTGATGTTACTTATTGTTTTATTTCTTCTAGATATGACTTTGAAAGCTTACATTCATAGCTAGTACTCATATGACGGTAAGAACCCGGGTTGGCGCGGTGCGCCGTGGCCAGTGTATTCCCCCGTGGCCGGGGCACTCTCCCGGGCCGCTCAGCCAACCGAGCGGGGCCTATCCGCTAACCTTGGAACACTCCATCAGGCCCCTCTTGGGGAGGGCCAGACTGCCAATGCCCCGGGGCCTGGACCATTGTCTAGCAACGACCCCTGGCCCCGGATCCTCTAGGGCTGTTGTCCCGCTCCATATCCTCACCTATGAGGGACACAGAAACGTCGCCTCATGAAAAAAAAAAAAAAAAAAAAAAAAAAANTATTTGTGTTAGTGTTGATATGCATTTTGATAAATTACATTATCAAAAGTGCAGGCTACCTTCAGAAAAGAATGTGCTGAACTTCACGTTCATGACGTCACACCAAGAAACCCTAACCTTGGGAGCATTGGCATCCGCTCGGCATCCGTAATACCAAGAACAGCAATCCGAGCATTCCGAACTCCAAGCAGATAATTCCATATATAAACAGGGCTACATGTCCCCCCAAATTCACTATCTACAGCTCACCTACTCAACCACATTCAGACCATGGTCAACGTATTCCAACGCCTTACTCGACGCCGAGCCCAAAGCTCCGGCAGTAACCCACCGGACATAGACGCAGATACCACGGGCCCCAATTCCACAGCATCTCATCCGCACGGAATACACCGGACAGTGAGCACGAACTCTGGCAAACGCAGCTGGCGATATGAAGAGCCAGCGCCCCGACACTTACTCCTGATATCCGACACCGTGGAGTTCGATACCCATGTAGTTCACCGTTTCCAAGGAGAAGGATTCGATGTGATCTATATTTCATTCCTCGGGAGTGGGAATGAAGAGAAGGACGCAAAAGCGCTGACGAATGCCGTGCATGAGAAAGAAGACGAACTCGAGAACGGAGAGCGGTATGCGATAGTCGGTACGTACCGTCTTCTATTTGACTTTCTTTGTCTCTACATACATGCTTCATTATTCGAAGCAGACACCTCAGCTCTGCAAGATATATCAAAACCCCAGCTAACCATATACTTCAGCATACCATCGACCCGCCTACCTCCTTCTAGCCTTACACCACACAGTATCCAGCAACACAAACCCATTCCCACACCTATGCGCCTTGGTAGTCTACTACCCCCTCTCCTCAACAGACCAATTCACCTACAAGGAAAAAGAAAACTGCGAGCCACCAGGCTGCTCAGACACAAGTTCGATCTTCGGCCCAGTCTCCAAATCAACATATCTCCCAATCCAAATTCACATCCCAGGACCACGAGTCCAGCCCTGCGCACTATGGCCTTGGATTGGTCTTAGTGTGTCAGAAGGCGACATAACCTACAAGAAAAAACACCGATGCTACGTGTACACGTACCCGGGGGCCAGACCTGGGTTCGCAGAGCGGGAAGTCGCCGAAGAGAAAGAAGGCGAGGTGGATTGGGACTTGAATGCTGATGATGAGATCAGCTCACAACTGGCATGGAGTCGGGCGCTGGGCTGTCTGCGCCGCTCGTTCAATGTCGGTAGCCACTGGGCAGTTCTTGACATCGAGACTGTCTGGGAAGAGTACTGGGACCATGTGATTGGCGAGCTGGAGTTGCGGAAACGGAAGCTTGAAGGTTCTGGGTCTGAGCCCGCGGTTGGGATGTTGACTGGTCATGGCCATTATGGTGAGATGGGGTGTCCGGCTGGTGAGGTCTTTGTAAAGTGCATACCTACGGATGCTGGGGGTGAGTTGGAAAAATTATGATTTGGTTCAGGCCTTTACTGATATGTATGTTACAGGCTCTGATATCTCAACCCTGAGAGACTTCTTCGCCCATGCGTATATCCCCGCTGGTCCGGTTGATCAGCATATCCGCCTTTTGTCGCGCACTGTAGGTGTGGATCGCATTGTGGATGAAATGTTGTTTGCTTGTCGGCATACTGCTGAGATTCCATGGCTGTTACCTGGTGTTTCGCCGACAGATCGAGAGATAAAGGTCATTGTTGTTGTTGTGGCAAGCTTCAGTGCCGGGCAGATTATACGCCAGAGTCTTTATTGGGACCAGGCGGGTGTACTTGTGCAGGTTGGATTGTTGGATCCGGGACTTGTGCCGGTGTCAAAAGCCGCTAAAGGCTACTGAGTATTGGGTGGTGTTTTAGACTATTTGTGGAGGTAAATAGGGACTATCAAGATGATCTACATACTCATAATCAAACACCATTTTTCTCTTTTCCTTGGTCTCACCCGTTACTATGCAAATCAAGGAGCATGGTGGTTTGAATAGATAGTCTGGGGATTGATTAATGTGACCTACTGGATGATCATGAACAGACAAATAAGAGTAAATTTCAAGGTCTTTAAGTTAATGGTTATAAGTTAAAACAATAATCATCTGAAGAAGTACTATAAAATGAAAGTCGACGGTTATGGCCCGTTCTATAGAAGTATTTCCTTTTTTTATTTTTTTTTCAAGGCTAGATCACTGACAGATACAATTCTCCTCCTTCAGTGCCTGTACATATTTCATACACGTTGGTCCGCTCACTCAAGCCCAGTGTAACGGGCTCTTGCTCCGGGTCTTCATCAAAGTCGGACGATGCCATATATCGAGTAAATTCATAAGGTTGTGGCAGCTTAAGCCTTAAATGTGCGGGTTCGCATGCGGGATTACATAGAGCTTGATAAAGAGCGCGAGGGTACATAAGTGAAAATTTTAAAAAATCATTTCCAGACATTGAACAATTATCGTAACGATAAGTCTGACATCTTGGCGTGGAGGAAAGTAAGCTGATTTATTGCTACGCCACGAAGATCGGACGCCTATTTATATCCCGCAACCTAAAGCTTGTGACTCATCAAGGGCACAGGAAGGGGCTATATTTGATTGTCATCTCTTTCCCGTAACTCAAGCTCACATTTTCACAAACTCTACCCTTGTGACCAACATGGCGGAAAATTATTCCGCACAAGAGATTATCAAGACATTGAATCTCTCTCCACATCCAGAAAAGGGGTACTACGTCGAGACCTTCCGCGACAGCTATTCATCAGACGATCGCTCGCATAGCACCTGCATTTATTACCTTCTCGAGGGAAAAAGTGGCCTCTCGCAATGGCACCGTGTTCTTGATGGCGCTGAGATATGGCATTACTACGCCGGTGCCCCTCTGCAACTCTTACTATCCTGGAATGACGGGAAACCCATTCGGGACACGATTCTGGGAATTGATTTTGCGAAGGTAACTTAGTTCTCTTTATATATGTTTTGCGACTTGACAATGCTTAATTTCTATTGATACAGGGTCAACGACCACAGGCCATCGTTGAGCGTGGAGAGTGGCAGCACGCGAAAAGCCTAGGTGATTGGACTCTTGTGGGGTGCACAGTAGCACCAGCATTCTTATTCGAGAGTTTTGAGATGGCTGAAGCGGGTTGGGAGCCTCGCTCGGACAATGTTATTGAAGGCGAGTCCACGTCTAGCTAATGTGTAGGACTTGATAGGAATATTAGGGTAATGGCCTTCTACATCATTTAGCAATCCTACATCACTTCTTTAATCCTGAAATGAGTAGTGTCTAGGCAATACATGGTTTCTTTGTTAAATAATGAAACAAAATCATCATATCGTAAATGTACTTGAACTTCCTCTATAGAGCAACATGACCCAGCCCCTCAATAGGCACCATAAGAAAAAAGAGTCTGGACAGTCAAATCTGGCCGACCAAGCTCATTGAATGTTCGACGACACCGTCGCAGCTCGTGTTGATCAGAGAATCGTTAGTGTCTCCTCAATGGGCAATTTGTTGGGCGTCTCGGGATGAGCAGCTTGCTTATCTCCATAGTTCAGGTGGGCCTTCAGTTTATAATCCTCAGGGACACCCGCGAATTTCTTCATGGCTGCCTCGATAGGCGGAATAGCATTCATGTGCTGCAGGTTGGCGCCCAGTCCCTCCAGTTCCAAGGCAGTCCAGACAAAGATCTGGTGGATGCCTTGACTGTGATCACCCCACTCGCCAAACATGTGGCCGGTCGCCTTGTGTGTCTCCGCAGCCTCTTTGGTCGTTTGGCCACGCTCCCAGAAGAGTACCTAGACATTGTTAGATAGTCTGCGTGTGAGGTACGAAAGTTGTTGACATACGGATCCATATGCAGCCTTGTGACTTTGGAAAAGAGGGCCCAACTTTTCCCAGAGAGCTGGGCTGATCGACTTGAGGACCGGCTCAGCCTCCTTGAGAATAATGCTCCAGAGCTCCTTGTGCTTCTCGCCGAAAGCGAGCGAAATGCGGACAGGCTGAGTGTTGTAAGATGAGGGTGCGAAGGAAAGAACTTTGGAGACGATCTCTTGGACACGTTCGTCTGAGACCTTGGATGTTCCTGCTAAACCATGAACACTGCGACGGTAAGCCGCGGCTTCGAGCCACTGGTCAGTTGTGATGGAAGGCATGTTGATAGAATGTGGGAAATGGTTATCCCGTCTGTCTTGGGATGCGCCTCATGATATATTTATACTATGCCGCACGCTAGCCAAAGGCCGCAGAGATATTAGCCTAATAATCGCCGCATCGGTATCCAATGCTGATTGGCGGCGTGCGTTGGCTGTTATTACAAGAATCACCGATGCTGGCGATGAGCTAGCTTACTTGTTTCATGTGGCCTTGATAACTGTGCAGCAAATCGCTGTGATTGGCCCCTAGTTTGTCTGATTTTCTTTCGCGGGGCATAGAAAGTCCGTCTCAGAAACGTTTCCCCGGATAACAGATCAAAAGGTGATAATATAGCGCGAAGGAGAAAACTAATTAAGGGTGCGTTTCAGATCATTGATCGTCGATTATCTTAATAAACGGGCCAATAAACAGGGGGTTGTCTTTTGCGACGTGTTTCCGTTTTCAAAAGCTGACAAACTCAAATAAACTATGTTGTGTACTTATTGAAATAAATGAAATCTCTGGATAGAATCAAATGCAAGCCAAGTAAGTTACGGCGGCTACTGTAGAGCTCGTTTATTGAAATAAACCGTTTGTAGAGAAGACGAAGCAGCAAAGCCGCTTCTCCTATATAGCGTCAGTCTGGCGCTGAACTTTAGAAGAATACCCCCTTATATCTTTACAAATATCCCGAAGGCCAGTATTAGCTACAAAAAGCAACGTTGAGTGCACAGACCCGATGGGTGCTCTCGAAATATGCTTCTAGTCTACGGGCAGTCTCTTGTGGATGCCGGGCCGACAGTGCCCTAGGAGTACATTGACTCCACTGAGGCTGTGTGTGATTTTGAGGGATGTTAGACATCTCTGAACTAGCGTAATGCTAATGCACGAGCATCGTTAGAAGCTGCTTTCTCATCATGCATACTGATGATCTCGAATATGCAGCATCATGCATGCGAAGATATTGTGCATCCATTGTTATTTCTAGTCAGCTGTGCTGGAGAAAATTGGGCGTGAAGCCGCGCTCCAAATAGTCAGGTCGTTGAACGAGTCGAGAAAAGGTCCCTTGAAGCTGCAAGGTACTGTCATAGTAAAGAAGATTTCCGGCATGGGGCTTAAGAGAACACCGGGTAAGGGGCTTTATCATAAAGTCTTATTATATTCTGTTTTCCCTGTCTTTCCCGATCTATCATTTCCATATTATCCCATCTATCACTTTTTACGCAATCCCATAACTATGCTCTGTGTATACGCTAATCCTTTGCATCGAGAACCCTTTCTCGACTGGTATCTTATATGCGTCTTCTCTAAACATCACTCCATCCAAGCTGGTCATCAGGGATTGAGTCGCTGTCTCCTGTGCAGCTTTGTGGATCTGTTGGACAATCGTCTCGACGTCTCGGCTCTTGATAGGCATGCGATGGTCGCCCTCCCACTCTAAGAGCGTGGCCTGTAGTGGGTCACAGTACTCCCGAAGCAGGTCTCGGTGTCGATCCAGGCCGGGGTCTTTCAGCCCGTGGACGTGGATTGTGGGTAGTCGTAATATGTGCTCATCGGAGCCCAGGGTGAGCCAGGCTGGAGCGGGGTGTGTGAACGGTGTGGCAGCGTCGACCAAGCCGCGCGGTTGGGGGAGATCAGGCATGAGCCACACCAGTGGCCCACTACCGGCGAAGAGGATAGCGAACCGGAAGCTGGTCATCCCGCACCTCTGCTGACGGTAAAGGATGCTAGCTGCTACCTTTGCGCCCTGGCTGAATCCCAATATCCCAACCCAGTCTCCTGTGGCCCCCTTAGCGTCGTCGGCAGCCATGGCCAGCGCAAGAGCGGCGTCAATTCCTGCAGCAACATCTCGGGACGTCCAGACTCCAGGCATACGGTGATCACGAAGCCAGACCCTGAACGGCCCACAGTCCTTGTAGACGGATGTTACATCTGGCCCGGGTTCCACGCTAGTGAATGGAGCCTGTGCATAGACGAAACGGAAAGAACACCCGAGACGCTTCTCGAGCACACGGCACTGCATACGGAAGATAACTGCGTTTGTGCCCCCGCCATGGAGACAGAGAATGCGCGGCAGCTGGGTCGTCGCTGTGTCGTTCATGTTGAGGTATCCAGTACCAGCGGACTGGGGACTCTGGGCACTGTTGTACCGTCCGACCATGGTGTGCTGAGTCGTCTGGAAGGGTGTTGTTTTTAGTGGAATACTAATATTTTGACTCACTTGGAGGACGTGCTATGGGATTGAGAGGAGAGGGCTATAGTATATGGTGGATTAGAAGTGCGTAACATTCTGCAACATCCCAGTTATAGCCATGGTAACTGTGCAGCAAGTCATTATTGTTCCGCTTACACGGGCTCTAGCTTTCCTGATTGCTCTCTTGCGGGCAATGTTAATTCCGTTGGGTGGTCAGCTGGAGTTATAATAGTCCGCATCATATCAGTACCCCTGTACCACCATGCGGCTGAATGCTAACGATAAATTCACCGATCAGTTAACTTTGGGCTAGGTGTGCATACAGAAGATCAGATGCGGACTGATCAATCTTGAGGAGGATTCGGGGTTGCTGCATGGTGTTAGTTGGTCATGCAGCTCACAATTTCACTCCATCGATAGGGGCAGTTGTTGAATCGATATTGCAGCATTGGCCAACCCGCTCAACCGAGCCTTCTCTTGATTAGGGATGTCTGTAGCAAGGATATCTTTGTAGCAGATGCCTGAGACTTCTGTTGGAGCTCCGCTTCTATCCGCTTTTGACGAAATTTTCGGCGAAGATTTCAACGTGTCGAACATGGTCCTGTCATTTCAACGAACATTTTAACAATACATTCGTCGATAACGATCTTTTCCTCTTTGGAGTATAGACCTAATGATTACCGGGAATGCCATTCGTACTTCCGAATCACCAGCCAGTTCAACTGTGTCAGCAGAAGGTAAATAAATGGAATAGTCGTGGCCGGTGCCGAAGATTGTGGTGCATTTTCGGGTGATTTCAGCAGTTGACTGTTCGGCTTGTTTATTGTCCTAGTCCATGCAAAGTGCATGCAATGCTGTATAGTCGCAGTAGTATAGGTTGATGTTCTGCTCCCCTTATTTTGAGGGCGAGATCGAGACATTCATGATACAGTTCAGGTTGCACGAGAACACATCAGTAGCTTGCGGTCGCAAGGGTCTCGAGTCGGCTACCTAGAGAGATATGCAGACAAAAGCATTGGTTTAAAACTCAAGCCTATCTTTCATATCTTTCCGCAGCTGCATCCTGTATCGATATACCCACGATTTCTCAGATGCCTCTTTTGAAATCGGTTGTGGTGGGAGTTGATCGACGAGCAATAAACAGCCCATAATGCGATTGGGTTGATCTCGCTTAGTTCCCGTTAGCTTCCGCCCCCGCTTCTCACCCCCGTGGAACCTCACAACCTCCCGAGGTCAAATCACATAGACTTCCATCGCCCATGATCAATTTGTCAGATGTCGAGGCATCCGCTCGAAGGGAATATTCTTAACGCTGTTCAACTCGCTGCTCCCCTGCGCGGTCAGGGACCCCCTACGTACCGCACCGCGTCGTCGCGTCAATACAGTTAAACATTACGACTGAAGCTCCGTGGCAATTTGCATGGCTCTTTCTTTCATATAGTCCTTTTCTATGCTAAATGTGAAAATATACAAACCGGAATAACACCAACCCAATAAGAAACCCATGTCAGTTACTAATTAAGAAAACCCATTGTCTTCCAAGACGATACATAGGACCGTACCACCTCAGCACTCACCGGCCCTTCGGCGGCCATGGTTTTGGAATGCTCACTTGACTTTTGCGTGTCCAAAACGATACCACCGCAAGCCATGCGCTCAAAGTGGCCCTCGAGGAAGCCTAGGGCAAGGGCGGCCGGGTTGTCCGCCGGTGAGAGAGACGATTGGCGAACCCGTTTAATCCACTCTTCGAAGGGAATGATGCCGTGAGGGGGAATATCCAGTGCAGACGCCAGAACCGTCGACATTTCTTTCCACGGCTGGCCAACGGGGTTGTCGACGTGATAGACCGGATACGCCTCTGTCGCATCATCACGGCAGTCGATATTCAGCAGGTCGACCATGACGCTGGCGGATTTATCCACAGGCAGCCAATGCAGCACACCTCCCAGGTCGGGCATCGCCTTGAGCGCCTGAACGCTTTTCACCACGAAAGCAAAGTGCTCGACTGGGTTCCAGAAACCGCTTGCGGTCGATCCAGAGATCTGGCCTGGCCGTGCCACCATGGCCCGGAAAAGCTGCGGGTGACGGCGCAGCGTGTCGGTGAGCATGCGCTCGCACACCCACTTGCCCTCGTTGTAGCCGCTTGGCATCACTGCGGCCATGGGCATGGCCTGCTCAAGCACGTTGGACTCGGCCGAGAAGCCGGTCACACCGATCGAGGAGATGAATTGGAAACCGATCCTCCGCGGCTCAATTCCTGTTGCCATGTCGCGCGCCAGGTCCAGCAGGTTCCGCATCACCTTAACCTGGGGCTCAAAAGCTTTCAGTGGCCGTGTGGCGCTCATGGGCCACGCGTTGTGGATGATGTGAGTGCCATGCTGCGCAAGCCAAGTGTACTCCTGGTCCGATAGGCCGAGCTGTGGCTTGGAGGTGTCAGTACCATATGCCCGGAGCTTCTCGCGTGCGGCTGGGGACAGCTTGATGCCTCTTGAAGATAGCGCCTCTGCCTGGCGCTTGTCGGCAGGCACCTCGCTGATGGCGCGGTTGATGCAAACGACAGTTGCGACATCCGGCCGTTCGGCAAGTGTTTGGACAATGTGCGATCCAAGGCTGCCCGAAGCACCCGTCACGACCACCACAGCTCCGTCAATGGGGTGGGTGCTGATAGAGCCGTTCACTGCAGCCTCAAGTGCGGCCGACTCCCAACCGGTCGTGTAGGCTGCCACTAGGCGAAGCGCCTCTGCTTCACGGGCTGCTACATCACCCCTATTAATGACTTTCGCTGCTGGGACAGGTGAAGCACTCACCGAATCCTGACTTTTGCTGGTGAAGTCTGAGGCGTCATCCGGAGTGGAGATATCAGAGGTTATGTCTTCGTCCTCCGAGTCCGAGAACGCAACATCGCGCTCTCCGGTTGTTGAATCATCGTCGCTGTCCTCGTCGTCTTCCTCCTCTTCCACGTCCTTCCCACCTCCGGACCTCGCCAAAGCATTCGACACGCAGGCAACGAACTCGCGAAGAGTGGTGGCTACCATCGTCTCTGCGCTGTCGAGCGTGCAGTGGAAGGTATTCTCGATCTCGCGCGCCAGCTCCATGCCCATCAACGAATCAATGCCCAGGTCAGCCATCTCACTGTCGAGGCTCATCTCGCTGGCCTCGATGCCGGAAACGCTGGCGACCACATCGCGCACCTCGTTTGTGACATCGTGCGGCCCACTCGCAGGCTTTGTCTTTTTGGTGTTGGTCTTCTTTGCCTTGGGACGGGATTGGACCGGCGCCGGTTTGGAGTTTGGAATAGCGGCATTGGTAGGCCCGTCAAGGGTGGCAAGAGGTCGTGCAGACGACGGCAGAGATGCTGCGGTGCTTCTCACAAATGACTTATCTGTCGTCACTCGAGCCAGGATCTTGCTCATCGTCGCCTTGGGAATGCGGACATATTTCAGACCCAGAATGACCTCAGCCAGGGCACCCGTCGAGGCATCGAAGATGAAGACATCCGTGACGTAGGCCTTTTCGCTTTGGCGCGCGTGGCGAGCGAGCACGTGCCAGACACTAGGACCATGCTCCTGGCCATCAGTTACAGTCGGGGCCTTTGGCGAGCGCATGACCAGCTCGAGGCCTGTGGCAACGAACATATCGCTCGCGGGGATGTCAGTCAGCAGGTTGACATACATGCCCGCAACTTGGCCGTACGAGTCTGCCTTGGGGACATCAAGCCAGGTGTCGCCGGTGTGGCGCTTGTGCACGACACCCGCGCTCTCCCCGTCGTCACGGCCTACCACGTACCGTACGCCGTGGTACACGGAACCAAAGTCGACAACTTCCTCAAAGGCTCGGTACACGTTACGGCCGTGGAGAGCCTCTACGCCCTCATCGTTCGGGCCCAACGCTAGGACTGCTTGGCACTGCGCGTAGTTAACCACGCGCTCCCAGCGTCCGAATTCTTGCAGAGCGGCCGGGTCGGATGGCGAGCACATGTTGATGCGGCCCTCAGCGTGCTTGTCGTCGACAGAGGAAGCGCTGATGCTGTGGATGGTCCAATACCACTCTGTTTCGGCTTTGTTGAGCGGCTCGAGGTCGATATAGTAGTCGCGTGTCGAGTCCGCACAGATAGGCGAATGGCTGAGCATATCGCGGACTACCGGCGAGAAACCATTCGGTCTCCATTCCGGATTCAGGCTGAAAAGAGTCTCGATGGCCATGTCTATCTCAAGCGTTGCTGGAGCAATGGGCGCCGTCTTCGCGATGACGTGCGTCGAGAACAGGCGCTGGTACTTGTCCGAGGCCGTGTTAATGCGGAACCGAGCCAGCTTTGTTTTCTTCTTGTTGCTGCCACTCTTGTGGTCCTGGAAGCCAATAAAGGTCCATAGATCAAGGGTCTTCGGATTAACTTCTTCTCGCTGTGCCGATCCCGCCGCCAGCAACAGTCCATTGCTTCCGATCATGCTTTGGGCGACCTTGACAGCCTGCTCAATTGGCGACTTGAGCTCGAGCCAATGGCGCGACTTCTCGAACTGGTATGGCGGAAGGAGGAGTTGCGCATACTCGCCCGTCTGTACCCGGTGGTGGGCCCAGAAAGACACACGTAGGCCCTGTTTCCAGAGATCTACAGTTGCATCTGTGAGTCTGTCGATGCCCTTCTTGGTGTTGGTGATGGACACGGATTGGAAGTGGAGCGCATCAGAGTTCGCTGGCGCCGTCTGACCAAGTGCGCGCGATGCCATGACAGTGATAGTCGAGTTGGAACCCGCCTCAAGGAAGATGGCCTGCGGATACTTCTTTGCGAGCCGTTGTACGGCGTGATTAAAGAAGACCGGCTGGCGCATGTGAGAGCCGACAAAGCTCCAGTCCAGTGGGGCCGCCGAGTCGCCATGCTCGGTGGCACGTTCTATCGGAATGACGGCGTCGTGGAAGGTCACTCCTTTGCCGACCTCTCCGAGGCGGTCGACGATGTTCTCTACCAATGCAGAGTGGAAGGCATTGGTGACGTTGAGACGCTTGCTCTTGACGCCCTCAGCCTCGCTGCCTTTTCCAGCCAGCGTGGTTGCAAATGCGTCAATGGATTTTGTTGACCCAGCGACAGTGAAGCTGCGAGGACCGTTATAGCAGGCAATACCAGCTGATCCGTCGGATGTAAGGTTTGACTCCTTCAGGAGATCATGCACAAACGCTTCGTCGGCCTCGATGGCCATCATGGCGCCCGGATCAGGTCCCCAAGCGCTCTGTACCAGCCTAGCCCGACCAGCAATAAGTTTGACTGTGTCTTCCAGACTAAGCACCCCTGCTACGCAGAGTGCTGTTATCTCACCAAAGCTATGGCCCACGGTGGATACTACCTTGTCGGTGAGCCCGCAGTCTATCCAGCTCTTAGCAGAGGCATACTGCATAGCAAAGAGCGCGGTCTGGAGCTTGACCACATCCTGATAAGGCTCACAAGAGAAAATGTCGGGGTAGATGCTGTCTAGGCCGTGAGATGTGATGGCGGCATCGCAGCTATCCAGGTGATACCGCAACACTGCTGCACCTTCGTATACAGCGCGGTCAAGCCCAATGAATGTCGAAACCTGGCCTCCAAAGCACAGAACGACGGGTCGCTCAGGCTTCACAGGAGCAATGCCGATGCTGGCAGCTGTGTCTTTGGTAGCCCCGGTTGCCTTAGCAAGCTTGTCCTGTAGCTCTTCCAATGAACTGCAGCTGAAGATCAGCCCTTGTGGCAAGCTGGGGTTCGATTGCCATTTCATATTGAACGATACATCAGCGAGGTTGGCTTGGCCATCTTCGGGCCCAGTGTGCGAGCGGAGATAGGGAGCCAGCACGGTGGTGTACGCCGCAATGCTGCGGGCGTCGAGGCCTGAAATCCAGAAGGGCAATCGAGCCGCCGATCCGGCCAAGAAGGCTTTGGTAGGCTTGTGAGCCGAGTGAGCAACTACCACGCTCGAATTGGATCCGCAGGCGCCGTAGTTATTGATCAGAGCCAGCTTCCGGTCCTCTGGCCAGGACCGCAACGACGTGACAACCTCCATATTGTCTGACGGCTGCGCATGGACATTGGGATTCATGCTCTTGAAGCTAGCTTGGGGAGGGATGAAATTGCCTCGCATCATTGTGAGCACCTTGATGAGGGAGACGAGGCCGGAGGCGCCTTCCGTGTGGCCGACGTGACCCTTGGCCGAGCCAACAGGCAGAACAGTATCGCGCAGAGGACCAGCTACAGCGTTACGTATGCTTGCCCACTCTGCAGGGTCTCCGACAGGTGTGCCAGTGCCATGACACTCGACCAGCGAAATCTCTCGTGGGTCTACGCGAGCTTTGCGGATCACATGATTGAAGAGTGTTGATAGCGAAGGTACGTTGGGAACAAATAGTGGCGTGGTGTTGAGGTTCTGATTAAGACCCGTAGAGCGGATTGTCCCGAGGACCGTATTACCGTCGGCCATAGCGGTTGATAGCTTCTTCAGGAAGACATAAGCGATTCCGTCGCCGCGGCAGTAACCATCAGCATTAGTGTCGAAGGGTTTACACTGGCCTGTCGGACTGATGAAGCTGCCGGCGGCGAGGTTTTGTGTCCATTGCAGGTTTGTCAAGACATTGACACCACCGCAGAGCGCCGCCGGGACTTCGCCTGACAGCAGATCCCGGCAGGCCATGTGAAGGGCCGTCGTCGATGACGAGCATGCTGTATCAAAAGTCAACGATGGGCCTGTCCATCCAAAGTAATGCGACACTCTCCCGGGGATGAAGCTTCTCAGCTCTCCTGTCCCCGTGAACGCGCTGGTCGGATGGCAATGGATGTTGACATCGTACTCGTAGGAGCAGAGGCCGACGTAAACACCTATGTGCTTCCGTCTTTCGTGCTCAGTCACGCTGGTAGTGGCCATCTCGTTGAAGTATCCGGCCTGTTCGAGAGCTTGGTACGCCGCCTCCAGTGAAATTCGACCCTGCGGGTCTATCGCCATCGATTCGCGCGGGCTCTTCTTGAAGAACTTATGATCGAAAGCGTCCGGGTCGCGCATAAAATTGCCATACCACTTCCTGTCGGGGTCGGCATTGTCGCGGAACAACATGTCGGCCGTCATCCGCTCGGGCGTGATGACCTCGTGCTGCGACTCTCCGGTCTTGATCATTTGCTCAAACTCTTCCAAGTCTCTGCCACCCGCGACCTTGAGGGACATGCCCACGATCGCAACCACATCTTCGAAATCTTCTTCTGGCTTGACACTGGGTCTACTCGGTTCTGCGACCTGAACTGGTTTGACAGCATCTGAGACGTTCACTGTGTTTTGTGGTTGTTGATGGAGGTGCATATTTGACTTGCTGATGTCATCCTCGACATCCTCGAAGTGTACTTGCTTTGAGCCGAAAGCGCGCAGAATAGTGGGCGGCAGAGGGCGGTCGAGCCCAAAGGCAATGAGGGAGATTTTCTCTTTGTTCGCCGCAAGCTTCGAAACTGTGCTGGTCCAGTTTAACTGATTTGCCAGGATAGAGCGTAGCACCATACCAACCAAGTCGACTTCTTCGCCTGAGACTTGCTTCCCCTCGGGGTGGTCAAGGTAAGTGGGCAATGCCAGCTGAGAAGCATCTGGGAACTGTAGCTCAGGAATCGAGTAGCACACTTCGATCAAAGCCTCGGTGTGACGTTCCCGCTCTGGCGTGGGTGTGTGAAGCTGACCCTTGAAGGCGAGCGGTATGGCCGTGACGCCAGCTGCCCGAAGCTGTCTGACAAGCTTGGGCGCGAGGCGCTCTGACGCCGTCACGGTAGCTCGGGACTCGTCAAAGAGGACAGAGATATAGGCATCAGGAAACAATTTGGAGACGATGCGCGTCATATCATCTCCCTGCTTGGGGGTTCTCCACGCTGTAGCCAAGGAGACGGATCCGCCTTTGCGGAGCCCCTTAGTCCACTCCTCGGTGGCTCCTACCAGAGCCGCCATCAGCGCCCCGATACGTAACGCGGCGGCACCGTACTGCTCAAATTCCTGTCGGTTGTGAGAGCTGGCTACAGCGACGGCGGCGATCATGCCTGCACAGAAACCAACTGTCTCGACCTTGTTGCTTCCGCCAGGCTGCTGCTGCTGTTGCTTCACCAGCTTTGCTTGCAAGTCGTCCGCGCCTTTTCCAGTCGGACTGTTGAATCGGAACTCCAGATAGCGCCAGTACTGATCCAGCTGAATAGCGACCATCAGAACACCGATCCAAAGATCTGGTATCTCCGCGTCTGGAGCGAGCGATTCAACGGAGGCAGGGCCATGTCGAAACCACGACTCAAGATCGGCCAGCAAACGAGCACCCTGCATTGTGCTGGCTACCTTGGGGATCTTCTCTGTCATGGCTTCCCAGTACCGTGGCAAGCCGGCCAAGGTTTCTAGTATCCATTCTCCATTTGGCCCGTCGACGATCTGCTGTACCTGCTTTTCCAGCGAGATTTTGCTTTGTGGCCCAATGTGTCCTCCAAAAATGAAGCTCGTCGCTTCACGGACGTCTGATAAGGAGGTAGGTTTAGTGGGGACCATCATTGTTGCTTAACGTGGTGTGTGAGGGGGGGGGGGGACTAATTGTCCAGGTAAAACAAAGAAGAATAGCGAACGATTGAACGTTCAGTCCCGCGGGATATATTGATCTATAAAGAAATGATATGAAGAATAACTATCAGGTATGTATGTTCGATGAAATCGGTGAGATAATGTTCATCTTCTCTTGTTTTAAATAAAAGCAATGCTTTCTTTGGCTATTTCCCTCAGCCTCGTGTAGAATAATCATTAGACCCTGGTTGTCTTCCCGCAATAACTTTTGTGCAGAAGGAAGGCTTACAGCAGAGGCCTGCTATCGGATTTCCGGAGCAAAATAACAGCGAACTAGGCAGCACGACGGATCAGCGCTGTTATTTCAATGCGCAGACGGGAATTCCGAATGCTGGAAGACAGAGCGGGCAATCTACTGAAGATGCAAGGTTCTTGGCCGTCTGATATGCAGGGACAATGGCTCCAATATCCCAGCGATGTCAAGCACGTGGCAATTACATGGCACGCACATGGAGGAGACACCGAATATGGGTTGATCTACATGGGATTTTACATGACTGCATATATGCGGTGTTACTATAAATCTTCATCAAATATCAAACTCACCCAAACGTATGGATGTTTCGCATCGAATGCAACTTTCTAGTACATATCGCAATAGCTATTTTGAGACTATCCGACACAGTTGTCAACGGACTCGACCAATGGAGATTCAAATTGTAAGCCTCCTAATCATGGCCGAGTGGTGGTGAGTGCAAGTCAAGGGGAATTGAAAGTCCGGGTTGAAGACTCCGTTGCAGGGGTTGTGAGCTGGCCTCCGTCCTTCTCACGAATCCTCCATCATGCCACCACATCTGTCAGCCTCTCTATGTTGTACCGGGCGACGTATATATATACATGTATATATTTGATGTCAGCTAATCAAGCATATTTTCTATGGTAGTGTGTCTATTGTGTCACTTGTCTGCCCTTTTTTGAATTGTTTCTACAGACTTCCTTGTACTGTCTGATCTTTTCGACTCAGCTAGACCCAAATCGATTTACTAGTGATTATTTCACATCTTTGCCATGGCGAGCAGCAGCACCAATGGCAACGGCATTGCACGCCCTCTTGAGGTGGCCGTTGTGGGTGGTGGCATCATCGGCGTGATGACAGCGATCGGCCTGCATCGCCGAGGCATAAACGCAGTCATCTACGAGCGGGCGCCCACCTGGCACGAGGTCAGCGCCGGATTTGCATTCACGGGCGCAGCACGTGTGTGGATGGAGATGTTAGACCCTGCTCTCGTCGAGCTCCTGGGCAGAATCAGCCAGAAGACGGACTCCACCACGAGCAACGCCTACTGGGATGGCTACCACCCGCGAACCCAAGAGGAAGCCTTGGATGAATCAAAGTCGCTGATGTTCAGGACACCGACCAACAACCTCAGCTTCTGGGGCTGCGTGCGCTCGCAGTTCCTCCAAGGCATGGCGGACTTGCTGCCTGAGGGGTCAGCGAAGTTTGGGAAGCGACTTGCGAGCTACGACGATGACAACCAGAGCGGCAAGGTCGTTCTCCACTTCGACGACGGTACCACAGCGGAGGCTGATGTCTTGCTTGGATGCGACGGCATTCATTCCTCCACCCGGAAAGTCCTGTTGGGCGCCGACCATCCCGCCACCCGGGCGGGCTTCAGTCACACCGTTACCTACCGCACCATGGTTCCTATCGACGTGGGCATCGCCGCGCTTGGCGAGAAGGTTGCGAAGAGCGCCTGTAATCACTTGGGCCCAGGCGCAGACCTGCTGGTTTATCCGGTTTGTAGATATTCTACTCCGCCCATACGGGATTACTAATATAATTAGGTTATGTCCGGAACTCTTCTGAATATCGCCGTGTTCGCTTACGATGGCTCGGAGTTTCCCGATCCCGACAAGATGACGATTCCGGCAGAACGTAGCGAGATCGAGCAACTTTTCAAGGGCTGGAGTCCGCAGCTCGCCAACATTTGGAAACTATATCCCGAGAAGGTGGTCAAGTGGGGAATCTTTGATCTGGAAGCAAACCCGCCCCCGACGTATGCGGGCGGCCGCGTCTGTCTCGTCGGCGATGCCGCGCACGCCAGCACCCCATATTTGGGAGTCGGCGCCTGCACAGGCGTTGAGGACGCTCTTGTAATCTGCACGCTCTTGGAGTCGGTGCAGCAGAAGGCATTTGGCGGCGATGCGCTGAAAGAGGCGCTGACAGGAGCACTACAGACCTACAGCCAGGCAAGGTTGGAGCGTGGCCGGTGGATCCATCACCACTCCCGCCAGATGGGTCAGATGTATCATTGGCGATACGGCCCGACTGGGCGCGACCCGGAGCGGATGAAGGAGACGCTCGAGAAAAACTGGTCCACGGTTGTGAACTACGATGTTTTGGAAGCGCTGGAGCCTGAGCTACGCGAATTGGCGAGGTCTCACAAGAAAGTAGTATGAACATGTACCTGCGCGACTTTTTATTTAAGAATGTTGGTCCTAAAATATAACTAGAACTGCAGACACGGAGTACAAGCATGTAACTATAGATGCACTTAGACCTGCATGGTCTCATAGCGCCGGAGTCGCCGTATGCAACATGCAGTATACAGTATATAGCCCTGTCGATCAAAATAAGAATCGCATAGAAACATCCTGGAGGGCCCTAGAGCCTGCCGACACTAGGTAATTGATAAGTGTTAATAATCTTCGAGGGTAACCTATACCGTTGCAGTGCCCACATTTTCCCCCTTCTCTCGATATGGAGCTATTTCACTTTTCTTTTTCTAATGAATTTTCTTATTTTTAATAGATTAAGCTAAATAATATATTACCATACACCAAACAGGATTTTCCGGCCATCTCAATTAGCTCAGACTGTGGATTAATGAAGGGTATCGGATAACGTCTGCCAGCGAGATCTGGCCACACACGCGAACCGGCCATCCCAAAACACATAGTGAATGCGATAAATGACAACTTGAAATCTCAAAAACGGTGATCTTGATAGGGATTTCCTAATGTTTAAGGCCCTTTATATCGTTTCTTAGTGGAGTTAAGAAAGTATTTATAACTTCGTGATCGTGAAACATATATTTCTAGCTGCGAGCGACGTAACTTTCAATACCGTAACAACGAGGCTTTTGATTTTGTTGGAATTAAAATATAGTGCTCAAAAGCCTTATCAATAGCTACAAATGATAATTAAATCGAATAATAGCCTGGTTGTTGCGATATGAGGTTGTAAAATATCGCATTTACTAAGTGTTTCGAGCTGGCCAGTTCGCTTGTTAACATTGCGAGAGAGATACGCACAACATTTCTTGCTCTTTAGTTATAGTACGGCACAGTTTAGAATGTGAATCTGCATTATCTGCGATTCTTAACGCATTTATGCTTGTTTTAAACTTGGTGTAACTTTTGCCATTTATAGTAGTTGTTCTGTTCTGGATTCCCCCCGGTAAATGTTATTGCTAGTTACGAATCTTTGTACATGAAGCTAAAAGTTTCTCAAGATATCCTAATATTTCAAATAATTTTGACATACATTGATTGGTAAACGCTGAGTGGCATAATAGCACGAGTATAATCTAGTATTTGAAGGAGGTATCTACAAAATACGGTACTTGATCAGATATAGAGCTCGATAGATGTATATCGGTATACATTTATGTAGTATCAAAGTCATACATAATCCATGCCTTGCAGTCCTTTACTGGGGAGGTTTCATGATAGAACGATCGCCAGTGGACCAAATATGGGTGGACTTCATCGTCTTCAACTTCCAAAGGTCGTCCACTTTGACAGCGTCGCAGTTGTAGAACGCGCCAGTAGTGAACTTCACAGAGTCCGGCTCGTAGCCCTTGCCAAGGATGCAGTGCACAGCCTGAGCGTTGAAGGTGACGCGGGCGGTGGTTTCGGTGTCGACGCTTACGCGCACGTTGGTGAGGTAGTGGATCGTGTCAACCCGCTCGCTGACATTCGTCCACACCTTGTCCCTGAGCTCTTCATAGCCATTGCAGACTTTGAAGGCGATGTCGGTGTAGACATCAGGTGTCACGCTCGACTTGAGAAGTTCCTCGCTGGACTGGTCGATGGACAGGAAAGCGCGGTAGCACGCATCGGCGATGGCGTCGCGATCACTCAGGGGCGGGCCGGCGAGCTTAGCGGGAAGGGGCGTGCCGTTCTGAACCATGGTTTCGGTGGGTCTGTGGGAAAGATGGGGTTTGATGTGTTTGATGTGTTTGATGTTGAGGAGTTGTTGATGCTACTTGCTACAGCTGGACATATTCGTCTACTTTTTTATAGTCACTCGGGTCAGACGGAGCATAAAAAACCACTATGGACACCATCTAGAACTCATAGTATTTCCGTGGTATCAGCGCTCGCATATTGATATCCCGCAAGGCTATGCCAAGACCCGCTTCATTTGGCCGATTATCTGATTGTTGCCCCGCTACCGGACAATCAATGTCCCTGGCGTCAGCCTCAACAGCGAACCCCAGCCTCACGGAGCTTGAAGATCCACCGATGTGCAGCACTCACAACTGCCAGCTGATAAACTATGCCGCGCAAATGGAAGGATCAGCCCACGGGTAGGTATATCGCAGGGAGTAGCATAGCTGCTCGTTTCTAGTCTATCTTTCTTTCTTTCCTACTGCACTGGACTGCCAATCCACAATCACGCCAGAAAAAGAGTATTGATACACAACGATGGCCCAGCCTATAGAGAAGCAAACAGGCTGGCTGACCGCCGCCAAAGCCACACCTCTCGAGGTCGGCCCAGCGCCCTACACACCCCCGGACCCGGGCAGCTCGTCGTCCGCAACGCCGCCATAGGGATCAACCCCTTCTGCGTCGGCGACTGCGTCCTAGCTATGGCCGGCCTCATCCCCTCCAACAACACCACCGAAGGCGCTTTCCAGCTCTATACCGTCACACGTGAGTGGCTCACCACGCCTCAACCATCACACATCAGCTTCGAGCAAGCCTGCGCCTTACCTCTAGCCCTCATTGTCGCTGGAGTGGGCTTGTTCGTGAAGGAATACCTCTAGCTCGACCTTCAAACAATCCCCGCGCGTCCGGCTGACAGATCCCGCGTCGTCATAACCGCAGGTGGTGCGTCCTCCGTCGCTGGCACAGCGGGGTAAGCAGTCGTCTCCACTTCATGGCCTAAGAAATTTGACCTCGCCAAGAGCCTGGGCGCCACGGATGTCGTCGATTACAGCTCCCCGATCATGGGAGACAAGCTGCTCGCCGCAATGCGCTGGCGGCAGCTGACTGGGGGCGGAGAGCCCTGTGAGGCCGATTTTTAAGGAGTATTTCAAAGGCGCTGGAGGGGGGTGTCGGCGAAGAAGATCGTTCTAAAACTGTAAACGGGGGCTCAGAGAGGGTCGCCGATAGTTAAGGTCCAGCTACTGCTACTGGGGTCTGCAGAGGAATAGAAGACAGGCATTTGTACATCGAATTCCATCCACCAGCGTACATGACTTGAATACATCCCTTCTGATTGAGGTATCATGTCCAGCTGTTATTAAAGTCTGTAATGTATACTTCGTACTTGGAAACTCAATATTACCTACTATTACTAAATTTACATTATGCAATCCTATAACTTCGGAGATGTCATATCACATTGCATGATACTTCGATAGAATATTTCATATATCTGATGAATGAGTGCAGATATCCATCGTAATGCTTCCCTAATTGCCTTTGATTCAATATCGATAAATCGCTTGGAAGGCTTGTAGGTTGACTATGGAGATCCATAGATCTTGACATGGAGGAAGTGTGGATGTCGGGTTTAACCGTGAACGGCCCCACTTGACCCAGACGACCCAGGCGACACCTAATTAAACGGTGCAGTACCTATCCAAACTACTTGCTTTATCATTCATTTTGTGTACAATCATGACCTACGCGGGCCATAACATGTTATCCGGAGCTAAATCAGCGAGTCTTCTCCCAAAGATTTTCAGAAACAGACCCGAAATCAGCCGGGGAATATTTCTTCAACGGACTTAATATTGCCCGCCACAATGTCTCTCATCGTAAGCCGGTATGCCTACAGGTAGTGGTCATTGTGGATACTTCGGTAAATTGATGCTTCGCTCAGGAACGGAGTGCTGAGAATGTCGGTATATCGCAGTCCGCATCGTTGAGTTGGCTGTGACTGAGGCTGAACCAGCCATCTCCACGTGGTGCTATATACACTGACTGCGAACAGGACCAGCCTGATAAATTGACTAAAAGAATTTTCATTTTTCATAGTGTATGGTGGCTTCTTGCATAATCTAGCCCTACAAACACCCACCAACTCCCATCGAGAGTCCTGACCACTATCTACTCCATTCCATTCTCATATTCTTCACCATCACAACAGGGCTATAGACCTTGACCAGGTCCAAATCATCTTGATAAAATGGACACCGAAAACAGCGAGTGGGCCAGCGAGCCCATTGCCATCATCGGCATGAGCTGCAAATTCTCTGGCGGCGCCAGCAACCCAGACAAGCTCTGGGACCTCATGGCTTCAGGGAAGACCGGCTGGAGCGAAATCCCAGAAGATCGGTATAATATTAAAGGAGTCTACCATTCCAACCACGAAAGAACTAGTACGGTGTGTAATAAACTTACGCACATTTGATATACAAACGACGTACTGACAACCGACCCTAGACACACGTCAAGGGTGGCCACTTTCTTGAGGATGATGTAGCAGCATTTGATGCGGCATTCTTCAACTACTCGGCGGAAATGGCCCAGGTGGTTGACCCGCAATTCCGGCTGCAGCTTGAGTCTACTTATGAGGCGCTCGAAAATGGTATGTGCCCACTGCCTCATTCCTTTCCACTGGATTGACATCCAACTAACTCGGATTGTAGCTGGCCTACCTCTCTCGCAGGTGATGGGATCACAGACATCCGTATTCGCTGGTGTTTTCACGCATGACTACCAAGAGGGAATCATCCGAGACGAAGATAGGCTGCCCCGTTTCAACGTAGTGGGCACATGGAGCCCCATGTCATCCAACCGCATCTCGCACTTCTTTGACTTCCGTGGTGCCAGTATGACTCTGGAAACGGGATGTTCTACGACACTGGTGGCCCTGCATCAAGCAGTACACACCTTGCGCAATCGCGAGGCCGACATGTCCGTGGTGACGGGAGCCAACGTGATGCTGAACCCCGACACATTCAAGGCGATTGGGTCACTGGGAATGCTGTCGCCCGACGGCAGGTCATATGCATTTGATTCGCGCGCTAACGGGTACGGTCGCGGAGAAGGCGTAGCCACCATCATCATCAAGCGACTGTCGGACGCACTGGCTGCTAACGACCCCATTCGGGCCGTGATCCGCGAGACGGCCCTGAATCAGGACGGCAAGACAGACACTATCACGACGCCATCCGGCGCCGCCCAGATCGAGCTCATGCAGGAATGCTACCGCCGAGCTGGCCTCGACCCGCGTGGCACTCAATACTTTGAGGCCCATGGCACGGGAACTCCAGCCGGTGACCCAATCGAGGCGGGAGCTATGGCCGCGATCTTTGGCGGAGGTGAAGGCCGCGACAATGAGGAGAACTACCTGCGCATTGGCTCCGTCAAGACCAACGTGGGCCATACTGAGGCCGCTTCGGGTCTCGCCGCCATGGTCAAAGGTGTCTTGTGCCTCGAGAAGGGGTTAATTCCGCCCACTGTAAACTATGAGACTCCCAACCCGAAGCTCAAGCTTGACGAGTGGCGTCTCAAGGTGGTGAGGACGATAGAGCAATGGCCTGACAGTCTGGTTGATGGTCCGCACCGTATGTCGGTCAACAACTTTGGCTACGGCGGAGCGAATGCCCATGTCATTCTAGAGAGCGCGGACCCATGGACTTTAACACCAGGTCTGGATCTCAGCCCCGTTAATGGCAATGGCAGTCACAGTGTGAATGGTAATGGGCATTCCAACGGCAACGGCTATACTAATGGCAGCTATCACACGAACGACACCACTGATGACACCAAAGTGTTAATCCTCAGTGCGCGCGACGAGCGGGGCTGCCAGCAAATGGCTTCAGACCTCAAGGCTTATCTGAAAAAGCACAAGTCACTTGGACACGAAGCCTCCGAGCAGCTGCTGCGTAATCTCAGCTACACGTTGGGTGAGCGCCGGACGCTCTTCCAGTGGGTTGCGGCGTACCAAGTGCGTCTTGAGAAGGACGATACCCTTGACGCTGCCATCCAAGCCCTTGACTCGCCTCGTTTCAAGCCCGGCCGCCGAGCCTCGGATAGTCCTCGCATCGGCATGATTTTCACCGGCCAGGGCGCGCAGTGGTATGCCATGGGTCGCGAGCTACTGTCGTCGTACCCTGTTTTCCGCCAGTCTATTGAGGAAGCCGAGGCGTACCTGCACGCCCTTGGGGCTGACTGGTCGCTCCTCGAGGAGCTACAGCGCGACCGAAAGACGACAAGGGTCCACGACACGAAGATCAGCATTCCCGTGTGCGTGGCGCTGCAGATCGCATTGGTACGCCTGCTTGAAGCGTGGGGCATCACACCATCTGCTGTCGCAAGCCACTCGTCGGGCGAGATCTCAGCTGCCTTTGCCGTGGGTGCCCTCACACATCGCCAGGCCATTGCGACAGCCTACTACCGCGCCGTACTCGTAGCAGACGAGACAAAGCGCGCACCCGGAGCTGCCGAGGGTGCTATGGCGGCCGTCGGCTTGGGTGTTGAGGCAGTGCAGTCCTATCTCGACAGAGTGACAACGGCGAACGGCAAAGCTGTTGTTGCATGCGTCAACAGCCCTCAGAGTGTCACCATCTCTGGTGATGCTGATGCCGTTCAAGAGATCGAGGACTTGTGCAAGGAGGATGGCGTGTTCGCTCGTCGTCTCAAAGTCCAACAGGCATACCACTCACACCATATGGATCCTTTCGCTGATGCCTACCGGGAGTGCCTTCGAGTCGAAATGGCGCGGGGTGTGGCTCAAAGTAGCAAACAACATCCGCAGGCAGCCAAACAACAACTTAAGGCGGTGTTTTCGTCCGCAGTCACTGGCGGACGTATCACCGACATTAAGGACCTCGCCAATCCCGACCACTGGGTTGGTAGTCTGGTACAGGCGGTCGAGTTTGTGGACGCCGTTACTGAAATGGTGCTGGGCGATCCGGATGACCCGACGGGCAGAAGTGTGGACGTATTGCTCGAGGTCGGCCCTCATACGGCGCTAGGAGGCCCTATCCGCGAGATCTTATCCCTGCCCGAGTTCGAGGGCCTCGAGCTCCCATACTGGGGCTGTCTAGTACGCGATGAACACGCAGGCGACAGTATGCGATCGGCCGCCATCAACCTGTTCCGTGAAGGGCAATCCCTAGAAATGAACCAGATCAACTTCCCCGTGCCTGCATACGACGACGAGAGCCCTCAGGTCTTAACAGATTTGCCATCATACCCATGGAACCACGCTATGCGTCACTGGCAAGAGTCAAGAGTCAACCGGGCCATTCGCGAACGCAGTCAGCCACCTCACGAACTCCTCGGCATGCCCGTCGCTGGCAATGACCCCAGCTCGGCTGTGTGGCGACGTATGTTGCGCGTTACTGAAACCCCGTGGGTCCGTGATCATATGGTGCAAGGCAGTATTGTGTACCCAGGCTCGGGCTACATTTGCCTCGCGATTGAGGCCGCTAGGCAATTGGAGAAGGCCGGTACCACCAACGAAGGTATCTCGGGATTCCGCCTGCGCGACGTCAACTTCCTTTTCGCACTTGTTATTCCAGACAGCGCGGAGGGAGTTGAGATCCGAACCACCCTTCAGTCTGTCCCTGAGCGGGAAATTGGCGCCCGCGGCTGGCGGCGCTTTGAGGTATCGTCAGTCACACTGGATAACCGGTGGACGCTGCACGCCAAGGGCATGATCATGGTCGAGCGGGAGGCGACTGCCATTGAGACGGCAGAGCACCGTCCGTTGTCTACTTACACCCGCCAGCCGGACCCTTATGACTTGTTTGCCAACCTCAGGGCACGTAGCGTCTATCATGGCCCCCTATTCCAAAACACAACCAAGATCATCCAGGATGGCCTGGAACCACGATCCGTATGCGACATCACGATCCGTCATGAAGTTTCGTCCGATACAGACCCAGTTGTAGCGGCACAGAACACCTTGCTGCATCCGATCACGCTCGATGCTGTTGTTGTGGCGTTCTATTCCGTACTGCCGAGCGTCGGAGCTCTGCAGGAAGACCCGAAGCTACCGCGGTCCATCGCATCAATGTGGGTATCGAGCAACATCAGCCACGAGATCGGCCGCACCCTGCACTGCGATACTTCACTGCTGCACGACGACGCTCAAAGCGGACTTGCTGACATCACAGTTTTCGATGGCCAGACGGACGCCACGGTGCTCAAGATCCAGGGAGTTGAGTTAGCATCTCTGGGACGTGGCAGCGGAGCTACAGCGCGCCAGGATGCGGCAAACAAGGGGGGTGCTGCTATCACCAGCAAATGGGAGCAAGAAGTGTGCAGCAAGCTCGTGTGGGGACCCGATTTGTCGATTCGAAACCCGCTGGCTCTTGCGCAAATCAAGAAGCAACTGGTTCCTACCGACTCCGATGCCGACGCAGAAATTGCCAGGAATCTACAGCGCTTGTGCATTTATTTTGCTCACGATGCGCTACAAGCGCTCACCTCAGAGGAAGTAGCCAAACTACAGGAGCAGCCACACTTGGCCAATTACTACGCATGGCTACATGATTTGACTGCCAAAGCCACCAAGGAATTGGCACTGGAGGGTCCCCAGGAGCGCCAACAATGCATAGCCGCTACGACCTCGCAAAGCGTCGATGGGAAGTTGGTCGGCCGCCTCGGGCCCCTCCTTCCGTCCATCCTCCGCGGTGAGCTCAAGTTGGAAGAAGTGAGTGGGTTGCTGAATGAGTACAATGCCAACGCGATGCGTCGGTCATCAGCACTTAGACAGCTCTCTGCGCTACTTCGCAAAGTTGCACACAAAAACCCAGGTGCCCGCGTCCTCCAGATTGGTACCGGTACTGGCGCCCACGCGACACGTCGCATACTGGAGGCGCTTGGCACGCCCAAGACGCCCTTGGTGGCGAGCTGGCACATTACCGAGCCATCTTCGGAGTCCCTGGAGGACGCTCGTGCTCAGCTTGCTGACTGGGCTGATTTGCTCGAGTTCGACCAACTCGACATCGAGCAGAGCCCAGCCAAGCAGAAGTTTACCCCAGGGAGTTACGACATTGTTGTAGCCTTCCAAGCTCTGCGCGCCACGAAGAACGCAACCAGTGCCGTTGCAAATGTTCGCAGCCTGCTCAAACCAAGCGGCACGTTGCTCTTTGCGGAGACCACCAATGATCAGGTAGATGTGGATTTCATCTTTGGCCTGCTGCCGAGCTGGTGGCAAGGTGAAGAGTCCGACCGCCCAACCCCCACAGCATCCTCCTGGGATAACGTGCTTCGGGACGCTGGGCTTAGCGGTGTCGATCTTGAGATCCCTGACTCGGAGAGCGACATCATCCATACCAACAGTATCATCATGTCCACGGTGCCGCTCGTCGAAGACCAGAAATCCAACCTGGGCAAGGCTAATAACGGAGAGAGCTTTGTCGTGGTCACCAGCAGCAAGACACCTCCACCACCGGGCTTTGTGGATCTGCTATCCCGGCGCATTCAGGCCTTGATTGGTGCTGACACTGTTACCCCCGAGCACCTAGTGCTCGAGCAGAGCAGCTTCGACACCTACAAGACTAAGATCTGTGTTTTTGTTGGCGAGATTGACAAACCCATTATGGCGGATCTCGACGCAGCGCGTATGGAAGGCCTCCGTGCCATGGTCACGCAATGTAGCGGCCTGCTATGGGTCACGACCGGTGGTACCGTGGAGAGTGAGGCGCCCGAACGGGCTGTTCACCAGGGCTTCCTACGGGTACTGCGCAACGAGTACATCAGCCGCCGCATCCTCTCCCTAGACCTCGATCCTGCACATGCAGCTGAGAGATGGTCCTCGGGTGGAGACGCCGTCGTCTCCGCTATCGTTCAGGTACTCGAGGAGGGATTCGGCCGTGCCGACACCGAGGCCGGTCCGACCGAGTTCGAGTACGCCGAGCGTGATGGTGTCCTGCAGGTTCCCCGGTACTACAAAGACGAGCAATACAATGATATGGTCACTGGCCCGCTTGTGCCGAGCTGGAGTGAGGTTCTACCAGTGGCCAAAGACGAGAAGGGAAGTATCGATGCTATTTCCAGCATTCCACTAGAACCCCTCTTCCAGGAGGACCGGCCACTGCGACTAGAAGTGGGCATCCCGGGACACTTGGACACATTGGCCTTCACTCATGACAAGGAGGAGCATGAAGAATTGACACCTGAGCTGGTGGAGATTACCCCTCGGGCCTACGGAGTTTGCTCGCGCGACATCGTCGCCGCTATGGGCCAAATCAAGGATCGTTCCATGGGCCTCGAATGTGCTGGTATCATCACACGCGTCGGTACTGAGGCTCAGGCAAAGGGCTACAATGTCGGAGACCGTGTCATGGCGCTTTTGACTGGCGCGTCTTTCGCTAGCCGTGCCTATGTCCCATGGCATGGCGTCATCCAGATACCGAGCGACATGGACTTTGTGAACGCCGCGTCGCTTCCCCTAGCATTTACTGTTGCTTATGCCGGCCTTGTTGATACCGCGCGTCTAGCAGCTGGACAATCGGTGCTCATCCACGCCGCGGCCGGGGCCATTGGGCAGGCCGCCATCATGCTGGCAAAGCACATCGGTGTAACCGAGATATACGCTACGGCCGGGTCGCAGGAGAAGCGAGACCTTCTCCAGCGTGAGTACGGCATTCCTGCCGAGCGCATCTTCACTAGCCGCGACGCATCTTTCGCCCCAGCCGTTCTGGCTGCCACTAAGGGACGTGGCGTTGACATCGTGCTTAACTCGCTGCCAGGTCTGCTACTACAGGCAAGCCTCAGCGCAATCGCGCCTCTGGGCTACTTGATCGAAATTGGCAAGAAGGATATCGAGGGCAACAGTCTGGTGGCGCTAGAGTCTTTCTCTCGTGGTATCTCGTTTACATCATTAGATGTCCCGACGTTCTTGCGCCGCCGCGGACCCGATGTACACCGCGCGCTTGGTGAGATCGCCCGCTTGATCGAACAGCAGGTAGTGAAACCGGTTCACCCCGTCGTTATTTACCCCATGCAGGACGCTCAAGCGGCTTTCCGCTTCGTGCAGACTGGTGCACAGATGGGCAAGGTTGTGCTCTTGACTGGAACAGAAGAACAAGTCCACATGGTTCCTCAGCCGAAGGGGATCACATCTCAAACACAACTGCGTCCTGATGCATCATACCTCATAGTGGGTGGTGTGGGCGGCATCGGACGCTCAGTCGCGCACTGGCTGGTAGCTCATGGCGCGAAGAACCTGATCTTAGTTTCTCGTAGCGCCGGCGACCTTGACCTCGTCAAGAACAAGAACACCGACGGCGCACTATTCATCCGCGAGCTTCGCGAGATGGGCTGTCGAGTGAAGCCCATCAGCTGCGACATTTCCCTCGCCAGCTCACTGACCGTCGCTCTCAGGGTCTGCGAAAACGACGGCTTCCCGCCAGTGCGCGGCATCATCCAGGGCGCTATGTTACTACGCGACGCTATCTTCGAGCAGATGACACTCGAGGACTGGAGCAGCGGCCTACGACCCAAGCTGTACGGCACCTGGAACCTACACACCGAGTTCTCGCAGCCAGGCTCACTCGACTTCTTCGTCATGCTCTCATCCGTCTCAGGCGTGGTAGGTATCGCCTCGCAAACCAACTACGCTGCCGGCGGTTCCTACGAAGACGCCATGGCTCGCTGGCGCCAATCCCGCGGCCTACCCGGCGTGGCGATTGACCTCGGCCCTATCTCCGACATTGGCTACGTCTCGACCTCATCCAAAGTCGCCGAGCGCCTACGCAAGGATGGCGACTTCGCCATGCTCGACGAGGACATCGTGCTCCGCGCCCTCAATGCCGCTGTCCTGCACCCGCTCGGCGCCCGCTCCCAAATTATCGTCGGCCTTAACTCCGCCCCGGGCCCGCAGTGGGACGTCAACGGCCGCTCGCAGCTCGGCCGTGACGCACGCTTTGCACCTCTGAGACCGCGCAGCAAAGCCTCAGCACGACCCGATGGTGAGAGTAACGGTGCCTCGCTTTCCGCGCAGCTCGCGGAGGCAAGCGACCCCCAGGAAGGAGCGGAGCTTATTGGTGCGGCTATTGCGGTTAAGCTGGCGGATATCTTCATGACGCCTGTTGAAGAGATCGATCTTGCCAAGCCCCCCGCGCACTTTGGTGTCGACTCGCTGATTGCGGTCGAATTGAGGAATATGCTCGTCTTGCAGGCTGCGGCAGATATTTCCATCTTTAATATTTTGCAGACGGCGAGTCTTGCTGCGCTGGCCGGGTTGGTCGCGGAGAAGAGCCGGCATTTGCAGGATGCCTAGAGGATGCCTAGATCATTCTCAGTTAAGATATGATTTTTTCTCTATCAGATTGATACTGTGGTCAATAGTATGATTGGCGCAGATGTTTTTTGTAGACTTTATCGTTTTGTTTTGATTCGTGGACTACACTACTATATAGACCGTTTGAACACTTTATGCAGCAATATAATCCCTTTTTTTCAAATAGTTGTACTACATTTCAAACATCTCTAGTGTGCGGTAATATAGCCATGTTGGCTTTGTTCAAAGCCTGACTTAGGCAGTTGTCTTAAGGCTGGACTGGGGGTATGTGAGAGGGGTGGAAACAGTGTTGCTTCCAGGTCCTTGGGATATTACTTGACGTCGAGATAATTCCTCCATGGCTTCTTTGTCTTTTTAATCTTGGGCTGCGCACGATCATAATAGAATCAAATCTAGCGACGATTTCATTCCTATGAAGGCAAATCTTGGCAAAGCTTTAACAACTAACAACGAAAGCGGGCATGCCAACGCCAGCGGGAACCTTTGCAATGACCCTCCGGCACAGCGTAAGAATTTTCTCTATTTCGGGTTTGTTATATCTATATGTATATATGAACTAAGTGGAATTGAACATCAAGTAAGGTTTCCACCTCCAAAACTCCACAAATTGCCCGCATGGGCATATGCTAATACCACGTAAAGATACGTCCTTTTCATACGTCGTGATTGATTCATATCTGGGTGCAACCTCATATTCTAGGCGAGAGCAGACCAGTTGTCGTTCTGGGGTTCTAATAATTGGAGGAAGTTTTGTGCAAGCTTGTTGAGGCCAGTCGAGGCTTGCAACGTCGTTACGATACTAGGCATGAGCTTGATATAAGCGTCATTTAGCCCGGGGTGGGATTGGGAGAATCGGGCGCCTAGGAGGAGCAGGATGGGCGTTAAGGGGTGCATCTGCTAGATTGTTAGCAATTCGGCTTTTGCACTATGATTTGGGGAGGCTACTTTACCTGAAAGTGCTGACCAAGCACTGCGATTAGAAGAGCTATGTCGGCCACGGCATCCAGTGACTGCTGCTTGTGTTCCGTGTAGAGAGCTTGGGTGAGCTGCGTTCCTTGTGCGTCGATACCTAGGGGCCTAGATTCGACAAGGTCGTACAGCATAAACACGGCTACATGTGCCGCCAGAGTAACAAAGGTGATGATAGGATCTGGGTACTCCAATGATGCGTATATTCGCAGCATCCTGATGCGTTTCGCCAACAGTGCATTAAGGGAACGGTGTCGATGGCAGAACTCTTGACAGGGTCTGGTCGGAGGTTTCTGTTTGTGTTCTAGGACCCGTCCACAGATGGTAGCTCCGATGACGCTTTCTGTAAAAGATGACAGGTTTTTGTGTGGCCACTCTTGGTCGTCCGCCGGAATCATATCTGCGAGAAAATCCATATCCGCGGGACGACCACTTGCGAAGTTCGCCTCGGGGGCTGGCAAGCGGGTACGGATCTGGAAGGTAAGTAAGTATATTGTCGTTCGAAACATTACTTTCGGGAAACTCACCAGCCGTTCATCGAAGAACATGTGCAGCCCCTCAACCATACTCGTGAATCGATCAATTGTATATGCAAGCCAGAAGGTCCGCCTTTTCGTTTCAATATCGATCCAGTTATCTTGAACTAGCCCCTGAAGAGTGAGCTGCCCTTGATACTGTTTCAGTTGCATGGTAGGAGGTGTTTGGGGTACATCAAGTTCGTATAACCTCATCATCTGGATCAAGCGAAAGGCCCTCCCGGCGGACATCATGCCTCGGTGGAAATCCTGGCACGTTAATTCATAGATCGCAAGCAAGGTCCACGCCTGGGCCTGCTCGAGGGATATTTGATGACAGGGTTCCTCTGACTCGAGTGCATGCAGAAGTTGTCTTGTCTTTGCGTATAATTTGCGCCCATCGACTTGGAACTGACTGGAGAGCGATGAGGCCAACGTCCACATAGCATATTGTAGGCAAGTTTTCTGCTTGCTCTTATTTGGCTGTTTAGACCAAGAACGGTAGCGGTGTGTTTGCAATATTGGCGCAAATGCATAAGCCCGATCGAAATAAAGCTGGTCTCTATAAGAAGTATTAACATAGTTGATCTTTGAATCCGCCTCCGGCGTCAAGACTTACAGGTCGTTGTGCATCATGGGAGTGATCAGAAGATCGGGTTCCATTGGAATATGAACCAGGTCCTGAAGATTGTCCAGTGAGGGAAATGAGGGAAAGGGAGAGCTTGTATACGAAGGGTCAAAACATCCCCAGGGCTCCATGGGCATGATGGGAAATTGGAATTCCACCGGTGCCGGCCATTGTGGGATTCCAATCGTGTCGGGAGTTGTGCTGGTGGTATTTTGAATTTCATTATTGTCTGTACTGCTACCACCGCTACCACCTTCGTTGTCCGTATTGCCCCCTTCTTGGAAGGGTGAGAAGGCTCGTGTCTCAGAAGTAGCGGTAGATGTCCCTTGTTGTTTTTCTAGTTGAGTCTGGAGGTCCTCTGGCGCAACACAACTTCATTAGCCTAAGAGCTAGAGGAGCAAAGGAGGAGAATAATTGCAAGCAGCCCTTACCAATCCTTTTCTGTAGCGTCTTAAGATATCCTTTCTTTGGCCCTCGGGGCGGGCAGCTGTCCCGCACTACACAATTCACCCCGGAAGTGGCACAAGCCGTGCATTGCGGTGTCCCTCTATCGCAGCGGATCCTTTTTCGTCGACATTCTTCGCACTGGTCATCATGGTGTCAGTGTAAAGACTCTCTGAATGGACGAAGCTGACCACCTACTGCAACTCCCGGTTGTTGTCGCTGTGGTTGCCCCGCCATAGCTGCTTTAGAGCAGTCTATGCTCTGTAGTTGACCAAGTAGAGTATGGCAGTCGCTATTCTTGTTGCAGGATGTTGATATGCTGAGCCAGAATTTTGAATGATGTCAAAGAAGGATTTTCAGACGTCTGAGATTATCCTTTGTCCTTGAAGTGTGGCTCCTTGCAATTATATCGATAGAAGTAGAGTCCGAGTGAACAAGGTTTGTCTTATCTGTCGGAAAAATACAGCCTATTTTACCACTAGACCATAACAAAAACCTCGGTTCCTGCAGACCAATTCCTATTTAGGGCCTAGGTGGCTATATCCCAGTCTGACATACTCCCATGAGATGGGGGCCAATCCCAGGCTGACAGGCCGCCAGAGAATGGGGGCCGTATTCCAGTCTGACAGGCCCCCAGGGGATGGGGCCATATCCTAGTCTAACATACTCTGGATGCCGACTTATCGGTATTAGATTCCCTGCTTTATACAGATATACTCTCGTCATCAAATTAGGTTGAGCGGGGAGCTTTTTTGTCTACCGCAGCCACAGTATATCCCGATTTACAGCCACATAAAGGTGTGGCAACGTAACATTTTTTGCCGAGTGTCGACATCAACTAGTATCCTCAAACCGCAAAAGCATACTGGGCTCATAACTGAGATAAAAAATACAGCTTACTCTGCCACTAAACTATAACAAAAACCTCGCTTCCTGTTTAGGGCTTAGAGGGGCCATATCCTAGTCTGACAATATCTTCGTGAGGTGCAGAAAATCGGAAACGGCGATGGCAATTGCGGGACAAGGATTGTATGCAACCGCAACGGCTGTCCATTTCAGCCGATACCTTTGTTCCATCCCGTCGGGAACCAACTAGTGTATAGCTGTAGGCGATAGGGTCCGCTTCAAGGGTACAACGTGGACAGTGGAGTGTATGCATTGCAGGACCGACGCAGCAGTGCCGGATACCTGGTTATGGGCAAAAAGAAACGTGGTTAGCTGAAGACACGGCGAGGCCCGGTTTGGAGCACGAGAGTGAGTGGTGCGCAGACTGCCGCGGGCCGCCGATGCCGCAATCGCCGCAATCGATGAGCGCTACTTGCCTAGGCCGCAGCCTAGGCAAGCTTATCCTCGAACATTAGCGTGAGCTATAGTGACATCGACCGGGGAACTAAGAGTGAATAGACCGATCCTAGACCGATCTTCAGCCACCAATGACCGATTGACTGTCAGATTAATTTCCCACCAGGGCTGTGTATCGGGTTATACGCATGCACTATACGGAGTACAACATATTAAGTTATATACGAGTCTCGTGTTCATGGCTGAAATACTATGTGGCTGCAGATCTGTAAGCACTAAGCACCAAGGAAAATTGCTTACATCAAACTCTCCGAATCCAAGAATCTATAGCACGTTCCCACTGTCTAATGTAGCTTGTATCCATCCAATATCCACTTCACCCGCGTCTCGGCAGAAACTCTTCATCCAAGAAATCTACTCATAGTGTACTCTGTCAATGCTTCCCCACTGGTCTCAGCACTCGCACTCGGCACCCGATTCGGTCAATGTCTTCGGGGCGCGATTTTCTTTGCTTTTTAAAAAGTTAATCACATGCATTCAAGCTTCAATGGCTATTGTTGAAACTTGGAAATCCCAAGATCAAATTATTTGATCAACATGCTGTACCTACTCCAATCTACCTCTTCCAACCAACTTGCCGATAAATTCCATGCAATCTAGAATTTATAACCAAGATTTGCTCCCTGGGTCCCCGCCACTGCCAATCTGAGAATTGCGCACACGCTATCCCAATTCGGTCAACCTGCATGATTCAACACGATCAGCCTCGGTGTCCAGTGACAACATTCTGCTCATAATCCGTTCAATGCACGGAAAACGGCTCGAATCCTTGTCCGACAGGTTTGTAACACAACCAGGGGTCCACGTTTTTTTCCTGCGTCTCTCTTTCAACCTCTCCGTTGCAAATCCAGAGGGTTCACGGTCTAAACTAAGATAATTACTACCCTTAGTCGATCGAACTAACCGTGTTTCTAGACCCTTTGTACACCGAGTTCTTAAACGGGCATCATGCCACGCATTGTTTGCTCTTGAGGCTGACGCTGGTCTCCACATTCCAACAGTGGCGTCGGCTGCACGTGCCTCGGCTGCAGCGTCGACCCAATGGCGAAATACGAATTGACCGAGAAAATGGGGCATAGTTCCAAGGGTCCACGGGTAGTAGAAGTCTTATTATGTAATACCAAGCTTTTTAGTATACAGATACTACCTAGGTAACTGCGTTTACTATGCAAACTATACAAATGAACGTAAAATTCAAAAGTAATAAGCTGTTCTATATAAGACAAGCAAGTATAAAATATGTAGTAGTACCTAACTATAAGTGACAGTTACGTATACATTGTACGTACAATGTAGAATACGGCGTTGTAGTGTTGAGGTTTCACGCTAAGCTCCTAAATTAACTTGATGAGAATGATATATTTAATATAAATATATATTACATAATGAAAGTGTACCAGTGACAATAGTCGGATTATAAATTACGTATAAGTGTTAGCCCTGGAGGTAGATACTACAAAGTACATAGTTGTAAAGGATTTTCGCGAGTGAATTCAAGGAGAATTAACCCCCGCTAATCCGCTAATCCGCCGATCCCGGGCCGGGCCCACGGGGCCTTGGACGATCCGTGGGCGCCCACGAAAACAAAATATGGCCCTAGCGGCTTGGTAGCGATCTAGACAACTTTTCCAGTGTAACCATACGAATTGCACGAGCTCTGAATTGCACCGAGCGGTCCAATCTAGCTAATCCCTCCACACATGCACCAAGCCCTCATTGAACCATATGCCAAACATCCGGGACGCAACGTACTCGTCAGATGTCTAGCGGGTTCCATAAGTCGCAGATCCCGGCTAAAAATAAAGCCCTTCCATCCATACGTATCTCAGGACCGAATAGCCCTACGGAGTACACTCGATTCCCGCGGGACAACGTGGCTTCTAGGATTTTCACCCAAGGCGATTCAGGCCACTTCGGCAATGTAGTAGAGGACTAGGGTCAACCCCTGACATCTTGGGATCCAATTACCACGACTTCGAACACGAGGTTTTTTGTATCTCTCGCTTATTTAAAACCTAAATTCACATCATACGACGGATCGCTCGGGAGCGTTTGCTAATCTTGGTACGTACATTAGCTGTGGATCCCTTTTACGGGTTGTGTTACTATCGCAACAAAGTGGTATTGCTGTGTGTTGTAATATAGGATTCCTACAGGATTTGTGCAGGATTCCTCCGTACATTTGTATTAACCGGCCCCTGTAATATATATATATATATATTTTTTTTTTTTTTTTTTTTTTTTTTTTTNTCTTTTCATTTGATCCATCATTTCTGACACAATAAATCACTATATTACCATCATCAGCATATTGGCATGTAATAGCACGTATTGCTATGAACGATATTTACGAGGCCACCACACTGACACCTCAGCCTGAAGCCTCAGCCTGAAACCTCACATGTTATAGAATGTGGTGTGTTCTACTAAGTGACGGACTTGTCAGCTGTGGTAATGTTATTAATGGTGGATTTAGACTCACTCTGGTTCTGCCCATGCTTCGTACTTCATACCAAGTAATGTTTGTCACTTCTCAAGCTATTTTTTCTTTCTAGAGTCTCTAGATCTTTTAAGACGATACTGGCGGAGGTAACGTGGAGGCGACTGATAAGCAGGGTCGGGCCTCACTACACTGAGCAGCTAAGCAAGGCCATAAGGAGATGGTAAAGCTTTTACTAGACAGTGCGGAATTTAAACACATCCCGCATGGGCGACTCAAGGGTGTTCTTCGAAAGAGACCGATTTGAAATCCCTCAGTGGCCGATAGAGAACAAGCCTCAGTCGCGACGCAGAGCCAGATAGGAAGCTTCACGCTCCAGGAACTTAGACGACCAAATCGAGTGAAACGTCTGGCCGCAGGATAGTCAATATTCTAATCGATTATAAGATCTGACACTTTGACTCCATGGATTTGGGTTGGAAAAATAGTCAAAGCTTTATTTTATTATTAGTAGATTGAAGATAAACATAGTTATGTTGTGGTGACCTTAGGCCTTATAGAAATCAACTCTCTCCCTTCTTCCTTTCTGGCCTATATATTGTTGCCCCAAGAGGTTATGAGTAGACTGCGACATCGCCCATAGACAGGCGGGTAGGCATTGCCCACAGGCCGTATGTAAGCGGGAAATGGGCGGGGAAGCTCTATTCAACCTTCCTCGTCATCGTCAGCTTCATCCTCCATCGGCCTCTCCATCGACTCCGTCATCGTTATCGTCATCGTCACCATTCTCAGTATCATCATCGTCAACCGGCCAGGCCACACCCACAAACACCTACAAACGGTGTCACCTACACCCACACAAACAATCCGCTACCCACGCGGCCGAGTACCTCTCTTACAACATACAGCTTCGCCAAGTGCCTCTCCTACGACGCACCTTTTCATCTGCTACCAACCCGGCCGAGTACCTCTCCTACGACATATAATACACTTTCAAAATGTTTTTAACCACCAGCTTCGCAGAGCTCAAGCTCTCAGAGCTCGTCCCTATCCTTACCGGCTAATCTAACTTCGCCTCCTGGTCTACCGCACGTAAGTGTGCTCTCGATACTTAGGACCCTTATCTTTTCGATATCCTTACCGGTAATATCGCTTAACCAGCCCCTAAGGATCCAACTCTTACAGAGTGGCTTTATCAATCTCGCCACCTTCTTTTATACCTTTACGCTACCGTTTACGCTTCGCCTAAGCCTTATATTAATACCGCTCTAAACGCTCCTGTAGCGTACTAGAGCCTTTATAAACCCTTCACTGTCTATACCTATAATATAGGTTTCGATAAGTTCTATAAGTAGACTTCTCTTAAGTACAATAATACTATTACTCTATAGTAGTTTATTATTTAGTAGTATACCGCCTACGCCGAGTTCGCAGAGGCGTATAGTCACTCTTATATTTTAAATATAGCTTAGTACATTCTATTTCTTTTAGCCATTAGTATAAATCCCGCTACCTATCAGTAGCTTAACAGCCTTCGCCCTTCTAATAATAACCCTTCTGAATAGATTCTTATTAGTACATTCTCTAACTTCGTTATCTCCGACAATCGACGTCTCGCTAGTCATCCTAATTTCAATTCCGATCCCGTCTTTTACGACACAAATGCAATCCATAACCAAGGCAACAAGCCAGGCGATAAGCCATGTAACAAGCTAAAGCATTTCTACTCTTTCCACCAGCGGAAGGCCACTTACAGTTCAGAGTAATACTTCCAGAACCCCGCCAACGCCAACGCCAAGCTAGCTAACGCGGTTAGCACTCCGGCTTCCACCACCACTACCAATCAACCCACTACAGCCAATGCCGTCACCGGCAACTCTATATTTCGCTATAACAACCTCTTCACCGCCTAGGTAACACAGGTTTACGTTTTATGGGGGGATATAACTCCATGGTTTTATGTTCGTGGGGGGTGTCAGATTTCATAGTCTCTCTGTGGCTTAGCTTCAACAACTCTCTACTCAATACATCTCACATTCACCATGCACTTCGACGTAGTCCTCTCCTGATATTTATGTAATGACTAGACATACTACTGGTTTTCTGACAGGCGTTAGAAAAGTAAGGTTTGGAAGGCTTTATTAATTATATAATAACATTATATAATAACTTAACACAGTATCACTTTTATGACGGGCGTCAGAAAAGTAAGGTTTAGAAGGCTTTATTATTTATATAATAACTTAATATAGTATCACTTTTCTGACCGAGGTTAGAAAATAATACCTAGAGGGCTTTTTAGAATAACTTAACACAGTATCACTTTTCTAACAGGCGTTAGAAAAGTAAGGTATAGAAGGCTTTATTATTTATATAATAACTTAATATAGTATCACTTTTCTGACCGAGGTTAGAAAATAATACCTAGAGGGCTTTTTAGAATAACTTAACACAGTATCACTTTTCTAACAGGCGTTAGAAAAGTAAGGTATAGAAGGCTTTATTATTTATATAATAACTTAATATAGTATCACTTTTCTGACCGAGGTTAGAAAATAATACCTAGAGGGCTTTTTAGAATAACTTAACACAGTATCACTTTTCTAACAGGCGTTAGAAAAGTAAGGTATAGAAGGCTTTATTATTTATATAATAACTTAATATAGTATCACTTTTCTGACCGAGGTTAGAAAATAATACCTAGAGGGCTTTTTAGAATAACTTAACACAGTAATCAATAATGTCTATAATATCCTGAATTCGAAATAAACCGCAGGAGTTTCAGCGGCACCATATTCGCCATGTTTATGCCTGGGTACAATATGCGGCGCTGTATGCTGGAGTCTACAAATGCTTAATTAGGAAGGCACCGTCGAGTGTACGATCAACAACAGAGCTTCTTCACCGTTGCACCTCGCTCTGATACTGCTAGTTTTCCTATTTTCAACAAGCTCCCGATTAATACTTCGCTATCAAACCTCAAGCTCCCACTTTATCAACAATCACTCTACAGCTACATCATCATGGCAGTCTCAGTCACACATAGCGCTTCCGGCCTCTTACTCGAACCTCTCCCTAATCTCGACATTCCCACTCGCCACACTGTGAGCCATGCGTTGCACCGGATCAAGTTCGTCGGAACTCTGGGGCAATGGACCAACTTCAAGACAGAAGTCGCAAACACCTACAACAGCCAGACATGGAACCCGCACGAAATAGCGTCCAGGTTGACAGCTAACTTCGTCGCCGGTTCAGTCCACGAAGAGCAAGTTTTCGTGAGTGACGAGCGCGGTGTGCAAGGCAGACTCGAGGGACGAGCAGGAATAGCTCTAGGAGCTGTCTTCGGGGCCCAGAACCATGATCTTAAGCTAGGTGCCTCTAAGGGTGCTTTGCCGCCGTATCCAGGATACAAAAAAGCCCCTGACTTTGTGCTTATGACCTCGGCTCACAAAGCAAAGGTTGTGGGAGAAGTCAAGGTTCCCTGGATACGCGAGCACAACCTAAGGAAGTTGATCACTGAGTTTGAGTCTGGGGCTAAGCAAGATCATTTCCGGCACGTACTAGGTTAGTCTTATGAGCTATTGATAGGAATAAATATATACTGACGCGCATATATAGGCCAAATTGCGGAGTACATGTTCGACTCACGCTTGAAGTATGGGTTCTTGACTACGTACGAGCACACGGTTTTTCTTCGAAAGGGGGACGTCGGTCGAGCTTGGGGACTGGAGTATTCTCCGGTGATTTACCACAGTGACAGAGGAAGTACTTCAGGCAGGACGGTGTCATTTTGTCAGAGTCTCTACCATATTGGATTATTAGCCCTCGCGGACTCGAATTTTGACACTAGCACAGGCATGCGGAACCAGAAGTGGACGGTTCCCTTATAAAAGGCCACAGTCTAGTCACCGAATTCAACATAATAAGAGGACAAACAAACAATCTCGCTTGCTCCTCAGCTACCATTGCCAGCATGAAGTATCTTTATCCCAGTCACTATCACGTTCATCCGTAGAGGGGTCCGGCTTAGCGAGATCGAAATGCGCAATCCAGTTGGCACCGAACATAATCGGACGTTCGGGCTTGCCGGCCTTCTCAAAGGGTCCGATAAAGTAGCTATATGGAGTAAATTAGTAAGTTCGTCACCTTGTAGTTGGGATAATATAGCAAAAATATACAGTGTTTGCATCTCCTGGTGCCAAACTAGGCTGCTTGCCCCGCACACACAGGGGAACCACCTGTTCTCATGCAGCTTACTATATAGTCGACAATGATTAGATCCAGTATCGAATACAGAAGAAACATAAACTTACGCTATAGCCCTAAGAAAAGCCAAGCGAACCTGCTCCCTTTCGTCGCTTTCAAGAGCCCAAAATGGGTCAGCGCCATTGCCGTCTCCGAGGCGCAGCCCTGGGACGATCTCCCACACAAGCCAGATAATGAACCCACCCGGAACTAGCCCCGAGCGATCCTGTTTATCGATCTTGTATCCGAGAAGCTTTGGTGTATCACTCGAGCCCTTTTCAGTGAGGTCCCGGTAGGCGATCAATTCTGGGGGGTTGTATGTTGTGGCTTGTCGGCTTCTGGTATCCGCATCATCCAGTTCAGTCTTCCGATGGGGAACTTGAATGTAGATGCGCATGAAGGCGTTCTTAGTCCGGGATATGGGATTGCAGCATAGATATTTAGCCGAGGCAAAAGAACGGAAGCCATACTCATCGTTCTCCTCCTCGTTAACTTGATAGTCATGCTCGTTCAGCTTCTCAAGAATCTTCCACCGGGAAGGGACAGGTTGGTCAAGGGTGATTATAGTTCCAGGGTCAGGGCCCTTACGGAACCAGGCTGAGTATGAGGACGACATTGGAGTTGCTTTGGATGCTTTGGAGATGGGTTTCTTGGATAGGTTGAGAGGAGGAGCGTTGATGTGAGGCTCTTATGTGGGGCAGACTGGCAGCTATAGTGCCTTGCGCTAGCCGTATTGGGAGGTGGAGTGACTACCTAGGTACAGTTGGCGGTGGACCGACCCCCTGGATGTCAAAATAACGCGCTTCCTCGCGTTTTCAAACGTGATATATAAATTTAACTAATTATTAATTTCATGGATTAAAACGAGATCTAAACATTAGGTAATTAATCTTTTAAAATATGTGTATTGTTTTAGTGCTAATTGGGCCTAATGGGCCCCCATTCAAAGCCTGGTGGGCTTTCCCCCCGGGCCCATAGCCCAAAACCCAGCTCATTAGCGGGTTGGGTTGGGTTGGGCTTTGCGGGGGTCTACTAGTAGTAGTACTCACTATATGCTTTTATATGGTCTATTTATTTTCCGAGGGCTGTATTATAACATAGTATTCTATAATTGTATATAGAATATTTGGTATGCCTCACATGATGCCATCCACTTCCTCTCTCGAGACGATATGATCGAAATTTGTGTTGTAGAAAAGCCCATCTGCGGCAATCGCTGCCCGCCTGGCCGCTCCGCCCGCGGGAGTCTACCTGGGCAGCCTCGTGTGGGGGCCAATGCCATCCGACGGCCCCCAAATCGGAGATCTCTCGTTGGCTCTTTTGTCGCTTTATTCTTCTTAGTGCCGTTCGTTGAACTCCGAGTGATCGAGATGGTCCCATGTCGTCTAATGTGGCGTCTGGTAATACTAGCTGCCTCAGATCGTTCCGCCCAGCTCGCCTGAACACCGGAGTTTCTTCGATCCTAGTATCCGCCTCGCGGAGGAAAGTAAGTCAGAGAATTCACTCGCTATGTCCTTTGTACAGATATAAAAGGAAAGCAGTCGATCACTCTAATCACAGTAGTTTAATTGCTATCGTACCACTCGTTTGCAAGATGTTGACCACATTTTTCTGTATTGCTAGCGCGGTGGGCGCCTTCGCTGCATCTGTACATGGTCGTGATCAATTCGATCCGTCGGCATACGCTGCAAAAGACGTCATAGAGCGAGACTTTGCCATTATTGGTGGAGGAGCAGCAGGGACCTATGCAGCAATCAGTTTGGCTGATCAAAACAAAACCTTCACCCTCGTCGAAGTCGCGGACCGACTTGGTGGAAACACCAGGACCTTCCAGGACCCAGCAACTGGAGCCAACGTCGACTTTGGCGTGCAGATCCACCTCGATGACCCTATCGTTCGCAACTTTTTTGCCCGTTTGCACGCCCCTCTGACAAATGTGGAGCTCAAGGATTTTGGCCTCCCCAAATATTACGACTTTACCAAGCGAGTTGCCCTTCCCAACTACACCAAGGGATCTATTCAGTCCGACTATGTTGCCGAACTCAACAAGTATCCTTATGTCCAAAATCTCGTCGACCTACCCAACCCTGTCCCTGCTGATCTGCTCCTCACTTGGCCAGAATACGTCAAGAAGCACAATCTCTCCTCTGGCTCGACTGAGGCTGGTCTCACATGGCCAGCAACCCCTGGAGATCCATTGGAAACTACCGCTCTTGCAATTCTTAACGATGGCAATCAGATCGAGTTGGCCGAGTTTGCCGGAGCTGCCATCAAGAATGCCAATCACGACAATTCTGAGATTTACGTCAACGCTCTGGCCGAATTGAAGGCGCATGTGCTTCTCAAGTCTTCCATCGTTGCAGCTCAGCGTGGATTGACCCGCAAAGGCGGCGTTCAGCTCGTGGCTAACACCCCATCTGGCAAAAAGCTCATCAAGGCTAAACAACTCATCATTGCTATGCCGCCGGTCTTGGACAACACCAAGTACTTCGGTCTCGATCAGCAGGAGCAGGCCATTCTCAGCAAGCTTTCTGGCAAGCACTACTACGGTGGTGTGGTGAACAACACCGGCCTTAAGGACGGCATTGCTTATACCAACATCGGCGCGGACAGACCGTACCACGTCGCCAGTCTGCCCGGTGTGGTTGAGATCGCCCCTTCAGCCTACCCCGGTTACCAATTCTATTGGTACAACACGAACCAGGCCAAGACAAAAGTTGAAATTGAGGCCGCTACTCGAAGCACTATCAAGTGGCTGCAGACTCAGACCAATGCTACGGCCCTGGAGCCAAAGTTCCTCGACTTCCGGGATTACTCACCGTTCCACCTCACCCCTCCGACCAAGGATATTGCTGCCGGCTGGTATAGTAAGATGAATGGTCTCCAGGGTCACAGGAACACTTGGTACATCAGTGCTTTGTTCGTCGTTGGCTCGACTCAGGTCTGGAACAGCACTCACAACTTGCTTCCGGATATTATCAACGCTGCTCGGTCTTAGGCTGTTGCAAAGGCCGCAATGGCTGCGATTTCAATTCATAGAAAGCCCATTTTTGCATAAAAATAAGGCCTCGGTATATATAAATCAGCAGATTTATCTTAATAAATGACCTTTTTAATCTCATATTGATCGAACTTACTTTCGTTACTCTAATTCTCCTACAACAATAATTCATATTCATTATTTCTACAGGCCCCTAGAATTTATAGGACTAAGTGCATAGCCTGTCTGTGGGCAGCGCAAGACGAAGGATAAAATAATTATATGATAATTTCTGCAAGACAGAGCAAATATGTTATATATGCACTTACAACAACACTCATCGTCACCACATAGCGGGCTGCCTTTGAACCTCATCCGGCACGCTGAAATACCCTCTATTCGCTAGTTGCCGTTGAAGCTCTCGGAACTTGCTGGCTTTGGCCCTCTTTTCAAACAGGATATCAATCTCCAAGTAACTTAACCCGAATGTCTCTGGGAGTCGCAGGTAGCACCAAACGAAACACACGGCGCTAAATCCCAGAAAAAAGAAGCACGACTTGCCCTTCCAGTTCCAGGCTGTAGGATTCAACATTCGTGGGGTAATAACATTGGTCACGATAGAAGCCACATTATAGACTATACGGGCAAGGATCACAGTCTTGATTCGCAGCCGTGTGCAAGGGATCTCTGCAACGAGGACATAACATATAGGCCCAATGCTGAGGTTGTAAATGAACGTGAGGAAGGTAATTAGGCCCCCAAGAGCCCATGACTGGGCATTTGTGGTAGGTAGAAATCCAATACCACCTGCAATGGTGAGAATAGCCATTGAGACTGCGAGCCCAATGAGGTATATCCTACGACGCCCGGTTCGTCTCATCCAGAACCACGACAGCATCGCCCCAACTATAGCTATGCCGTACATACCGATAGCAAGGGAGAAGGAATTTTGGACGCTGAGACCGGCTTGTTGATAAAAATATGCTGCGTAAGTCCCCGAGCTGGAGAACGAAGCTTGTTGTGTAATCCAAATCATGCAGGCAATCTCCGTTCGTCGGAGATTAATCCCTTTAAAGCAGTCCAAGTATGTAATTTGACCATTGCCCAGATATTTCTCTGTCTCATTGGTATGTGTCATCATCGCTACTACCTCGTCAACGTTAAAATCATCTTTGTCTGCTGTGGTAAGGCGTAGTAATGTTCTTCTGGCTTCCTCTGGTCGCTCATTGCGAATCAGCCACCCTAATGGTAGTGTAAGATTCGACAGCTGGTAGTAATAATCGAGTCATGGGACATCATACCTGGGGACTCAGGTGCGAAATAAACCCCGATTATAATCGGAACGGCCAAGGCCCATTGCAAGGCGAGTGGCAAGCGGTATGCCCACTCCGTTCCTTTGCCTGCTTGACTGCGAACTACTCCAACAGCGCAGAGCTGCCCAATCAACCAACATATGTTCATACTGCTCAGAATATATGCTCGGAGTGCAACTGGCATGACCTCTGCCGCATACGTTGTGGCTAAGGTCTGAAAGATTCCCCACGGAATCCCGCATAGGACCTGGCCAGCTAAGAACATCTGGACATTCACGGCGAAAAAAGGCAGGAATATAAACAAACACAGGGAGACCAATGCTACCAGTATCGTCCGACGATAGCCGAACCGGTCTGCGAGGAAGCCGTTCAAAAACAACCCGATGATTTGGCCTACCACAGCTGCAGAAGTCAGGCTTGATTGCCACTTGGAGGAAATCTCAAAATTTCCCGGCTGAGATGGGTCTGGGGCCCCATATTTTTGTTTAAAGACTGGGAATGTAAAGAAACTGACGAGGAGTGTCGTGTCGTAGCCTTCCATAATAATCGTTGACGAGAGGACAATTGACCATGCAATTGCCTTTGGGTAAAGTCGACAGCCGGTGAGCAGTGACATCTTTCGCTCCGCCCTAGTAGCTGCTCTAGCCCCCGATGACAGTGGCTGTAGGCTGGGGATGCGGGCCGACAGATCGGAAAAGATGTCCTCATGGCTGGAATTTGACCCCTGCCCTAGGGGAATCTCATCAAAAGAGACTTCCGCTAGGTCATGGCGAGCTTTGGATGCCATGTGGTGGCACAGGGGCTGGTTTGTGGAAGGATCGTCGAAATGTGAGGTCGGATGGACCGGCTTTTATTCAAGAATTGTTGTTATCATCGCCGAGGTTTGAAGGTGCAGAATTGAAGGCGCAGAAATCAAAATGAACAGGTGGGAGATAGGTAGTTGGGGAGGGGGAGGGCTTGGGATTTTTCTCTAACGTCATCGCATAGGGGCTGGAACAAGTCGATGACTCTCTTCCGGGTACATGGTTAGCCCCACCCCCAGAAGCGCGGAGTTGATAATTCGATAGAGTCTTACCCCGAGAAAGAGGGTTTATCGACCGGGGCTAGACTTCGCGGGAGTTCGGTTTGTGGGGATGAGATACGAAGGTTACGAGGTTCCATGGTTTCTCTTCGTGTTGACTTCCCCAGTCCGGGGATTGTCCCGCTAGGTCCAATGGTTCCGTACCCTGGGCAGTTAGCGTCTCCACATTCTTGTGTGATGTCCAATTACTTCAAGCGCAGAACTTCTTTCGCTTTTTCCAGAGAGTGATCGTCCTGAGATGCGAACTGCCGTGAAACATTTTCAACTTGGAGACATCGCGATAGCTACGTTGACTGGCACGCGATCCCGCGAGTCCTTCCTTTTCGTGGACGTTATATTCTAGCGAGATCACCAAGCCACAGTCGAGATACCCTAAGAGGATTAACCTTTTTTTTAGCTAAACGGACAACTCACAGTTATGAGCCTAGTCCCTTGTTCGACAAGCTAAATAGTGCTTAACATATCTGGATATGGACATTGGAGAGCAAAGGAGGCCTCAGTTGCTTCAAAGATATGCTAGAGCGCGTCTTGAACGAGCTTTGGAGCGGCGAAATTAGGACGTTACTCGCCAGCATAAAATTATATTCAGTGGTGAACGCAGCGTTGATACTTCCGGCTCTATTACCAGGGCGAGAGAAATAACGAAAAATCTTCATAAATACATAAGAAGAGCAAGGGAATGAGTATAACGGTCTATCCGGAGCCGCAAATCGGGTAGTCTAGGAGAATACACCTTCAAGCGCACGTCACTTCAAAACCCACCTATCATAATAACAAGGTCCCGATCCACCAACCTCCTCCCTAGAGGTGTGGTTGTCTCATACCGAGAATGTCACGGAGTCTCCCAATGCGCCTGGCTGGTTGCCTATTTGGGCCAACTGTGGGCGGGATTTGAGGATGTAGTGCTCCGAAGAACTCTGATTTAGCAAAGTACTCGAAATGAGCTCACTTTACCTCCATAGTTTTGCCCCCGCAGTTTTACAGTGTATAGTTATTGTTACCCTATGGACTAGCGCGCGATCTCCTCCTTTGTCATTTAGATAACTTCATAGTTGTCCTTCTCCGATCAATACTAAGCCTTTGCTCTCTACTTTCGAGTCCAATTGTGATACCGCCTCATGTTTACTCCTTTGAGCTATTTATTGTCAGGGGTCTTGTAGCCAAGATCCTACTTGAAACGGCCCCAGTTTCATTGGGGAAATATTTACATACAAAGTAACGAGCATTCGGTTTCATACCAGGAAATGATGCGGGAATAGACGGGGAAGGCATTATCAGATATTCCAGTTTAACAAGGAGAATAAGTAATCTTTCCATATACTCTCCCTGGATATTTCAAACGAGGTGATCCTTTCCTATTCTCACACGGTCTCGAAAAAGAACCTCAATCGCCCCCACTTATGTTGTTTGAGATTTATAGAATACTTAGGTATAAGAAGGAGCTGCTGATCTCTAGTTCCTTCCTCTATCAAAGCATTCTGCATCATCAGGAACAGTCAACCCACAAAGCCTTCTTATCTATTCCATTGCAAGATGCAACTCATTTCTATCGTCAGTTTCATGGCACTTGTGCCCGCAGTGCTATCATCTCCAGTGACCAACTTCAAGAAAATTGCCGTCCGGGCTGATAATCGAGGCAACGAAACTATCTCTGGCCTGGGAGCCCGCAAGCAGGAGGTGGTTGGTGCTGGTGGCAACACCCGTGACCTGGCGATTGCGATGCTGGAGACGTCAGTTCATCCATTAAATATAATTCTGATATAGCCCAGATGACTGACTAAAAATAGGAAGACAATGACGACCGATTACACATATGGTGACGGAAAGTCTGGCGACTCCACAAACTTCGGTGTCTTCAAGCAGAATTGGTATATCCTGCGAAACTCTGCATCCGAATTCCTAGGACAGACCGTCGCAGAGGTTGATAACGGGGCGATTCTTAAGTAAGTTCTCCAGTAGTTTATAGGCTGCCCCAATAATGTTGGCTAATGCTCTAGCGCCAGCTCCGATCTAGACAAAGATATCCAAGCCCGCCATGAGGGTGAGGAACACTACGGATATGAAACCTGGTTTAGCGGACACCGCAACGGAGAAAGCGGTATCAACAACCCCGGCACTGCTGATATCAATAGTGAGTTTTTCCTATTCCATGAATCGCTTCACCATCTAACATCATGCATAGCATACATCGATGCTGTCGCATGGATCCAACAGCAGATTGAGAGCGATGAGAAGTATCAATCTGATGATACTCGGTTCTGGGTTGATGTTCAGGCAATTTAGGCCATGGCTGGAGAAAGAACGAGAATATCCTCAGGCTAGGGACGCAATTGGTTCAGCTCTAGAGATTTTACATCTTACAGTCGTTTGGTCAGAACCCTTTTTATAACTTTATCACACAAATATGATCGTATATTAAAGAACTGTTGTTTCTCCAATATAACAAGGAACCTTACCTTTGAAACCGTTTTCGTTTCGTTCAGCTTTAAGACAACTGTATCCAAATGTCCAGCTCGTGGTATATTATTTGACTACGAGATATGAGCCATGTCTCTCGTTCCTATCGTAAGCAAGCAATCCAGGACCCGGGAACGAAGTCAGGACAGCGCATCATCCACATGATCCTCCAGGCGGCCATGGAGGCTTAAGCAAAGGGAATCACGCTTCGCCTCGAATAGATGACCGACATTGCGATAACCCAGGAAATGACGTGGCAGATTGGCTTGTTAATGACGCGGCAAGCTCGGTCAAAACACGCCCCCCCCCCCCCCCCCCCCCCCCCCCCCCCCCCCCNCCTGAGCCCCTTGCTGACAAGGAAGAGGGCACTTATCCGCGACAAATTCCGCGCTGATAATGAAAACCATCCACCGAAGGCAGTCGTCTACGAAGGATCGACACCACTTTACGGGCGCCCTAAACCAGAAAATGACTGCTTACCAGATTGAGGTTAACACTGAGGCGTGCCAATCTCACGTCGAACAAGGGTCGCTACATGCGGTGCGTGCTTGTACTTGGCTGTATAACCGAAGTCGTAGGCCCACTACGCAGGTATAAAACATATCATATATCCGGTATCAGAAGGAAGTACATAGGTATGCGCATTTGACCAGTCAGGCATGGATGCGACTAAGCAAGTTAAGCTAATGTACAGGAACAACACACCAGCATATGCGTCAAGCTAATAGAAGGTTGACAGCGATTGATTCGTCCATCATGGTACACGTCAACGAGATTTCTGCTTCTGTTTCCTTCTGTCATTATCACGTTCCAAAAACAGCTACAAATGTACCTGATTCGCCATTGCGCCCCAGACACGTTGCATTTTACTCCCGACATACAACACCCATGTCAGTGTGTGTTGGCACCAACGGAGGGCTAATGGGAGATTAAGTAGTCTGGGTACTTGGAGTGGACTACACGAGTCTGTGGCTTATTACGCAGCTATGCCCCTCTTTTGAATGCTCAAGTGAACCGATCTTACCATATCACCCATATCACCTGTTCTCACAATATCATTAAATTCATCAAATGTCAGACTTCAAAACGACCTCCGAGGGGCTCGAGGAGATCTCTCGCCTCAGCCTCATATCTTTCGCTCCAGCAGAAGCAATCATCACCGATGTGAAGCACCTGGCGTCTTACAATTGGATCGAAGCATCCACACCCACCATTGCTGTCCCGGGTAGCCCAGCTCAGTGGTCCGCTCCACTAGGGCCCCGTCAAGTGAAGAAAGATAGCGGCCTTGTGTATATTTCTCAGAATGCCGCTCGACACCCGGACAGTCCTCTAGAACCGTTATTCCGCTCCCTTTACATCGAGCACCCCTCGTTCGACATAAACTCAATCGACATTGTGACCGACCGAAACAATATTCGTAAGCTTCTGTCATTTGTCAAGCCGGCTCTGAGCAAAAATGGTCTCGATGCATTCACTATCCAGGTGGATATGACTGCTCAGACTGCAATCTTCTCCCGTGACGAGACAGCAACCTACGAAGTTATTAGGCCAGGCGAATTTCGGGGCTTTGGGCATGAATTCGAAAAAGCATTTACGATCCCTCAGGTCAAAGGCAGTACTGGGCACTATCGCATAATTTCATACCGGCTAGGTGGTCTGAGTTTTCTCGTGCGCCATGAGACAGACGGATATGTGAAAGATTTGAAATCCAGTGTAAAGGATAAAAAATCAACAGGGGACGATCTTGTCGACATCTTAAACTCCTTATCCCTCACGCCGAAAACCACCCATATAGAAGAGCCCTCCGTTAAATCCAAGTTGACTATCAAGAAGGAAGGTCAGATAGTATCACGGGAATCGACCCTAGAGATCAAAACTAGAGTTTTCCACAAATCTCTAGAGCTAACAGAAGTTGGGGCTCAGCTCTAGGTTTCTCAAACACCCAAACTTGTCCGTGCTTATCATCAACGTGGGATATTCTCGAAGCCGAAAGTCGAAGATGTCACTGCCGCGATGAAGGACTGGGAAAAGATACATCAGGATGCCATCACGAAACTTGTCGCATTGCTTAATCGCATACTAAGAGTGACCAGAAACTAGGGCGGCAGTTCAACTATTCGCTATGATCCTCTGAAAGACAAACTCGTGATCAAGAAGATCGAGAGAAAGAAGGTACTCCCGGAGGATCTCTATTTTCGATGGGAAACCCCAATCCCCGCCACTATCACACCAAAGTCCTCTGTGCATAGCTCAGAGGTTACTCAAAAACAGCCTAGTGCTCGGAGACCTACTGCAGCACTTGACCAGGACGAAGCCCTTCTAAAAGGTATCAAGGTGGAGCCCGCTAAACATCAGAATGTTACTATAACCGCACTTTCAAACAAATCACAGTCATAAAGCTCTCGATACCGTTGGTTTCTAAGAAGCCAAACAAGTGAAGATATTTTTGGTAGCAGTGGAGACCTTTGGGATTCGAAGGACCTATTTAGATTGATAGCTTGCTATAGGTTTGGTTGATTATGAGGCAGCTGAGGACCTATATGTGTATCCATTACTTCCCGGTCTCGCCTTTGAGCACTGAGGAGCTTATTTTAGTATGCAATTCATGGTTTAGTGGATGAGTTCGAATGCCGAACCGTTTTCCGAGTAGTATAAAGAGATGAATCGATGAAAATAAAACCCTCTGCTCCAGTATTATCTCAGGCTAACATTTACAAAGGATTGCCTATTATATATCAGCTGAATACTAAGCACTAAACTACATATTAGTAACTTCTATAAATCTACGTAAGGGTAGTACTTTATCGGAATGGTGCAGACTGGTACATATTGTGATTTGGATTGATTCGCAAAAAGGGACAAGGAGTGAGCACCGAATGGAAAGGAAATCCCATGTTAGTCTGAAACCCGACTTATATGTACATTAGTCCGAAGACCCTCAGGTACCCACTTCATATGGGAAGCCTCATTAGTGGTGGGGCCCTGTCACAGCTACACCTATTACAACCCCAATAAGCCCCGCAGCTCAACCAGCTTTTCGCTCACACCTCCAGCGCTAGCCAATGTTTTCCGGCTCGCCTCCTGGGCAACAGGAATGACATCTTCAATGCGCACAGAAGAGTCCTTAGCCAAGCCAGCCACCACAACGCCTAGCAGCGTATCACCTGCCGCATTGACACTGACAATGTCGTCAGCACCTAGGATAGTATCGGGCGAGAACAGACGCATGTAAACACCACCGAAAGGTACGTCCGACCCAGGGGACACGCGAGCAAGAATATACGGCGCAGACTCCGGATCCGTAAGACGGGGATCACCAGGCGGCAGAAGCTGAGTGAGCAAAGAACCCGCACCACCGAGCTTGGTAAGAATACAGGGGATGAAAGGAAGCAGCTGAACAGTCTGCTGCGGAAGGCCCTCATCGACAAGAGACAACGAAGTGATTGCAATGAGGCGCTCGCGCGAGCCTGCCGGAGACATATTCATCGAGTTAATGATATGCCACCATTGCGGCGACTCGAAAATAAGCGATTCCCGCGCAGCGGTATACATAGCCGCCAGCTCAAGGCGGTTCGGACACGCAAGACTGATAGCATTATTTGGAATAGTCTGATTAAGACCGATAGTCGCGCCAGTGCTATTTACGTGGCTGCCGAACAGACGTCGAGATTTGGCTGTTGAAACGGGCTCGAAGGCAACGCGTGCGCCGTGTTTGCGGGCTACGGCACTCCACTTGGCTATCACTTCGGGTCGCCAGTTGGCGTCGACGACGACCCAGTTTGGCTTTGTGCGTTCAAGGAGAGGTTCCCAGAAGCCGTCAAAGTCGAGCTGAGATTCGGGGAGTTCGACGATGCCCATGTCGGCCATAGCTACTAATAGGTCTTTTTTGGTGTCGTTGATTGCGATGTATTGTGCTGTGCGGGTGGATGATGTCGCTGGGAGGACTTGAATGCCTGCGGTGCTGAGGCCTTCCTTTTCAAGGGTTGATAGTGCAGCGCGGCCGCTGAGATCGTCTGCAACGACGCTGCAGAAGAGGACCTCGCTGCCAACGTAGTTGGCAGCAACGGCAACGTTGTGGCCAACGCCGCCTAGGCTTTGTCCGATAACTGCTGGGTTGGAGGTGTGCGGTACTGGTGCAACCTGTGTGAGTTCGTCTCCGAATGGAGTGTAGTCGCAGGATAGGTCGATAGCTAGCGAGCCGGCTACCACAACATCTGCCTTTAGTGTCGGTGTAATAGGTGCCTCGGTACTAGCTGGTTCCGGGATATCTTCAACTTGCGAGGCAACTTGACTTGGCAAAGCTACACCTGGGATTGATGGCATGTGTCTATGGGGAAGGAGATATCCGAACTTAGCATTGATTGAATCTCGTATCTCGTATCTAGAAACAAAACTCACCGAGACCCTGTTCCTAGGTCAGCTTCTTCAAGCTTGGCAAGTTCAACAGCTACTAGGGTTGCACGCTTGACATTGGACTCAACCAAGGCCCGGTTAGCAACTACGCTCTTTCCACCGCTTAGTTCCTTGATCTTAGCAAGCACAAATGGCGTGTTGTCACTACCATGGTAACCCTCTACGTGGGAAAGACGGATAGCTTCTTCAATCACAAGATCCATCTCGGCTTTGGGGATAGAGTGCTCCAGGGGGACAGGGTTGGCGAAGTGGATGCCGGAGGATACTGGAAGCTTGGATTGCGCATCTGGAGATTCTGTCAACGATGCCGTAGCTTTCAATACATAGGGTAAACCTACAAACTATGGCGGCGGCTTCGGCTTCATTTTGAATGACCCGGGGACTGCGGATGCCACTCTCTCGTGTGAAGAAAGCAGGGAAGTCAACGGGGCCATCTCGGCCATCAGCGAATGTACCCACACAGACACCTTCGGTCTCGAGGTATTCGAGCGTTCGAGGAATATCCAAGAAGCTCTTGCACCCAGAGCTAATCACCGTCACCGGGGTACGTCCAAGTTCAGTAAGATCGGCTATAATCATTTGTCAATAATTGGGGATGATGGTCTTGTTTCCACAGTTTTCCCTACCAGAGATATCCATGGAGTTTTCACCTCCGCGATGCACACCACCTAGAGCAAGTCAGCTTGGCTACATCTTCGATTGAAATTTGATCATTGGATTTACCTAGTCCACCGGTACCAAAGATTTTGATACCAGCTAGTTCTGACAGGATCATAGTGCCGGAGATTGTAGTACCGCCGTACATTGGCTTACCAACCATGCCCTAATATGGATCAGTTTCAGTTCTCCGAGCCATTGTAAAAGCTAACTCACCATGCCACAGATATACCCAAGATCCCTACGAGACACTTTCAGGGCACTCTTATCTTGAGCTGTCGAGGCCAGCTCAATAAGCTCTTCTGTACTCAGACCAACTTTGGCCACGCCACCAAGGATTCCTATAGTTGCAGGAACTCCGCCGTTGGCTCTCACAACAGACTCCAACAACGCAGCGAGGGCAAGATTATCAGGATAAGGGAAACCTACAGCCGATCAGTCTTAGCTTCCCCGCTTTTGGACGAAGTTCTTCACTCTCAGGATTCGGAATGGAGACAGATGACTCACCGTGTGTATAGATTGTCGTCTCGAGTGAGACGACTGGTTTACCTGTAGCAACTGCGTCACGCACCTCTTCTGACACCTGGAAGAACTTGCTCTGGGCAAGGCCATGGTAACGACGAGCAGACGGCAGTTGAGTTCCTCTCAAACAGCCGGACCTTACAGCAGCTCGAGAGGCGAACACTGTGCGTGACAACATGATGATATCCGAAAAGAGGATTCAGCTGTGCCTTTAGCCAATTGAAACCTGCAAGTCAAATATGCAAGAAGTAAAGATGCAAGATGAGGAGAACTGAGGAGAAGCGTCCGAGATCAACTAGGCCCTTATCAGAGATAAGCCGGAGTGCGCGATGTGGCCGCTTCGGCGACCCTAGTATACAATGGGGACCACGTATCATCAGCTTCGCAAGCTTCCCAAGGTTCATCGACCAGACACAATCACAACTTGGATTCTTGAACCTTTTGAACCTTGGAGAAATTGTGTCCTCCAGGTACTCAGGATGAGGTTTTTCACCGCCACAGTGCTCGGGCTACTCGCGCCCAGCCTGTGCGCCGCAACCAACCTTACTACGCCTAGTCGATTGGATCTTCCGTCCGGCTTCAAACCCCCGCAGGTTTTCAAAAACACAAATTTGGTTCGGAATACCAATTTGGAAAAGAGCTATGTGCGGGAAACAATCAATGTTGTTGTGGAGAATGTCGACAAGAAGCCCCAGAACGACTACTACATCCCCTTCCCTGCCGATGTGTTCGACCGTATTGGAGGCTTCGAAGTGAGGGATAAGAAGGCCCCGGAGAAGGGACGCTTCGACGTGGACTATACTGAAGCTGTATCATCTGAGTGAGTATCAATTGGGAGGCCAATGGCGATGTCAGGGGTCTGGCCTTGTAATGGGCGAGGCACATACACCGTTACACGAATTCTAACATCAATTGAAACAGCGGCAACCAATACTTCGTCGTTCACCTTCCCGAGCCTCTGGCACCGAAGTCGCAAGTTACCCTTGGAATTTCGTACTCGGTACTTTCCTCTCTTAGCCCGCTTCCCGCAACCATCGGACAGGCGGACAAGCAATACCTCACCTACTCCTTCTCCGCTTATATGCCATCCGCCTACACGACAGATACACAGAAGACCAAGTTGAAGTTCCCCAGTACCAATGTGCCGGATTACACAACCACTGATGGACTCAAGACCGGCTCGGACCCCGAGCGCAAGGGCGCCACATACACCTACGGTCCGTACAACACGGCTAAGGTGGCCCCTGGCACCGAGCACCCAATTACCGTCCGCTACGAGTTCACTAAGCCCGTAATCACCGTGAACCTTTTGGAGCGTGACTTGGAGGTCTCGCACTGGGGCGGCAACCTTGCAACTGAGGAACGGTACTGGCTGCGTAACAACGGCTCGGAGCTGACCAAACAGTTCTCGCGTGTCGATTGGACACTCACCACCTACCAGAAAGCGCCTACCTCCGCGGTTCGTGAGCTGACATATCCGCTTCTGCCCGGCTCCGTCGACCCTTACTTCATTGACGATATCGGCAATGTCTCGACCAGCCGCTACCGTCCGAGTGTTGGTAAGAGCGCGGGTAACTTGGAGCTGAAGCCCCGCTACCCGATCTTTGGAGGCTGGAACTACAGCTTCCGTATTGGATGGAACAATGACCTTGCTTCATTCCTGCGCCGTGCCGCGGGTGCTGACTCCGACTCCTATGTCCTCAAGGCCCCGCTCATTGAGGGACCTAAGATGGCCGAGGGCATCCAGTATGAGCGTGTTATTGTACGCGTTGTTCTCCCCGAAGGTGCTCACAATGTCCGCTTCGAGATCCTTGAGGGAAAAAACAGCAATGGCCTTCCTGGTGCAAACCACATTCACGCTCGCGTGAGCTCTCTCAAGACCTACATGGATACTCTGGGCCGGACCACCTTGACCCTGGAGGTTGACAGTCTGACCGACGAAGCGCGTGACTCCAAGTTCGTGGTAAGTATTGATCTATATTGTCATTTGTTCACCTCACAGTTATGCTAATTTGCCATTAGGTCACGTACGATCACTCCATGATCGATGCCCTGCGCAAGCCTTTCACCCTCTTCGCGGGTCTGCTCACAGTCTTTGTCGCTGCCTGGGGCATTGGAAAGATTGATGTCAGCATCAAGAAGCGGTGAACTGCGTGAAATGGGTTCATATCAAGTATCATATTGTCACTTCTCTATAGTCGTTTCCAAGGGATGTCACCAATCGACTTGTATGTTTACAATGTTTTCCCAGATTCCCCTCCCAGCTTTCTCAGTTTCCTTCCAAGCTCTCGTGTAATCTTCCAGTTAGAGTCGCTCCTTCCTCTGGACGTACTGGACGTACTTGCCTACTTGGATATGTACATACACCATCAGATCGTAATTGTAAAACCTTTCCGACTCTTCACTTGTCCAGGTATTTCCCTCATTCTACCTCTCCCATTCCATCATCCCTCATCCCCCATTTCCTCATTCTCTGCACATTTCATCCTCAGCAATGCTTCAAATCAAGGAATCACCGGGCAAACCTCGTCCACCCCCCGTCGACGACAACACCACCCAAGATTCCCCATCCAAACTAAGCCTGTCTTCCACCCGCAACCCCCTCGGCCCAGTGGTCGTCTTCATCGCCCGAGCCTCAAGCCCGGTGGACCACAACTACCCGAAAGCCGCAATGAACAGCAACCAAATGCACCAATACCTACGCTCACTGCTGATAATCACCGCCGCCGAGCACCGCAAGCGATTCGGACTCCTAGGTCTCCGTCCCCACAAGATGCAGACAATAATCCAACCCGCCCCCAGCCGAATCTCATCCGTCAGTCGAGTCGGAAAGTTCCTGGGCATGGCACTCGAGGAGGCACGCGCGTCCAAGAACGAGTGTATCTTCGTCCTGCACGGCTGGGATGGCTGGACAACCGACAAGATGACCATCGCGGACCTCTGCGAGCAGTTCCGCGACGTCCCTTTCTCTCTCCATGTTTATGCAAACCGGGGAGACCCTCGTGATTTCTTTGAGGTCAATGCTCACAAGGTCAATGCCTATTTCAGACACCAGGTTGCTGCAAATGATCCGAGTATTGTTGGTGATCGTTCGACGGCGCTTTACATTCGCATCCTGGAGACTCTGCCTACCTTGCAATATGCCAGGTATTACCCTGTTCTTTCGGCAACGGAAAGGGAGAACCTTGCCAAATACGATAAGCGGTTCGTTGGGATTTATGAGGAGGACGAACCTGAGGCTCCAAAGCTTGAAGTTGCAAATTCTGATGCTCCAAAGCCCGGAGTTTGATATGGCATCGGTAAGTACAAATAGTAATGCTTGGGTTGCATCTATACAAATGGATCTTAACTTTATATTTCTTGTGTAGTTTGATATTTCCAGAAGGATCTACGAAACATGACATTGACTCATGGAAACGAGGCTGGAGAGGCCCTGGGCCGTTAACAAGTCGGAGGCTATCAATTGACCAAGGAGCTAAATCAATATCAAATCTTTATCAAACTGTTCATGGCACACCATTATTGGATATGTCAGGGATATCTTCAAGTAAACAACCGCGTACGGTTCGTCAAATTAGACTGAGGTAGTAATTGTACAGAAGAGCAAGATATTGTGGTCATGACGCAGAACAAAAAAAGGCAAACTACCTAGTGCCATCCATTGACCATACCCGTCCCAGCAAGAAGTTCATCAAGCTCATCTTTTCGGCTCTTGTACAAATCCTGAGCCTCTCGCTCACGGCGCATAACAAACGATACTGCGTCGCGGAGTCTCTCAAGTCGCCGGCTCACAGCCGACTCCTCGGAGATCTGGAGTGTACGGAAAGCGTCCAGCTCATTTTCAGCAGCGGGCAAAGCAGCACCAGCCTCCAAAATCTTCGACCGCAGCGTCTTAGCACGGTTCTGGTATCCGCCGTAGTGCAAAGAAAGCTTCTTTTCAAGCTTGTTTCCACGCTCGGCGGTAGCAAAGAGGGATGTTTGAACAGTCTCGAAGGCCGCATTCATGCGTTGTTCTTCTTGGAAGAAATCCTGCTCGTCATCCTCGTAATTTTCAAGACCGGGCAAAGACTTGGCGCGAGCTGACGACCAGCCGTCGTCGAATTTTTCTTGCCATTCCGACTGCTGCGCTTCGGTGGAAGCAATCTCGGCGGCAATGGTAGCTCGTGCTGCGTCCAAGAACCGGTCATCTAAATGGCTTAACTTTGGTGCTTGGCCCTTGACCTGCGCGTCGGGGACAGGGAATTTGCGAGAGTCGTGTGCGATTAGGATAGCAGCTTCGTTGGCAATCAGGCCTTCGATGGTGTCGGTGACCTTGGAGGCACGTTGCAACAGAGCGTTTAGATCCAGAACGGCGGGGCGAGGTAGGCCTCGCTGGTAAACTTGTGATTGACGCTTGAATTCAGCCTTGGCGGCCTTCTCCCGTGCCTCGTTGTTACGACGATCGCGCTCGGACGCATCCTCTTCGCTGATCTCCTCAGATATGGTGGGCTCAGCGGTCTCAGATGGAGTATCAAAGTCCCACTGTGATTCTTTGGGCTTGGGAAGCGAGGCCAGCTTGCTACGCATCTGTTGGCGAGTGAAGTTCTCGTGCATTTTAATGTCTCGGGGCGTGCTGCCAATGAGCTGGCCACCCTCTCCCTCGCGGTTCAGAGCTAGATGGTCTCGCGGGGTGCGCAAAGGCGTAGCACCGACCCCAACACCACCAGGCATAGGCGTTGCACCCATGCCATTCGCCTGGCGGAATGGCGTGGCCATGGGGTTGGGAGTGACAATCGCTTGCCGCCGAGGAGCAATCCCATCAAATCCAGTTGATGAGCTGCCCTCGTGGAGAGGTGTGTTTTCCCCTCCCAGCAGGGAAGACTGAGTTTCGGTCAAAGCTCGAATGTTCTTGATTTCGTTGGCAATGCGATCCTCCTCGGGGGCAGCCCGCGGGGTTCTGATAGGAGTTCCTCCAACAATAGTCGAGTAATTTCCAAGGAGTTCCCGAGTGCCTGCCTCATCCGAGCTCATTCGACTGGCTTTATCCCCAGCCATTCCCATTTTGATAATATCTTCCATTTCGCTTTCGCTGACCTGCGGTGCTGGCAAGTTCAGTCCCCGACGCTTGCTGCTCTGTTCAGCCTCGCGAATCTTCTGCATCTGACCTGCTCGTGCGGCTGCAGCTGAGGCGGCTGAGGCGCCGCTTTTATCGTTCTTGCGCTTCTTGCGCTCTGCATCATCGTCTTGGTCCCCCTTTCTCTTATTTGCGAGTTGCTGCTTCCGAGGATCAAATGCTTCTCGTTGCCGTTCATTCTGATCTTTCTCTTCAATTGTATCGTAGAATCCAGGAGCAGCTGGCTTTTCGAAGGGAATGTCTGCATTGTAATCCATTTGACCGGGCTTCCGCGTGACAACTTTGACGTTGATACCAGCATTCTTAAGTTCGCGGCGCTTCTGGAGAACGGCCAGTCGACGTGACTCTTCTAATTGACGCTCTCGGGCCTTTCGCTTGGCCTTTTTACCCTGTGTGTTTGCGAGACGAGCACGCGCTTCGCTCAGCATTTCTTTCTCATCTTCATCCAGATCGATAGTGTCGGGACGGGCAGGCTTGGACTCAGGGTCGGGATCGAGTTCACCGGGTCTAAAATCCATCAGCAACACGAATATCATGATCTTTAAAAAAAATTCACGTACCGTAGGCGGCGGACATCGTCCGCACTGGGGGCGGCGCTCTCCTCGCCGGGTCCTCCCAGACCAAGCTCGTCATTTTCGCGGGATTCAGCTTCATCCAAAAGCTTTTGGTAGCGTTCAAGACATTGTGTGGCAGTGCGCCCAACGATGGGAGCAATTGTGCGCCATTGCGTGGGCATCAGCTTCGCAAGGTGGAGCAGTTTCTCATCCTCTTCCCGCGACCACTCGACTTTGCGAATACCAGGGTCCAACCATTCAATCCAGCGCGCCTTGCATTGCTTTGGGGTTTTCCGTGCGAGCAGAGAAGAGACTCGAGCCCACTGGTTGAGACCATATTTGGAAACCTGCGATCGAGTCAGTTTTTGTCCCGTGAAACATTGGCTAGAGAGGTTCCTAGCCAGTCAAAAATAACATACAGCTGCCCGAAGCACTTCATCCTCAATATTGGTCCTAATAGTATATTAGCACGAAAGCTCGTGGGCGGGTTCCAATGGTGGCACTTACCAGACACCTCCTTTGACGACAGGCATGGCGTGCGATCGCGCTAAGCGCAGTGTCAAACCGTCGAAAAGCGATAGTAAAAGATCAAGGGTGCCACCAGAAAGATGGAAAATGAAAACCCACTGGTGTACAGGGAGTTCACGCGCCGTAAGTGATGACAGCTTGAAGTGGAAGAAAAGCGAGTTCGCAGCCAAGCGCGGTAAACGTGGTAGCCGCGATCACCGCCCCCGCGCGTGCTGAGATAAGCAGACCCAGAATTTTTTTTGGACCAGAAAAAAAGATAAGCCAATATTTTCATACTATCATCGTTGACTGTCTGTCTCAGTTGTTTTCCACAATGTCGACCTCAGTGGATGCCCCCCAGCAATTCAAGCAAACTTCCCGTAAGGGCAAGAAGGCGTGGCGCAAGAATGTCGATATCACCGCCGTGCAGGAGGGTTTGCGCGAGCTGAAGGACGCCGAGATCACAGGGTAGGCCTATCTTTGCTCTCTTTTCTTTTTTTTTTTTTGCTCCTTAAATTTGAATTGAGATTCTAACTATTCTCTCCGCCAGTGGTCTTATCTCCGAAAAGCCTTCCGATGAACTTTTCGTTCTCGATACTGTCGGTAATGAAGAGGTGCGCAAGTCTATCGCCAGAAAGCAAAAGAAGCCCCTCAAGTCAGACGAGATCCTTGCCCAGCGGTCGAAGATCCCCGCCCTGGATGGCCGGAAGCGTGTAAACCCGAATGTCACCGATGGAGTCATTGAGCCGAAGACGAAGAAGCCCAAGAGCGACTGGGTTAGCCAAAAGGAATATCTCCGCCTGAAGCAAGTAGCAAAGGAGGGAAACCCTCTGGGAAAGAAGACCGACAATGAGTTCTACGATCCGTGGGCGGAAGATGCCGAACCCACGCTCACGTACGACGACCCTCGCTTTGATTTCCTGCAGAAGCCCAAGCCCAAGGTTGAGCCGGTCACATTAAAACACGCCCCGATCTCGCTTGCTGCCAACGGAAAGCCCATCCCCTCTGTTAAGATGCCGCACGCCGGAACCAGTTACAACCCTGTATTCGAAGAATGGGACAAACTATTGGAGACACATGGTGCCAAGGCGGTTGAGGCCGAGAAGCGGCGATTGGAGGAGGAGGCCAAGGAAGCCGAGAAGCGGCGTCTGATTGAGGAGGCCAAGAATGACAACGGCGAAGTTAAGTCGGATGATGAGAGTGCCTGGGAGGGCTTCGAAAGCGAGTACGAGAAGTCCGAGTGGTTGAACAAGAAGCGCCCCGAGCGGAAGTCCAAGACACAGCGCAACAAGGTCATCCGACGCAAGGCAGCAGAGGGGAAAGCGAAGTGGGAGGCAGCGCGGGTAAAGAGAGATGAACAGGCCCAGCATATTCTCAAGATCACCGAGCAAATCCAGCAACGGGAGCTCGAGCGCCAGAATCAGTCAGATGCGGATGATTCTGAAGATGGTGAGGGTGATGACACTACCCTCCGCAGAAAGACCTTCGGCGGCAAGAGAGCGTACGTTATTGTTCATTTTCCATGTCGATGTTGCGACTAACAAGTTATTTTAGTGTACCCGAGCAGCCGTTGGAGCTGGTGCTTCCTGATGAGCTGCAGGATTCTCTGCGTCTCTTGAAGCCAGAAGGCAATCTCTTGGATGACCGATTCCGAACATTGATCGTTCAGGGTAAGCTCGAGTCCCGCACACCTATCACCCAGGCACGCAAGGCCAGACGACAGATCACGGAGAAGTGGGCTGCGAAGGATTTCAAGACTGGGTACGAATGATTCTGCATATTCCCTCTAAAAGCGCGTGCATTTTGTTATCTGGACATATAATGTGGTCCTAAGGTTAGATGAGTTAGGATCAGGTTTCATCTCAAATATTTTTCAAGCACTTAAAAGTGAATCGCAGTAAACATTAAACACTCAATTGAAAAGTACGCAATAGCCACATATATCGTATGTATATAAATTGCATATAGTACCTCTAATACATCTACATAGTCCTGATCAAGTCCATGTCGCTACCTGGTCAACTATCAACCCCAAAATAAAAGTGGGTCCCGAAAATTTACTTGCTTATCGCCTTTTTTTATCTTTCCCATCTTCTCTCTCACCAACAGAACACAGAATGGACAAGACAGCGCTTTCCAGTAATTGGAAGAAGCTGCAGGCGACATTCAAGAAAGATCCCACTGTCAAGCGCAAGCCCTCCGACCGCGAATCTGGAGATGGCATCGTGAAGAAACGCAAGTTGACAGAGAAGCAAAAGCCATATAACCAAGACGCCAAACCAACCCTCAAGCGCAAGAGAATGTCTGATAAGAAAGAGACTGGCGATTCAGCCGATGCATCCGCTCCAAAGATCGAGACGAGTTCACGTCACAAGGAAAATGAAGGCCGTTCATCAAGGTAAGTGCTAGATCACAGATCGTATAGGCATACTATTTGGACTTGCCCTTCCGCTATCAGCTACTAACTATCCATCTCTAGCGCCGAACTAGGAAAATATGTCGCAATGGATTGTGAAATGGTGGGCGTCGGACCAAACCCCGACAACGACTCTGCACTTGCCCGCGTCAGTGTCGTGAACTTCAACGGCGACCAAATATACGATTCCTACGTGCGCCCGAAGGAGATGGTCACAGACTGGCGCACGCATGTGAGCGGAATTGCCCCGAAACACATGGTGGAGGCGCGAACCCTTGAGCACGTCCAAAAAGAAATTGCAGATATCATGAAGGACCGCATTCTCGTCGGTCATGCCGTCAGCAATGATTTGGACGCTCTTCTCCTCAGTCATCCCAAGCGCGACATCCGAGACACGAGCAAGCATGCACCATATCGGAGGATCGCGGGTGGTGGATCACCACGTTTGAAGATGTTGGCTGAGGAGTTCTTGGGAATCACGATCCAGGAAGGAGCGCATTCTAGTGTGGAAGATGCTCGGGCTACTATGGCTTTGTATCGTCGGGAGAAGGATGCGTTTGAGCGGGAACACTTGAAGAAATGGCCTGCTCGCATGCTTGCCGACACTAGGGAGAAGGGCGAGGGCCAGAAAAAGAAGAAGAAGAAGAAGACCACACGCAAGCGTTGATGTGGTTGAATATTCGATATAGCTTTCGAAGAGACATGCTTAGATACTCTGTACATGTATACCCCGATCATTGCCAATTGAATTGTTTTGCATTTCCACGAGGATTTAGAAGTCTTTAATATTTTTTACTTTGCGAATTCAAATGCAGTGAAACATCGACAATATACTTGTAGAGATAGCTATGTAAGTAGATTTTCTGTAATCGTCGATCCCATCGAATTTCCACTTAACGCGGAGAACGGGAGAACGCGTCGCGCCTCACCTCCGATCTTTTGCAAGAATCAGCGCAACCACCTAAGACCGCAGAACCCAGGCAATACCTCTCTAATTTCAGAGCTCAACGATATAAGAATCAACTGGCAACCAATTGATCCCAGCAAATATCCTGGATTGCACCGTTACTTCCCCGCTAGCCCTCACACCAGAATATCAGTTCTCGACGGGAGCAACCGACACAATGCCCGACATGTACACTATCCAGCCCTGCTCAAAGGCGAGCTCACAATCTGGAGAGAAAGACTCGACTCTACAATGTACACCAAATATCATTCCTTGCCGGGTTCACCACGACGGACCAATTGATTCGTTGGATCGGTATTGGACAGTGAAAGACGAAAAAGGTATGCAAGACAGACAGCTCTGGCCGGAGAAAAGCTAGCTCGACTATTGTACAAATAAAAACTAACATCTCATTGATATCCAGATAACACACAAACGGCACATTTCCGCGGACGCAAACTTCGAGGTCGGCGCGTCGCCCTTCCTGATGGCTATCAAGGTATGAGAGAATGACCAAATGAGCTCTCCGGAAATATACAAACGGCAACTGAATCATAATTGGCTGACTCTATACCATTGAAATATATAGGTGTAGTTGCAACACCCACAGATCGTGTGTTACCTGCAGCTCAACAGGCAGACAGTGACGGTGCCGAGGATGCAGAGGCTGAGCCTGAGGAACCAGTGAAGATTATGGAGGTGCAGTCAACCTTTGATGAGTTTGTAGTATGGGGGCATGAGGCTCTTCCTGCGGCAGATGACACTTTTGTCAAGGGAGTTGAGGAGTGGTTGCAATTCGCGGACGCGGTATGTTTTCTTCCCCTCCAATCATGGCAGCATGTTCTATTTGGATGCTTTTTTGCTTTGGTTCTTTTCTGATTGTCTATCAGATGCATACAACCCCACCAGCAGCGACGAATGGGAAGGAGACTACTGCTTGAGGAAGAGTTGTTGGGTTAGAATGGAGTTGATGGGGGCTTTTTGTGGATTCCAGGCTGTATACCAATGCATATGATAGCATAATACTGTGATATGCACTTAATTTTGCTTGAAATTGAGTACCGGAAACTCCTGATGCCCATCATCGAATAAGAACTATGTGTTGAAGAAGGCTTGGGCATGTATTTGGGTCAAGGCGTTCAACGGATACCCTTAGGGCTCAATGTGTAAGGATATGAAAACAACTCTGGAGTCTGTAGTATTATGTAGATCGGTTCTAGTAAAACGAATTCTTGGGCCATTGCAACAGAATCCATCTCATAGATCTACACCAAAACGACAAGCCTGACCGCCCCACCTGATAAAGCTGGATAAACCGTACAGAGCATCTTGAACTTCCCTACAACCCAGCATTGAAAGCCTCCAAATATGGCAGACTCTTCAGAAACCGACAAGATCGCCCCAGAGGCCCTAATCACCAAATTCCAAGTGAGCAAGCTCCTCAAACAAGGTCCGACTCACCCATCCCCCACCCCCGCAATCAAAAGACTAAAAGAAACCCCCTCCAGACCAAAACGGCCGAAGAATCGTCCTCCTAGGCACAATCGACAACACGCAAGGTATCTTAACAGCCGAACGAGCCGCCTTCGCAACCGAATCCCTCGCGATCCTCCAAGCCTTCCACGCCGCAATCTCCCGAATCAACAACCTAGGCGACAACGATATCTACCGGTGGTACCTTGCCTCCTCAAGCGGCAACAACAATGACCCAACCCCCGCCGAAGCATCTGCCAACCCGCAGCAAGACCTCAAACTCAACCTCATCTGGCCCTGCACCGCCCAACACATCAAGAAGTACTCGGACCAGCAGTTGCGCATGGTAACAGAGACGGCGGAGATATACCGCACACACGTGCGGCCATACATGCAAGCCAAGCGCGAGGAAGGACGTCTGAACTGGGTGTTTAATATTCTGGAGGGCAGGACTGAGCAGGAAGATGTGATTCTACGGGACGAGGGACACGGGCCTGAAGATGGGTTTTTGATGTTGCCTGATTTGAATTGGGATCGGAAGAGTATGGGGTCCCTGCATTTGTTGGCTTTAGTGCAGAGGAGGGATATTTGGAGTTTGAGGGATCTGAAGAAGAGTTTTGTGCCTTGGTTGAAGTATTTAAGGGAGAGGGTGCTTGAAGCTACGGTTTCTATGTATCCTGCTTTGGAGGAGGATCAGATTAAGCTTTATGTCCATTGTGAGTTGTTGGAGATACTATTGCGCTGTATTGTGTTCCATTGGATATTGGATGGTGTTTTGCTGACTTTGACTATCGCAGATCAACCGACTTACTACCATTTCCATATCCATGTTGTCAATGTTATGCTCGAAGCTGGTGCAACTCAGGCAACGGGTAAGGCTTTTGGACTGGAGAACTTGATCTCGCAGCTTGAGACTTTGTCGGGAGATGGGGATGCTAGTCTGGCTGATGTTGATTTGACATACTACCTGGGTGAAGCTAGTGAACTGTGGACGGATATTTTCAAGCCGTTGAAGCAGGGAAAGCAGCCTGGTCAATAGGGGGGAGCTGTTTGAGACCATCTCAGATACATGTTGACGAAAGGTTCTAATGACTGAATGAATCAAATACAACCCATTCTTCACGGCTAAAACGCTGTACATCTAACTACGACTCTCGTCCCTGCTACTATACAACCCCGGAAAAGAAGTAATTAATGATAGTAAAATATTAATATATACATATTTTTATAAAAAGTCATATCTATACGTTGGTCAATTATACATGTTCCCTTACAATTATCCCTTCGGGATCATCCCTTTCCGTTGTAGTCTGTGTGACCTCAAACGTGCGATGAATCCCCAACCCCAGATCAGGCAACCGAGGCGAGGGCCGATCAATAGTCAACCTCTCCTCGCTGTTACTCGGGCTCGTGCTATAGGTATCATCAGGGTCCCTCTGGCTCTGGATAGTCGTGACAGTGACCGCAAGCTTATCCGGTCTCAGGCGAGACTGCCCGCTCTCGTCGAGCGAGCCTAAAGGAAAAGGACGATTTTCAGCACCGCCTAACGGGCGTGAGGCAGAGCGTGAGCGTCCGCCTGGAAATCCAGAGGAGTAGTATGGGTCTGAGTGGGAGCCGGTCCAGAGGCGGAGGAGGGGTCGGAGGGTTGCGAGACTACCGGCTGTAATGCCGAGGCCTGCTTCGACGTTGGACCAGATGGCGATTTGGTATGTTGCGTCTAGAATGAGGGAGATTTGGTTAGTTTTATTCATGTCTTGGTTTGCCATTCGGGGGAGTAGGGACGTACAGAGGAAGTCGCGGTCATAGAAGGTTTTGACAAAGGGGATACGGACGATGACGGCCGATGAAGCACTATGGAATCCCTTGTCAGTAATCTGGAAGTAGTACGGGAAACCCGAGATAAGAAACAGATAAACATACATGCAAGCCATGCCTAAAATGCCCATGACGGCGATCTTGGTCTGGCGCTTCATGTGAAGTTTGCGAACGAGGAAGATGGGCAACAAGCCGACGGTGAAATCACACAATGCGGCAAATCCGCTGTAAATGTAGGTCATGATAACGATGATCTTCATATCCATGCATGTGCCTATGATATTAGGATCATAGGCCAGCTTAGTCCAGAAGTATTCCAGTGGCCTGCACTGGAGGAGCATGAGGAACATGAAAACCAGGCCTGCTATGACAGTCAAGGCCATAACGGTATAGAGGATCCAGATGTGAATAGGTTTGATAGTGATGCGCATTAAGAAGATGCAGACGGAAATCTTGCATCCTACGGATGCGAAGCAGTAGGCGATCTCGCAGAGCCACCAGAATCTCATTGCGATCAGGCGATTTTCGACAGTGAGGCTTTCGAGCATATAGCCTGTGCCATAAATCGAGCCCCCGATCATGGTTCCACAGAACATGGCGTAGAATAACTGTGGTGAATTGAGTTTTGTTAGATCTTATCACTCCACAAAACACTTTCGGGAAGGATTCCAGATCGAAAAGGATTCAAGGATTGAACATACCAGTGCAATTACCATCATCCCATCATCCCATCCAAATGCCTTGACAATCCACCCACGCACATAGATGCGCAGCATCACCGTGATGGTAGCAATAGGTAGGAAGACCGCGGCGACGGTCTGAACCGCCGTCTTTCTTAGGTGTTCATCGGTCATATCGGCTAAAGCTTGTCATCCCTGGAAGGATTCAAGGTATGTGGGGGAGCAGGATTCTTAATAAAAGCGTTCTCCTGTCACGACCCGCAAAAAGCTACAAAATACAGGGGCAAACAAGGAAATAACTAGAGCGTTTTTGGCCCTTGGGCTGGCCAAAAATGGGGTTTTGGTTGACCGAAGAAAAGAACGCTAGGCCAACCTTGAGATGATCGACGACACGGCACGCCTCGTGGTTTTATTCGGTATAAGGTATGAATTGGGTTGAAGAAAAGCCGTTGAAATCCATTCCCCGTCGAGTGCAAATGTACGGAGTAGGGATAGATTAATTGGGCAATAGAATGGGGTGCAGGGTGTTAAAACTGCCGAACACATGTGGGAGTGAGACAAGGAACCGGATGTCACGGTATAAGGAATTCCACTAGGGTTTCAGTTCCAAGTTGGGAAGTTTTCGGCAGAAGTTTGGGAAAGCTACCAAGCTGTTGGGTCAACCGATTATAGCTTCGTATACGGAGTAACCTGGTCCCGTTTCCATTTTTTTACGAGCCCCCCGAAATTGACATGGGTCTCACGGGACATCAGTGTGCCAATCCAGTCACTGCCGGTGGACCCTCGACGTTTGCGGAAACAATGGCCGGTTTTTTTGAAGGCAGAGGTGGCGATCTCATGGTCAATCTGACGCTAACGGCGTACACTAGTTTCTTGGAAACACATAATGGCTTTCTAGGCTGCCGATAATTAGAGTTCTCCTTTTTGAAATGACGATCTTAATCCTGGTTGATAGGAGGTCAATGCAGAACTGTCAAAATGAAATTAGTCCAAAGGTTAGGTTAATATTTGAAGGTTGAAAGTGCAAACAACCCAAGATGTTGCAAACAGTTTGTAGAATGTTGGCCTTGATTTTCAGGTTACCAAATGGCATTCATAAACTCAATAAGGCAGCTAGGTATGTTGAACTTACATAATTATTTATGTTCATATTATCTAGTTATAGATAGTTATAACTAGTTAATAATTCTATTGTTATTCCTAGACCTAAAATATAAGGTGTCAAAGCTCAATTAAGGATCAATTAACGCCATGAAAGCCATGAAAGTCATTAAAGCACATGCAATTAAATTTAATATCGAAGGCCCGTAGAAAACGTGGAAGCTAATCGACCCCGCAATCCTTCCCCCCTCCCAACCCTCACCTTATCCCAAAGACATACTTACATCACGATCACCAAAATCATACACAATGGCACACGTCGATGTCCCAGCTACCCAAAAGGCCTTTGTGCCCCTAGGTCCGTCCTCACCTCAACCCCTCCCCGCTCTCTCCAAACACTCCGAAATCCCAAACTAACCCCTCACCCCAGAAAACAACCCAGAAGTAATGTCACACCTCGTGCACCAACTCGGCCTCCCCCCAACCATAGGCTTCACCGATGTATTCTCCATCGACGAACCCGACCTCCTAGCATTCGTCCCCCGCCCCTCCCAAGCCCTCCTTCTCGTCTTCCCCGTCTCACAAACCTACGAAGCCTCGCGCGAAACTGAAGATGCCTCGAAACCCACCTACACAGGCTCTGGCCCCTCCGAACCTGTAATGTGGTTCAAGCAGACTATCCGAAATGCATGCGGACTGATCGGGCTACTGCACGCTGTCTCAAACGGTGAGGCTCGGAAACATGTCATCGCTGGCTCGGATTTGGATACGTTGCTCCGGGAAGCGGAGGGACTAGAGCCGATCCAGCGTGCGGACCTACTGTATGATAGTAAGGCGTTGGAGAGTGCGCATGCTGATGCGGCGAAGCTGGGGGATACAGCGGCGCCGGCGGCAGAGGATAATGTTGATTTGCATTTCGTTGCTTTTGTTCGGGGGCTTGATGGGACGCTTTGGGAGTTGGATGGGAGGAGGAAGGGGCCTTTGGCTAGGGGAATTTTGAAGGAGGAGGAGGATGCGCTTAGTGAGGCTGCGTTGGAGTTGGGGGTTAGGAGGTTTTTGAAGATGGAGGCGCAGGGTGGGAATCCGGATTTGAGGTTTAGTTTGGTCAGTTTGGGACCTTTGTTTGATTAGAGTCTACGGGTGTATTGAGGTTGTGTTTGTTTTTTCGAGGGTTATTTCTGGATCTGGTATCCGGATAGATAGTATGTCTTTCTTGAGCTGTGCCTTGAAGGCAGTGGTATGTTATTAAGTACATTTAATGATATGTGTCTGTATCTGGCATTCCACTGAAGGAATAGTCAGGATATACTGGGATGCGGTATATGTATATACATGCCCAGGTATATCTAGTGTGTTTAGATATCGCACACATTTTTGCTCCTCAATCCAAATGTCGACCCTCTTCAGTACTGAAAAGTCAGCCCAATAGGCTACCTCTTCTCGTGCTCCGTGATATCAACAGTAGAAGAAACCACAGAGCTCGTATTAGCAGTAACAGCTGTCTTCTCACCACCCTCCTCGGTGATCAACTGCTCGTTTTGAGGGGCATCATTGCCCTGTCTACCAATTGTCAAGAACGGCACCAAAAGTAAAGACGCCCCGGAAGCCGCAGCCGCAAACCAATAAACCGACAGATAAGGCCGAATCGCAGGCGTGGAGGCGGTCATACGAAGGGCGATCGAGCTCTCCACAGAAGTAGCAATGCCAACGCCCAGATTGCTACACAACTTGATGACGGTGTTGAATATGCCACCGGCGATGGATTGCTGAGATGGTGGGAGGGTAGACATCACGTACATCTAGGTGAAATTAGTAAATACTCTCAAAGACAAGGAATAGAAAGGACATGGGGCTGAACGTACATTTGTGACGTTGAATTGAATATCAGCACCAACAACAACAAGAACTAGCGCTGGGAAGATAAATGCCCAGTAGCTAGCTTCTTGCTTCATGAAGCTCAGGATAAGGAACGAGGCTGTATACCCCAATGCTCCGATGCCGGTTAGTATTTTGTTGCTTACGCGGTGCAGGACCAGACCGCAGACGACATTGACCAGCACTCCGCTGACAACCATTGGGAGTAGCTGGACGGTGATCTCAAGGGCAGAGAGATTTTTCAAGTTTTGAAGGTAGAGGGAAAGGAAGAAGCTGACGGCAGAGAACCCCATGAAGCCAAGACAGCAGGTTCCAATGAGCTGAACAGTTAGTTTCGATGTATATTTCCTTGGAAGGTGGGGACACATACAAGAGAGAAGTTACGATCTCGCCAGACCCAAAGAGGCATGAGAGGGTTTGTAGCAACGGACTCCCAATACAGAAATGCGACGAGAAGGAAAAAGCCCACAATAAACAGAGCAAGGACGTATCCCGTTTTCCATCCATCTGGAGCATCTGAAGCCAGACTGTATATAAAAGAGTCAGCAAAAGATCCTCAAGAAAGTATCCAATTCACGGGGGAAAACATACGAAAGCGAACTCGAAAAGAACGCAAACCCAACAACAACCAAAACCATCCCGAGGAGATCAAACTGTTTCAAAGCCTGAACACTCAAAGGCGTCCTAGCAAACCCATCAGCCGGGACCGTCCAGACAGTCAAAATAGTAAAGATCCCATAGACAACAGAAAGAGCCCAAAAAGAAGCGCGCCAGTTATACAAATGCGCCGCGACACCGGAGATAATCATGCCGCCGACAAACCCCAGCGGGTTTCCCGCGCTGAAGCAGGCAAAGGCAAGGTTCTTTCGCTTTGAGGGCCTCTCGTAAGTAGCGCCTAGAGCGCCGACCGCGGGTGGGACGACGGCGGCTGCGAATACACCTAGAACTCCAGAGAAGACATCCATGTAGATGGCGTTTGTTGCGAAGCCGGCGATGAGTAGTGAGATGGTGAAACCGCCCATGCCGATGATGAAGAGCACCTTGCGTCCGAACATGTCGGCTAGCTTTCCGAAGGTGAGGAGGAAGGCACCGCTTGTGAGGCTGTTGGAGTTGAGTGCATGGTTAGTGGTGTGTGTTGTATGATATATGTTGTATGATGTACGAAGTATATGTGTTGTAGGGATATGATAGATCAAACCCATTATAAAAACCAGGGAAAACTCAAATCCAGTAGAGAAATGTGGAGAGAAATAGAAATAGAAATTGTACGTACGAAGCACCGGCATTGATCCAGGTGATTTCAGCGGAATTCATATGTAAATCCTTGCCAATAGATGCCGTTACTCCCACGATACAGCCCTGGAAGAATGACTGCTGGCCAATGGCCATCGTGGCAGTTAAGACGAAGAGAACTTCTTGGAATGTGCTGTTGAAGCATTTTGGACGCTCTGAAATTTCGTTGACCCCTGAATCATTTTGGCCATTTTCTGGATCTTTAGCCATTTCGGGAAGAATCTTCCAAGACAGAATTGTTGGAAAACTCTGTCTAATCGATGAGGCTGAATTCCTTCGGCGGGTTTAGCGGTCAGGGGGTTAATCTAAGCGGGAGAATCTTTCCAACGTTTCTAGAAAGAATACGTAGGATAGAAATTTAAGATGCCATTTTATTACCATAATTGAGTCACTTCATGTTGCAACTGCAATTCCGATCCAAAATAATATATTTTTGTCAGCGCGGCGCGTTCCGCGCTGATCGATGGGAATAAGCTTGCGGTGTGTGGCGGACATGACCGCCTCGATGTACAACATATATGCAATGCGCCATACATCACATACAGCATGCATTAATAATGACCATGTACACACGAGTGCTTAGTCAAAAGGTAGCATCTGCTTTGTTGACAGCATTGGAAATCACCAAGCAAGGTAACGTATCTGGTCGACCCGAAAACCTGATTTGCATGGTCATACATATTCATGCATGTCTGTATTCCTCAAACCCCCAAGGTCGACCCAACACTCACGGGCATTGAAGCGGAGAACCTCATTACCAGCAGCCCACCAGCCAGCGGTCAAATTGCGCGCAAACACCTCGAGGGCAGAATACCCCTGAAGTTGACCAGCCTCGGTGAAAAACACATTCTCAAGAATAGATTTCAAGTTCGGTTTACGAGAATGCAAGTCTGGAACCGCAGCGATGACCCGTCTCCTCGTAATGGCCTCACTCATCCGTGTCAGATCATCCATCTGAGACAGGAGTGGCGCATCGTCGGCGTTACCGTTAGCGTTGACATTGACATTATGGCCACTCTTGCGGCCAATGACAAGGATCTCGTACGGTTTTCGCCATAGCCCGTCTAATGTGGAGATCGGTTGTCCGTCCCACGTAGTCTTGACCCAGATCCATTCCTCGCAGATACAAAAGCCCGCACCGCTCAAGGCCTCGTATGCTGCTCGCCGGGCCTTTTCCGCATTCGTAATCCATATAGCAGCTATGGACTGCTCGCTTTGGATGGTTTCCGGGTGGGGTCCGGATCGGCGTAACCCCTGCTTTGTTTTCGGGTCGTGCGAGTGTACCCGGAGTATATCTCGTAACCCTTCTGTAAGCACATCCATCTCGGAGTAGTGATGTGTTTGATAGTGTCTGCTGCGTCGCACGGATTTGTTTGGCCAGGGCGGGTCCATAAGGATAAGATTGAATTTCTGGTGCTTGGGGAGACCGGGAATAGGATAGTTATTGGATGTAGTTGGACGGTCAACCTCGGATTGAAATAGAGGTAGTGTACAAAGCACAAAGCTCGACTCGGGTGGGACGATATATTCACACGGTGGAGAATTCGTTTCATCATGATGCCAGCTTCCAACCCTGATGATTGCGGGCTCTGGTGATGGATTCTTGACAATGGCAAGATCTAATAAAGATTCGAAGTCATTTGACGAGGTAGTCGATAAAACCATTGGTGGTTCATTTTTAGTCAAAACCTGTTCCTCTGGTGCAGACTCGAAGCAATCGTTTCCCCTCCGCCGCTTCCGCGGATGTTCATTCGGCGCTCTGCTATCCTGAGATTCAGGTTCACTAGGCACAGCTCGAGCCTCACACCATGGGCGATCATGGGAAAATCCAGCCTTGATAGTTTTGAGGGAATCCCTCACGAGTGGCAGTATCAGTTCTGAGTGGAACCGCCGCTCAGAGATAGGAATGGTGTCGAGGACCTTGGCGAGAGCCGCTGGCTTTTTGGGCTCAGTAGAAGGGAATGGCTCTTTTATAGGTGAGCATGAAAGTAGGTTTAGTATCTTCCTGTGTGCGCTCTTTTCTGTTCCTGAACTTGATTCTGGGGCTGGTTGTTGGCGTGGTGGCAGCCTCCCTTCTTGCGCCAGCGCGATTGAATGCGGGATGTCGAGAAGGTATATATTTGTATCCTGGAAGAGAATTGCGGTCTCCTCTTGGGTAATATTATTCATCTCCGACCTTCTCTTTCCCTTGTTGGTGATGGTGAAAATGAGCGACGGATTGCACCGGGTAGTTGTGGAGGTTTCAGTTCTCAGCCTCATGTAAATTCAACATCGGAAGGATTTTGATATAAAGTTGATTCTATCCAATTTGACTGGATTCGATTTATTTATATTCACTACAGTATAGTCTCTTTTCACATCTGCATCAATTCACTATGCTCCACTAGGCAGCCAAAACCTCGATCTTAAAACAATAGACAGAAGAGAAAAAATCCTATCGTAAGATCACAAGATACAAGGTCATTCAAAAACGCTGAAGAAGATACAAAACTGGGCCTCCACCCAGAAGAGACACAAGACTTTTTCACCACCGATTCCCCATGTATCCAGTTCCTCTCCCGGGTCCGATTCTCCCCTGCCGGCGATCCAGCGTCCGATCAGGGCGAAGAGATAGGACAGTGAAATCACAACACGTAGCTAGATAAACCCGCTTGGTCTCCATGAGAAACTTCAAAAATGAGAGGAAAAAAAAGAAGAAAAGATGATCAAGAAAATTTATACATGTAGATGGGAAGGCAGATCGATTAGAAATCATACGCGAAGATGGGATCAACGCTGGGCGCAAGGCATGTACGTTAGTATTGCCGCATTACACGGTTTAGGGCCGATCCGAGAATGAACTCACCCGTCCACGTCGGCCTCCGCCCGACTGCCCCTGCACGGGCTGTGCCTGGGGGTAGTATTGCGGAGGGTATTGATACATCTGGGCAGGGTTGCCAACGGGGCTGAACTGTTGGTAGTTGTTCTGGGGAAGCATCTGGCTGGTGGATAGCGGGGAAGCTTGCTGCGGCTGCATAGATCGCAGAGTGTCCACAGCAGGCGAGCCGGCTGGGTAGCCGTAGTTGGCACCGGGCATACCGGGATAGCCTGTGGGAACACCACGAGCCTGTGCAGCGAGGAAGGCTTGGTATTGTAGCTGTTGCTGGCTCAGAGGTTCCTGACTGTATCCACCTGCACCGGCAAGACCGTTCAAGTGGTTTCCGAGCCCATTGCTCGAGTATGGATCAAGGGGCGGGGGGTTGGACTGGTCGGCGGAGAGAGGACGGTTGTCGGGGTTCTGTCCAAACGCGTTGGGGGTAAACTGCCCATTGTACTGTCTGTCCATGGACGGCTGGGCTGCATAACCTGTGCTTCCGTGGCGAGAGGACTGGCGGTGTTGCGACTTCTCCGGGGTGGATTGCTCACGTCCATGGTGATGCTCCCGACCGTTACCCCGTGAAGAGAGGCCCACTTCATCCATCAGACGCTTGTAGCCTTGGCTTGGGGAAGCCTTGAGCTTTGTGAGAACCTTAGACACGTTCTTCACGACTTCAGTCCGCATAGACTCGTCAAAGAATGGGGTGGTCAAGACCTTGAAGATCAGAGTCGCACCAGATGTCTGGTCGCTCAGGATCTTCTCCAAAATTTCATCGCCGGGACTGAAGAAGAGAGCCTTCAGAACGATGTCCCGAGCATCCGGCTCATTGCGCTGGTTGATCACCTTAAGAACAGTCAAGTAGGCAACCTTGTGGGTGCAAAGGTGAACCAGGTGAGGCACGAGTCTCGGGGCCAACACTGTTCGGCGACGAGGGAATGTGCACGTATCAAGGAACCAAGTGAGCAAAAGAGCTCCATTGGCATTAGTAGCCAGCTGCACACTGTGGAGAGCAATAGCAGATGCAAGCATCCGCTGCTGATCCTTAGTGGCATGGTGGCTTTCGAGACAAGCCCGCATCGCTCGGGCGCCAAAACGTCCCTGAGCAATTTCCCACATTCGGCTGAGCATAGACTCAAAGATAAAGCTATTGAAGGGGCTGGCAAACCGCAGGCAGCACTGCAAGACATAGTTTCCATACTGATCCAAGAAAAGAGGAACAGTGTAAGGGCGGAGAGCATCAACAATCAACTGCATCTGTCCAGGAGTCTTCGCGACATCAATGATCTTCTGAGCAGCCCAAGTTCCGTTCTTGTGAACGCCGATTTCGGAGAGATGGGGTGCAATGTGAGCCAGCATCTGTTCCTTGGTAGACTCAGAGCAGAATTCGAACAGTTTCTGCACCACGGTGTTGCCCAAATAATCGGACGCGAGCTCTGCAACCTCAGGAAGCATGGCCTCGGCAGTCTCCTCAATCTCTTGGATCGAACATGCGCCATTGTCAATACGCTTCCGGATGTCGCGGAGACGAGGGGCGTCGAAAATCCGGGACTGGCTCGTTTCCTGTACCGAGGGGATTTCATCCTCGAAAGCTTGGAACGCGATGGAAGTCTGGATGCTTGCTGTGATGTTCTTCAAGTCATCTTCACTTGCGCCGAATTCTTGCACGATTTGAACCATCTCGGGCAATAGATCAGCCAGAGCGGGAATTTGAGGGATGACGTTGGCATTGTCTGCTTGATTTGCCCCATCTGCCGCTGCGAGATTTGACCTGAAGTTTTGGTCCGGAGTTGGCGACGATTGGATGCCATTTGCACCAGGAGTACCGGTGGCCGATGCACCGGGAACCTTGGCGTAACCAATTCTAACGGGGCCCGCGCCTGGGAAAATCTCCTTGCCATTGAGCAGTGACTTGGCTTGCACAGCGCTGTCAAGGCGATCGAAGTTGACAAATCCGCAGTTCTTGTGGGTTAGAACACGGGTCGACTCGATCTTTCCATACATGCCAAAGATAGCCTCTAGTGACGTGACAGTAGTGGAGACGGGAATGCTACCAATCCAAAGTGCCCGGGTAGGCCCATCCTGGTTGTTCTCATCTGCCATCTCGGCCTGTCGGCCACCCATGGCGGGAATACCGTTACCGCCGAGATGCATCAGCTGAACTGCCTCGGACAACTCGTCATATTCACCATTCTCGGGAATCTGCAGGTCAGCAGCACTGAAGCTGTTGTCAAGGCGGGAAGGTGTGGCGAGGTAGTTGCGGATGGATGATCGCTGGGGAGGTGCCTCCAAAATGCCAGCAGTTCGCGCCCGGGGTCTGCTGACAGACGCATGGCTGGCAAAAGCCTGAACGGCGAGATTATGCTGGTGAATCTGGGCCTGTGTGGCGGCAAGTTGCGCGGCAGTTGCAGCGGCGGTTGGCGTCATATTGCCCGAGGGAAGTTGGGAGTAACGGCTTTCATATTCAAGATCCTCGTCATCCGCGTACTTCTCCTTGGCATTGACAGAATATGATCGGAATCTATTATTGTTCTTCATCATCGCCAACTCAGCTAGGAGTGGCGGCAGCGCAGAAGCTTGCTGTTGCTGCTGCTGCATCAAAGCTTCCATCGAGGGACGTGTAAGAGAGGACAACCCCTGTTGAGGGGTCTCCGCAAGGCCCAAGTAATCCAAAGTCTTCACATCGGTGTCCGCGAGTCCATCCCTCGAGAACGCAGAGTGACTGGGCGAAGTCGGCCCTTCCGAAGATCGAATGCTAGTTAAAGTTGTTGCTCTCTCACGGCCCGTCGACCAGTTTGTTGAAAACAATGATGGGCCGAAGGGGCCGCCACCTCCCAAGAAGTTGCTTCTTTGCGGCATCGAGCCAGCTCGAAGGCGAGATAGCGATGCCGGGTTGGGCACACCCGTTGCACTCGCAACCTTCGAACCTGTATCTATACCAGAAACGCCGGGGGGCCTAAAAGGACTAGTTGAGGGTGTTGGTCGTGAGGTTTGCGGCATATAAGGCTGCTGAAGATCCATCTCACTCAGTGTTCCCATTGGAGGGAAACGAGATGGAACCGTTCCAGCGCGAGCTCGGCGGCCAGGGCTGTCCATGGAGCCATTGGTGGTAGGAATCAAATCGGGAAAGCTATCTTGACTCGGCGATTCGGGGATATTCTCGCGGAGCGGGGTTGAATGGCCGCTAGTAGGAGGTCCCCAAATACTGGGAGAAATGCCTTCTTGCGCTTGAATTTCACGGGCTCTGCGAGATGAGTCAAAGGTGTCAGCCAATTGTCGCAGTTTCGTGTCCCACGGAAAGCAAACCTACCGCTTCGAGTAAAGACGTGATGCCAAATCATGAGAAGGGGAGCCAGCCCCCGGCCTCGAACTACCAATGGACCCTGGAGAAGGTCCAAACGGCATTCTTGGGTTCCCAGACCCGGCCAGTTCACTGGGAGAGCTGCGCCCCGTCGAGGTACCCGACATGGGTTGGGTGGTTGGGATGTAATTGAAATTCATCTGACCGTCAGGTCGCGAAACCGGCAACATTATAGATTAACACTTTATGCCTGCAGCAAGGCAGTCCCCAAATCTCTTCCACAGTATAACTTCCGCGCGAATGTGAAAACGGAGCAAGGTCGGAAATTAAATGTAGCTTTGTCGTTCAAAATTGTGGGACAGGGGTCATGGAATAAGGATAGAGTGAAGGATCGAGGACACACTAGAAACACAAGTCGAAATTAGTTGGTGTTCGAAATATGTGTGTTGCTATTGGGGGGTCGCAAAGTGGGAGGGGTCGACAAAGCAATTCCACTAAGTCGAGATGAATCATGCAGATATTACGTACCTAAACCGATGCTTTCCAAATACAAGCACCGCTGGGCAGTGTCGAAGGTCTTTGATGATAATCTCACCGTTTGCTCGGGGTGTATGACAATCTGCGGGTGGCCCAAAGCAATCGAGTTGAGCTAAAGAAAAAAACACAAGTCCTTTTCTATGGTCGTCAAAGGCTCAAAAACACGGCGAATTCACAAGGATGGTCAGGCACAAAGTGCGTCAAGTGAGAAATAAAAAGATGGAAAGGATGATCCGGGTCCAAAGGGATCGAGGTGGCTGGAAGTGAGTTAGTGTTGCGCTCCGAGAGTGTCTTCAACACTAACCGAAAGTTGAATTCACCGTAAGAATGCAGAAAGGCAAAGAAGAAAAAAAAGAGAGGTGAGAAAGAAGTCAAAGGGAGGATGAGAAGGGGAGAGGAAAAGAAGGAGAAGAGATGTTGGGGAGCTGGCCGGATGCCCGAGGAAGATGGCTGTGGTTGGTGGAGGGCCCTCGTTCAGCTTCACCCACAATTCGATTGTTGATTCAGATGAATTTTGGTTTAAAATATGGAATATGATTGAATTGAATGTAATTGGATTCATTTACGTTATTATTCTATGATTGGTTTCATTTTCTATCAAGTTCTGGCATATTCAAGGTGCATAAGTACGTAGACGGACATCTATAAGTACTCACATACTGCGACATGTGTACATTCAAAGCATACGGACATCCAAAAGGGAAGAAATATCGGAAATCGGCAGTTCCTCCAGGCGTTTGGCAATGACACAGCCCCATCGATGTCACTGTTTCAGGCAGACCCCATTCTGGTTAGACATGCTGAGGTAAAAATCTAAAGAGGTATAGAGGTACACGTTTAGGACAGATACAAGACCTTCAATACCCCAGCATTCCCTCTAGAAAAGTCCTATTCAAGGTTCTCTCGAAAGAAATGTGCTCATGGCATGACCCCGAAAAGAGACAAGAGTGGAAACGAAAAAAAGCCCCGCATTCCAGTGCGTCATGCCTCAACGCTTGAATCCTTGACAGGATATGGATGAAGCAGGCTCATCATAAATGTGAGGATATCGTCCTAGTGTACTCCGTATGAGTTATGATGCAATCAGTCATGCAAGGAGAATTGACTGAGGTTTGAAACCACAAAAGACTGTGTTCTGAGTGCGCGCAAGGGATATGGGTCAGGTACGTGTCCTCGTCCCTGTTCTCTACTAGAGGCATCAGGCCTAGAACCCTCTCAGCTTGGTCACCGTGGCTGTGTTAGGGGTGTAAATATCCTAGACTTTATCTGTATATTGCTGCCCTGGAGAACTCCAGAGCGATTTCAGATCTTCAGGGTGTTCGCTAAGCTCCTAGAAGCGTTCGGTACGGCTGGCGGAAGAACCGGGAGGTTCATGGCATCGTGATACATGATATGATGTATTGTCATTCCTACGACAATAGTTGAAGTGGTATCAGTCACTATGCAATGAATGTAGGGCCAAAGGAACCTTCAGAGAAACCTTGTGTCGTTGCTTCAAGGTCGATGTAAACACGTTAGTTAAGACCGTTGGTCAGATCATCATCTACTGGCCTGAGGCACCAATTTTTCTTTCGCGCCACTACCTGTTCAAGCCACTCTCCTTGCCAACTTGCCCACCGCAGTATCTTTCCATCACTTCAACAGCTCATATTTAATCGTGTGGCAAAGTCCACCTTCTATATTCTATAATTTTCCAAATTGGTGCTGATCATTGACACGCGATTTAAGCATAGTTTGTCGCGCGCGCGTCCTCTTTTCGCGTCCGATGCTTAATCGTCCATTTTAAGGCACCTGCCACCCCAGTAACACCATGGCCGACATTATGGAAGAAGACCCATCGTCCGGGCTTCCATCTTCGGAGGAAGAGGAGATGCCCGTCGAGTCATTGGTCAGAGGGCGCGCGAAACGAAGTACCGCAGGACTGCATATGTCTGCCCTCCTTGAAGCCGCTGCGGATGATGACTTGGCGCTCCTATTTGAGGAAGTCGAAGACGATAATGAGTTTGCGGACGTGGCAGACCCCGACGCAGAGGATGACTTGCTTGAATCGTCAGACGAGGATGAAGACCAGGGTCCGAACGCGCAGAACGACTACGAAGGCGAACAGAAACTACAAAAAGACGAGCGCAAGAAGCGCAGAGCCCAGAATGACCTCCGGTTCCAGACCTTGCGCAAACGAGTCAAGATCGATCCGACCGCCCCATCCACCATGTCCGCCGCTCCTCGCCCGAAGAAAAAGTCAGAGCGCATCTCGTGGATTCCCACTGTGGAGGATGGGCCTACTCGGCAGTCATCGCGTCGACAGACCATGGTCAATAAAGAGCTTACGCATGCTCGTCTCAAGGACAGCCAGGAGAAACGAGTCCGCATCATCGCTACAATGAAGGAGGCAGAGAAGCGGAAAGCTCATTTGAAGCCGAAAGAGATGACCCAGGAAGATCATCTTGCGGAGGCTGCAAGAGTGGAACGGCTTAATAGCAAAAGTTTGAATCGCTGGGAACTCTCGGAAAAAAGAAAAGCGGACGAAAGACGAGCGAGGATCGAAGCACTACAAAATCGCCGACTTGATGGTCCGGTGATTTCCTACTGGAGTGGTGTGGCCACATGGACGAACGGGCGTCTCACACGAGTGGGCAAAATCGACATCAAACCAAAGACAGATAAAGAAGAGTCGAGGAAGAAAAAGAAAGAGAAGGAAGATAAAGAAAAGGCTGTGGCAGAGTCAAAGGCCTTGGGGTCTGCAACCATCGTTGAACCCGCCCCTGCCTCTACCACAGGCACATCACAACCGCCACCAAACCTCGACGCAGCTCCAACAAATCCAACAAATCCCGCTCTACCTCCTCCCACCTCCACATTAGACCAAAAGACGCCTGAAAACAAGCCACCCGAAAATGCAGCTGTTACGACTACAGAGACTACAGACACCCCCGTGGTGTCTTCTAGGCCGAATGTCAACCAACCAGATGCAAAATCTCCGGAGACAAAGTCAATCGCGACACCTGCCGAGCAGAGCAAGGATAATGCCGTGGAAATGAAAGCCCCAGAGGTTGACGCAAATACACCAGTAGCACCCTCTGAGCAAGATCAACCCATCACCGCTGAAAGGCAATCCTCGGAGTCGTCTAAACAATCGGAGAGAAAGATGTTTGCTGTGGAAATTCCAGCGTCTCGTCATGTATCAGATTCTGCGGGCAATGGCTCTACTCCAAAATTGCCTGAGCCGTCCCCCACCAAGAACGACGATGCTATGGATATTGATCAACCTCCGGCGGCTGCGGCGGCTGCAGAATCTACCAAGAATGATCAAGAAGTTCCAGAATCAAAAGACCAGGCAATCTTGGCCACTCCGCAGGTTGCTAGTGCCCAACCGACTTCGATAGAGACCCCCACATCACATGCTGCTGGGACGGCCGTACAAGAACCACCGCCAGTGGACGACTCTCGGCCAGTTGAATCAGCCACGGCTATCAGCCCTGGGGTTGCACTGGCCCACAAAGCCCCGGTCACTGCAGCACCTGGTCAAGCCACGGTGCCCGAAAACGCCCCAGTTCAGAGCCTAAACCAACCATCCACGTTACAGTCTGAATCACAACTATCAAATGGAATGGTGAGGGAACCAACAGAACCAGGAATTCCAGAACCCCCTCCAGTGATTGAGCATACGGGGCGCTGCCTTACGATCTTGGAAAACTTTGATTATGCGACCGCCAACCATCGCAAATACAGCATGTACTTCAACGCCAAAAAGCCTGCTCGCTTGACAAGTATGTATCGTTTTGATTCGGTCTTAGGAATTTGTAAAGCTAACCTCGCATAATAGAAATCTCGTCATCGCTCTGCGTCATCACTTCATTGCCATCGCGTTACCGCGATCCAGACACCGCTCTTCCTTATGCCAATTCATACGCATATGGTCAAATCCGTCGTCTGCTGTCGGAAGGGTATATCTGGAGCTCGATGCTTGGATGCTTTGTTGGGCCGGCCGAGGCTGCCCGTGGAGTACCAGAGCGATTTACAGGCAAGCCGGGTCCAGGCACAGTAAAACTGCAGACCGACAAGGCTGAAGGCCAGACCGAGTCTATTACAGGGAAGAGGGTTGACAAGGTGGTTCTCGGCGGGGAGGTACCTTCGACGCCCACCCCGGCCACGACTCGATCAGCGCCTCCAGGGGAGCCAATGGAGATTGATAAAGCATGAGCGATTATTTGTACGATATTTAGTAGATACCCAGATAGAATCCAGACCTAATAGCCCAAACGTCAGCATCACCTCTACTCCACATGGAATGATGGACTTTGTCCAAGATTGCAGACTTTTCATGTTATGATGTATGATGTATTCTATGTTGACAGATGTCATCGGCCCCACTGTGAAAAATCAATCCAAACTCGCCCTGTGATATTCTATACCCCGATCTAGCCTATCCAAGGAACGCATCCGGTACCCGACGGAAAGCAAGCGGGAAAGAGGAAAAAAGACCACAAACAAACGGGTAAGAGGAAGGTTATCTTCTGATGTAAACAGTGAAGAATATGTTCCGGGAATCGTTCTCGAAAGAAAGCCCCGGTTTTCCCCATGGACCCGAAACACGGAAGATCGACGATTAGCACTCGAGCCTGGTCTGGAATGATGCCTAGATAGTCCCACATCTCTCTGACGAGGCCCCTGCAACACCATATCGTAATAGGTAGACGTGTCTTGTGTGTGTGGCACTGTATTCTATCCCCGCAGAGATTCTCGATTATTCCGATCCATTTTTATTGTCGCCGTAGCCGGCAGTTATTCGATTCCCGTGTACGGAGTATAATCTTAAACTACTTTGTACAAATGTAATAAAAAAAAAGAGAAAGGGGTGTAAATAATGAGCGATGATGTATTTCATACCCACCAGTTCACGCCATCTGGGTCTCTTTATATGAAATCTTTAAAAGTCGTCGAGGCATTTATGGCGTCATTTAGAATGTCGCTTCTTCCATGGTATATGGTATGTTGTGCAAAATGCATACTATTAAGTTGCAACTAGATTGTGAGGAATGGTGTTAATCTATCGATCACGCCAGATCCGATCCCCTCCGGAGATATGGTCCCTGCGCTACTGCATGCATATACTTGGAAGTCGATATCTGTGCGTTTTAGAAGGATTAGAAAATGTACAAAGTACCTAATGAAGTAAAAAAGTGGTACAATGCAATGACATTGACAGATCAGATTCTAAGAAGCACTCCATTTTTATAAAACATCAAAAAATACAAAGACCGACTAATTTTGGCCCTGAGGGTGCTCGTCACAAGTGACTCAGCTGGTCTAGATCGGGGGGATTGCGTGTCGAGGGGGGCAAGTACCCTGGGAGTACCTGGGAAGTACCTTGGAAGTACCCACCAAGTACGTTTATGCTGTGGGAGATTGTCAAAAGTGACTTACAAGGTACTTCATCGAGTTTTATTTCCAAAGAGTCTAGACGTGATCGTCTCATCCTACCGCACCAGCACGTTTCCCTTTCTTCTCTTCTCCCTCTATTCTCTCTCTTCAAGGGCTTTTTCTCCCATCCACTTCTATATTTATATATAATTCCAGTTCATTCCCTCCCCCTTTTTAATTCTTCCCGTGTCACCCTTTCTCCTTCAAATGCAACTTTTATAGACTTTTAACTATAGACATTTGGTATGTTACGCCTTATCTAAATGTCCCCTTATCTCTCCCCACTCACAGGCTAAAGATAGCCCTGTTGCATCAAACCATGTCTGTGTCAGATGGCTAACACCTTATCAGCATTGATTTTTTTCTTCACCCCACGTTTCTCAATATACATAACTCCGCTATTTCTTCCATTCTTTTTAAGGAAGCATTTGTATTCCCAATTTCACCGACTCGGCACATTCCAGTTGGGATCAATACTTTGCACACAAATCCCTCAGTCTGTGCTCCCCCAGGGGTCCTTGTGCTCCACACTTGCTCCATCTCGGCTCCAGTCTCGGCGATAGAGTCTTTTCGATAAGATAGTGAGGCATTTGAAAGCCTTCACCGCCACCCATGACTCAAACAGCCCCCTTTCAACGTCGCTCCCCTTCCTCTCCTCATGCCTCTAAGTCCAAGCCTACTCGTCCAGCATTACACCGACGGGGGACATCCGGTGCCAACGTGTCAATCTCTAAATTGGGCTCGGGACAAAAGGGAGCGATCAAACCATCTACGTCTACGGACGATATCGAATTTGACATGGCCAGTTTTTTGAACTTTTGGTATGTGATCGACCCAAAGCTCTTATCTTTGAAACCTGCAGGGATTATTTCCCTCACATGCCTGTTGCCGTCATTTGTGTTCCCATACACCGGTCTTTTCTTGAACATAAAGCTGACCCAAATTCCAGCGCCATGTGTGAGAACCAAATCACTGTTCCCAACAACACTTTGTTATATTGTAGCGAAAGGTACGTGGTAATCCCCTCGGTCTATATTTAGAGCCATTGATCTCCTCTCCTTTTTCCAATTCTTTGTTTGGTACCTGCATCATATCTTCATACTTGAATACTTATCATTTCCTTTCATCTTATATAGTTGCCGCCGCAAAGACTCCTGCAAACCACTCTCAGCATCACTCCCATCCATGTCCTCAATGTCTTCCAACACCACACCACCCACATCTCCCCCTCTCTCTCCACGCACAATCGTGGCCCCATTGACCCCTACCAGGGTGCCAAGCCACTCCATCCCTGCCATGCGGATACCCAGCCACGTGCATGATGCCAAGTCAGATCTTGACCCCACCGAATGGAAGCCCGTATTAGTCCGCAGCGCCTCGTCCCTGGCATCCTCCGACGCATGGAACTATCTCTCCCAGTTCCACCGCGGCACCGGTGAGCCCATGCTCTCCCGCCCTACCGTTCAACGCAGCAGCTCTAGCCTTCCCGCCCTGGCCGGAGGTGTGGCTCACAGCCACAGTCACGTGCCCAGCTTGACGAACACCCCGTCCACCGTGGCCTCGTCCTACAGCAGCACCGCCTCCGACTACCTGGGTAGCATGTACGAGGCTCGGCCGCTGCCCCCTCGTCACAACCCGTACTTTTCCGGCACGAGCGTGACCAAGGGTGTCGAGCTGGTCGTCCCGCACATTGCTTCTGTGCACGAGGATGGCCCCATCGGTGTCTCGGACAGTGGCTCTATCTTCCCTGCCAGCAGTGCTGTGTGGGAAGATAACTCGTATGAGAAACGCTCTGCTCCTATCTGCATGGCGCGGGGAATTGGCGGCCGGCCCGTCGAGACTTGTGTGAAGAACTGAATTGAACAGAGAAAAAAAATGGCCCGTTTGCTGTCTCGAGCTTATATGTGCTCGTTGTTTTTTCTTTCTTTGTTCCCTTCCGGTTTATTTCTTCCCCGTGCTTGTTCTCTTTCTTCCTTTCTTTGAATTCTGGGTCCGAGCGAGGTGTGGCTCTTGAGCGTCGAAAATGATATGATCTGATGGATTTTGCTCTTTATTTTATTCCCTACTATCTATCACACCAGCGAATATAGATTTCTTAATGCGGATATTTCTGGTATCTAGATCCAATGAACCTTTTGGAATTATTTTCAATCTCTCCACCTAGATTAAGTAAATTAAGCAATGCCAATCTAGATCTGTAATTCAAGCTTATTTATTTGTGGATACCTCTGCCAACAGATCTAAGGTGCTTATCTGCTGTACTTTGTACATGTGCACCGTATGCATGCAATGCACCATGTGGTTTAATTCAAGCTGATAAGTCAGTGGCTGGAATTAAGGGTACTAGTCTTTTTCAGTCTACGACCTCAGTGTACTTTGACTCTAGTTTCAACTCTAGTCCAATGAACAAACAAAAAGAAATAAATGTCTTCTAAGAAAGCCGGGCAATAACTAAAATATCAACCAAGAACCTCCCAAAGAAGCAGAAGAATCGAAACAATGAGACCTTCGAGATCCATTTCATCTAACCCATGAACAATAGAGACACCAAATAACCCCATCTCTCACAGGCCAATAACTCCAACATCTATACCCAGCCCCTAGAAATCAGAAGTAAAGCAGCACATATAGCACCCCTTAGCTGGCTTATAGACAGCCAAAGACTAGAAAGAAAAAGCATTAGCAAATCCATATATCCACAGATATCACATAACTAAGATATATATCTATGTCATACATATCTCATACGCAGAAAAGAAAGAAAACTCACATAAGGCTTCGCACACTTCGCATCACTCTCATCCGCAAAACACTTCCCCACACAGAAAGTATTCCCCTCATCCTTTCCATGCTTCGGGCTAGTGAAGAGAGGAGGAGGCGCGACGTTCGAATCAGGTCGTAGCGGGTCAATTGGTGCAATACCGCCCGATGCTCCAGCCGAGACGTCCTCACCCTCTGGGCTCACGGGGGGTGCATGGTACCGAGAGGAGTCCCAGGATTGCTCCTGGGGTGCGGATTCCGGGACTTGAGGAGCTGGGGCCTCGTGGACCGGTGTAGCAAATGGCTTCGAGGCAGCCGGGCTTGGGTAATTGTAAGCGTACCCGGGAGCCGGGGCCTGGGCTTGAGACGGAGCAACGGCTGTTTGGGAAGGTCGCACCACGAATGTGCTGTGGGTCAGAGGGGTTGGCGATGAAGCTGGGGCTTCGATTGGGGTGTGGGGACTTGGGATGGTGTCTTGATAGTTGTCGTATTCATCGTCATAATTGCCATAATTGATATTTCCGTTGGGGTTGTAGTTTTGGCCCTGATTCTGATTCTGGGTTTGGTCGTTGTCCTGGCCTCCGTTGATGTTTTTGAGGTATTCTAGTTCCTCTGGGCTTGGGCCGAATTGTGCCGAAGCTAGAGAGGCGCTGAGAAGGAGGAGGGCGGAAAGATGCATGTTTAAATTGGTCTTTTTGGGTTTCTTTGCTTCAGTCTTTTTTTCTGTGTTTTGATGTGTATAAATGGCGGCTGGTTGTCGTTTGTCGAGATGGTCGTTTTTGTCGAAGGCGGGTGTACACTCTACGCGCGGGATGAGGGTTAGTTATCAATATTCGACGCGTATGTTGGGAATGGAGGGTTGTTTGTAGGTGTTGCGTTGGTGGCATTTTTGGGTGGCTGTGGAATGTGGAATTTGTATACATTGGCATGCATAACTGCTATGACATGGTGTATGAATTAGCTAAGCCAACGATTCTCCCGAGGTCGAATTAAGAAATTAGTCCATTGGTTTTGTGTAGTTATTAAGTCTGATTCCGATCTGGCGAGAGGTATAAGTTTTGCTCATCATGTCTGCATACCGACATTCGCGGAAGTGGATTGATAAAGAAGACAATCCAGTCGGTGTCACGGGCGTAAATTTAAGTCAATAAAGTTCACATCCGTGCCCCTGAAGATATCGTTGTAAAAGACACTTGTGCCCAGGCAATAGATCATCAGTAAGCATTACAATAACATTAGAATGTTTAGGTAGCATCCATCGATGTAAGGTTATTGATGTCCATGGTACAACAAACTTAACCTAAAATCAATGTCGAATCTCACGGTCACCTGCCCAGTCCACCTGGACAGGGGGCACCTGTCATGTTAACGTAAGGGTTTTACGTAAGGCTTCCAGATTTTTGCGCCTGGACAGACTCGGGACCGGACTGGGATTGATGCTCTGAGAGGCAGAGACTGCAAAGCTAGCACATGGTTATGATGAGCCACTGACTCATTCTCGCTGTCCCCCTCACTGTAGGTAACCTAGGGTCTCGTTGAGTGAGAACATGTTCCTTCTAGGTTGTGTAAGCGATAGCAGATCTGCTAGCCATGTAAATGCATTTCCCCTTGATCCTGCCGTGACCTGAATAACAATGAATCGTCTACAAAAGAAAACATTGTGCATGCAAAGAGACATAGGCGACCTCTGTTTAGTAGGTGAGCAGACGGTGTCACATGAGTCAATGGGTGGCTGAACCAAGAACATTTGTGGCCACTGACGCATGGATCCCCATCAAGTATTGACTCCCATATAATCCTTGAAGGTTACACTGCACACAGGGTAACAGGTCCCTATACCAAGAGCAATAACAAGGGAGATAGCAAGAGCAATAGCAAGAGCATTGCTCCGTATTCTGTTGTTAGTGTTGATTTCAGCCACTACATTGATGGTCAGCAGTGAAATCTAGGCCCTGAAGAAGATCCATCCCGGCCCGATCACAGGGCATTCTCTCGAGCCTTCACATCCACGGGAACTTCCAACAAATGCTAACACCTTCGCGTATTGGCGGAGCACAGTCCGGACTCCAAATTCCTCATGAACCTTCAGTGTACATTGTAGAACGCAAGTCTGACGCTCGTTGTGTATTTCAATATTGGCGTGCCGGTGGAGCCCCCCAATAACCTCGCCAGGAACTATTTTCCACGTTATGGGTGGGTCTGGGATAGGGCTTTACCTTGGCTTTCCATCCCCCTGGAAAAGGAAACTGCAGACCTCGACCTTCCATATGGTGGCTGCTTGTGTCCTCTTAGGGAGAAATGGCAACTGGAAAAGTCTAGAGGTGTACTCTGGAGATGAGGCTGTGCCCAGAAAATGTCTGGTATCACTTGGTGGCAGGGATCCCTACTTGGAAGGTCAGGTGTCGAACCTAATCCATCTCGTCTTCGGAGTCAGTAGACCTCGCATCCGCCTCTCACTCATATCTCATACCTCATATCCATCCCGCCACCATAAATTTCCGTCACCGACAAGGAACCCTCATATTGACGGGCAAACGACCACAGGAAGAACCTACCTCAGTGATGCATCGAGCTAACCAAATGGGGTAGCTTCCAATCTTGGAAATTTACCGACCGTGTGGTGTAACGACTGACTCGGACAGATGGATGCCACCCACAAGTTGCAGCGGATGATGAAAGCGTTGCTTGTCTTCAGGGTGCCTAGCAAACACGACGACACGTTTTCACTGCGCACAGAGCAACCGTCGATGCCCATCACGACCCCCATCGAAAGCCAGACAACGCCACGGCAATCTTCGACATAGCCTAGATGAAATGGCCTCGAATCACCGATCGATGCTCCCCTTATCGTGTCTGGCTCGGATGATCACAGCGTTCTTTACCCTGTGAGCATGAGACCCGTGCTCACGTTGACGTCCGACCCGAAGACAGTCTTCAGACACGGGCTTTCCATGGCTTGCAAGATTAACAGACATCATTCCCCTTTGACCCGAACCGACTTGAAATCACACACACTGCATCACTAATTCACAAAGACGACCCACGACGACGTCCACGAAGAATGGCTTGCTGACGGTGACGGTGTCCATGGCCCCACTGCACTACAAGTCACTTACTTTCGTTCCCATCCCCGTTCCTATCCCCGTTCCCGTTCCCGTCCCACGAAACATCTTCATCAAGCCCACATACCCCATAAATACCCCGCAAAATATCCCAGAGGCGATGGCGGAAACAGATGGGATGATCCACCGGACTCAACACATGGCGTAATGCGGCACTAAAGACCTGTTCCGTATGGCCAATAAAAGCGTTGGTATAAAGGATAGGTGCCACATCACGCTCCCAGATAAGGACATAAGGGGGCGAACTGGCCCTCCCATCCACCCGCGTCCATAACCCCCATAACTGGATGGCTATGTCATTGTAGCCCCTGTTCTGTTTTGTATGGCCAAGAACCGATGCCTAGACGGTCTCGTAAGACATTCGAGGCGTGATTCTCAACTTTCAAATCCTTCGGGAGTCGTCGTACCGGGAACGAGATCTGGCGAGATGAGCCAGCCGTACTACTTCATGGGTGCGGTCGGGTGTATGGTAATGTGTCCAGCGCGAGTATAGGAGATTTCATTGCCAGCAGACGAGAAGGAGATGGAACAGGGAGCTGGAATCGTCTCGACGTTGGAGAAACGGTATGCGGCGCTAACAAAGGGTCCTAAGCGGAAAGAGCACGTCAGCATGGTGTTTTTGTGAGAGCTGTATCCTGCTCAGACAAGACAGAAAGAACTCGACCTCTCAAATGTGTCTCATTCGCGCGAGAGAAAACAGAACTCGGTCCCAACGATGTCCAAGAGAACCGTTCGGGTTGGGAGTTGATGAAACAACATTTCTGCAGAGTGTCAACAAGCAGTATTCAAAACTCCAGCTTCGAGGTATAGTGAGAGATCCAAGCGTTTGGACGAGTCATCGAGATGGGGCATCGAATTTCATCTTAACTAAGACTTGCAGTCAGTTTTCTCGCAGTTAGTTCGAGTCCACCCGGAGAGTCCTAGCGGTCCCAATTGGCTCCTGTCTCCCGGGGTCTATCTGGAACAGTGGAACATGAGTGTGCAAAGCGATACCACTGCACCACTCCACAAAGAAACTACTTTGGACAGGAAGTCCAAAGTCACCACAGATGCAAGAATGTCTTTTGCCTCTTTGGAATCAAGGTTTCATCCGGCTGAAGGGAGATATCGGGAAATCCGAACACAAATGCGAAGATCAATCTGAATACATGGCCTTCAACTTCACATCATTGTTCCAGCAACCCAACAGGACCAAAGCTCACAGTGCAAAAGCCTAGCGGAAAAAATAATAATAGGAAGACATTAGCTTGGGTTGGTCCAGATATGATGATTGAACGTTCTTCCTGGAGACAACGATTGGCTGGTACTTTTATCCGGGGGGCCGATTCGATGTTTTAACAACCATGAACAACTACAATGCCATTCTTTGAATTTTTTTTGGAATCTTTTCTTTATTCCAACGAAATTCTGAAATTATCAAGTGAATGTTAACCCAAGGCAGCCCTTGAGAGCCCTAACTTGGAAGTATAGCAGGATTTATATCTCTGGCTCCAATTCCTGTTTGGGGTCGGCTTTGTACCGAAGGTATTCTCCCCGAACGCCCTTAGGTACCCTCAAGTTCCTTTAAAAGGTCCCACCTTTCTCTCTTCGACCTCTCGAGTTTCATCCTCGAACCATATCTCCTAACTTCTCTACGAATTCTATGTATAAGCCTCTCTTCCTCCAAGTCGGCTCACACTTTCCTATAAACACGTATGGCCGACCGCTCTGTGCCCCCAACCCCTCATACCATGTCAATGTGCATACTTCACGCTCTTAGGCCCTTTGTCACAGCCTTCCATTAGAATCGATCGATTTCCACCCCTCAAAATACCCCTGTAGTCTGGTTGCTAACTGCTATGAAGTTGTGGTATTCTACAGGTAGACACAGGTCGGATACCAGTGACTCCCCATCTGATCAGCTTCAAGCAACGATAGCCAAAGAGCCATCAAAAGCCTCTTTCCACATAGGAGCAGAACCCCTGATCCAGTCCAAACCCCTTAAGATGTCAGACCGCACCACAGCAAACTCCACAAACGGCCAAGGAGGCCCAGGAGACCACAACGGAAACCGCCAGACCGAGTCGGCCAGCGAGAATGCAGCAAGGTGAGTAGTCATCTTTCCCCATCCACCCGAATTGCAAACGACCTCCTCTATTCTCTCTTACCTTTCACTCTCTCTCTCTCTCTCTCTCTCTCTCTCTCTCTCTTTCAAACACACACAAACACTCTCTCTCTCCCCAAACGCAACTTCCTTGCCCCCCCGTAAACAAATCCCCTGACGACAACCCTTAAAATGACCGAAAGCTGAGATCTCGTGACCTCCCCACCAGCCTAAACAACGAACACAACAACGACTCATCTCAGCGCTGCCAGCATATCTGCCAGCAGCAACTCGACTTGGACTACTACCGGAAGTTCCTGGAAGACTTGTTCGTCGTCGTGCGCGATGCTAATAGCGATTCTGTCGCTCGGCTGATCTCGCTCATTCGCTCTGGGGCGTCGAACGAGGAGATCCACAGCGCCCTTCAACGCGTTCAGGCCGACAGCTGAATATCACAACTCCTCGGTATTCGACCTTGCAATGAGGACCTGCGCTGTGGTTCATGACTTTCGGCGAATTTGCCTTTCTGTTTCTTGAAGTGTGGCGCAGTGGATTCCAAGGTTGAAATGAGGGGAGTTGTTTGAGGAAAATCGTGAACGATTCATGCATATCATGCATATTGATGTCTTCTAGAGGAACAATCATGAGAGTGCCCTTGAAATTTTTTTTTTGCCTTCTTGGAAAAGACATAAGACGAATCAAATCCTGCAAATCGAGTGGTAGTCGATATAGCTCACGATGCCTTTTTTTTTTCCCTTTTTTCCTTTTTCTCATTTTTGTGCTTTTGTCTTTTTTTTTCCCTTTCAGATCCATTTTCCTTTCTGGGTAGCTTGCGCTACTGGATTCGAATGGGCGTGGTGTGTTATTGTCACATGTCATATCGCCCTAGTATTGTCCAGGTATGCATGAATAGGGTGGAAAAGGAAAAATGTTGACGTTCGTCCGACTCAAAGAGCAAGAAGAAAAAAGGAAAAGAAAAGTACTTGTACCCAGTGGCAATGACCGGAGGCGGTGCTGAGCTAATAGCTATGATCTCGTTGATATGCCTCAAGACGCCCAGGATGTGTCAAGTTGAAGATACCTACCATATACCGGTATGAGAAGTGAAATACGGGCCAATAGTGACAGCATCAGCTTGCCACTAGCCCAAACTATGTGGGACCCGATGCAAGCCCATCGACCAGTGAATGGGGAAATGTCATCCACGGGCGACGGGACAAATCAAAAGAACATCAAAACGGGGGGAAAGGATGCGAATACTAAGATCGACGGGTTAAACAACGCGATGGGGACGAGTTGCGGTTGTGCCAGAACGTTGGAAAGAGAGAGAGAGAAATGGTGGAGATACATACGCCGTCGACGTTGCGCGCGTCTATACGATTTACGCCAAAATACGAACAAACACGGTTTTATTCTCTCACTTCCTCGAGACATTGGAAAACGGAATCCACGGTGTTGGACTAGGGCTGTTTAGGGCGAAGGGGCTCGAGTGGAATGGGAATGCCTGTGGGCTCACGGATTCTATCTCCGTGTGGTTTCGAGCAATGGAAGCCCAGGATGTAGTGGATCACCCTTGCGCTGCGCGCTTCGATCCCTGTAGACCGAGACGTTCTGCTTCTCTCTTACGATTTGCTAGAGATATCTCCAGGCTTTGGTCTGGTTTTGAAAAGAGAATGTACTAACTCAATGTCGGAGATCGATTCATCCTTGCTCTCTATCCATCTCAGTTCCTGTAGACGGAGAGAGAGAGGGAGAGACCGGAACTCTCTTCCTCTATCTCACTCCCCTGTCCTAGAGACAATAGTGACAAGAGGTCCAAGTCCCTGTTCATTTCCTTTTGAAAGAAAATTCAGTACTAACCCATCTTCCATTGTTGACTGTGGGAGATGGTGAGAAGAGGCGGACCAGGGACAGGGTTTGCCGCGACCCGGAGCGACTACGACACCACGCCGATTCGATCCCCCCATGCCCATGACCAGACTCCGTCCATCTCGATCTCAATTCCGATGTTTTTCTATACGAAAATGACAAATCCCATATCTCATCCTCAATCACAGCCAGCCGTAACGATACCCGTTCCCCACTGATCGCAACCCTGGTTCGCGGCAGATCAGCATCACCAGACCAGACCAGACGAACGGTTCCCATCCATCGGGCTAGCTTTGGTCGTTTTAGCTGATAGCCAAATCTAAATTCATCTCCAAACCCAACGCCGTAGCTAACGCCAACACCAATCCCATCCAATGCCAATCCCAAAGTCAACGCCATTCCAACCAACGAGAAATCTAAAATCCAAAATCGATATCAACGCCAAACCCCACCTTCCCTTCGCCGGTCAGGGGGCAATAGAGACGCAGAACGCATGACAGATCGTGTCACATCGCGCACGAACGGCCGTGTTTCAAATCCAGCTAAACTTCTATGCAGACGGGACTCGGTTTGAGGCTGTGTACGCATGCATGCATCCGTTTTGGTTGGTCTTGAAATCCCAGGTGCCAGGGTCTTGGGCTAGGTTTCAATAGCAACGGCAGCGGATCTAGGAGTCGGGATTTGGGATTTGAGATTTTTGGGGTTGGAAATTATCTTCTGGGGAATCCCTATATGCGGAAGACTGCTTATCGGTGGACTGGACATATATGCTCAGATGAGAGTATCGAAGATTGGTGTTGTCTAGGGGCTATATAGTGTGTGTGTGTGTACAGTGTCAGTGGTCATCAGTTCAAAGAAGCTTACAAGGTATGGCAGGCCTCGGTCAATATCCGTGCTTTCAAGACAAGCCAAATCTACGTGAATACTAATACTGCGTACCAGGGTACGTAACATAGAAACAGAATCATTTTTAATTGATCTTTGAAGGAAATCTCATTCTTCATCCATTGTAGCACCCATGCCACATTCCCGTACCTATCGTGATGCTTACATATAACTTTTGTTTTCACATATCTAAGGAGTGCAACGGCCGGTGTACCGGGGGTACAGTGAGCAGTCACGGACGGTATAACGAGCGCACAGCCAGGCCAAGAAACGCTCGAGACCGAGTCCGTAGCCACCGTGAGGGGAGGTACCATACCTATTGTTCCAGTGTTAGTATGGACGAAAAGGGAAAAAAAAAGATAGGAGGAAATGCGAGATATCAAAACTTACTTGCGCTGGTCAGTGTACCAGTAGTAGGGCGAGGGGTCCATACCCTCGTGCTTGTAGGCGGCCATCAGCTCATCCCAGTTGTCCATTCTCATACTACCTCCGACAATCTCGCCAACACCGGGCATGAGCACGTCGACACTCTCAGTGACACGGCGGTCCTCGGGATCCTTCTTCATGTAGAAGGCCTTGATATCGGCGGGGAAGTGAGTGAGGAAGATAGGCTGGTTGATGATATCGGTCATGCGACGCTCAGCAGCCTCGGCAATATCGTCACCGAACTGGTGGGGCTGGCCCTCCTCGTTGGGGATTTCGTGCTCGATCAGCCACTGGATAGCATCGTCGTACTTCATGCGGCGGAAGGGACGGGACGGGCGCTTGAAGTCCGGGTTGAGCTGCTTGATATATCCGGCGATCTCGGGCTCAGCCAGAGTGTAGTCAATCACGCGGCAGATGATATCCTCGAGGTGGTCGAGCAGATCAGTGAAGGTGATGAAGTCCAACTCGGCTTCGATGTGCGTGTACTCCGACAGGTGGCGACGGGTCAACGACTTCTCGGCACGGAAAGACGGGCACACACAGAACACGTCACCCAGAGAGGGGAGACATGTCTCGAGGTACAGCTGCGAGGACTGGGTCAGGTAGGCGTTCTCGCCGTAGTAGTCGAATCCGAACAGAGTGCTGCCACCCTCGACCTGGGTCTGCACCATGGCGGGAGGGGTCACCTCCAGCATGCGGGTCTCCTCGAAGGCCTTGCGGAAAGCACGCAGAGTAGCGGCGCGCACCTTCATGACGGAAGAGGAGGTCTCACCGCGCAGAACCAAGTGGCGGTTGTCGTAGAGAGTCTGCGGGTCGGCGTCCGGCGCCACACGCGTGGTAATAGCCTCCTTGTCACCAGCGGCCTTGCCGATGATCTCGAAGAAGTCGGCGTGCAGCTCGCGGTCGTTGGGCGCATGCTGCTTGGGGGGCACGGCGCGCATCTCACCGTGGATGGACATGGAAGTTTCGAGGGTGAGAGTCATGATGTCGTAGGTCTTGACCATGTCGCCGGTCAGGACACACTGCAGGTAACCATAGCCGTCAGTGAGAGTGATGAAAACGACATCCTTCTGCGCGCGGGCGCGGTGAACTCGGCCCAGAACGCGAACTCGGGTGCCGGCCTCATCGGACTCGGGAGTGCGCAGCTTGATGGTGGCCGGGTCAGTGACATCCAGACGAACGCGCACGGGCTTAGGCAGCGAGCTGTCCTCCTTGATCACGATCTTCTTGGCTTCCTCAAGGACCTTCTGGCGCTTGTCGGCCTCGGCCTTCTCACGGATGGCCAATTCCTGTTCCTTGGCGGCCTTCTTCTTGCGCTGCTCCCAGAGGTTGTTGGCCTTCTTCATTGCCGACTTGGTGGCGGGCTTCCACTCCAATTTGGCTGCGGGGTCGACATCCTCACCGGCGGCGTCGGTCTGGGACTTGCGTGTGAGGTACTGGATTCCTTCAGTGGTGGGGGGGTGTTCCACGTAGGCGTGGACGAGGGTCTTGTAGGGGGCAGTCTCGGTGCCGGTGGCGGGGGACTCGTCTCTGCCGACGTCTTCGTCGATGTAGATGGTGGTGGACGCCATGGCGTTTGGTCTAGTCCTTGCAGACCGAGGCTGTGATTGATTGAGGTGCGGGAGAGTTCTGTGGGAGAGATAATTAATATAGGGTCTAATCTGTGAGTCATACACTGTAAGGCTAAAGGAATCCAGGCAGGACAGATTAGAATGTGACAAAGAGCAGGCCTTACCTGATAACGCAGAGAATGGAACTCTTATCTCTTCCCAATTGCAAGTTGTCCAAGGGAGGAATCGCACATTGCGGTAGAGGGGTAAATTTCCGATAGATGCGGGATTCCCCACGGGTGCCTGAGGCATTCATCGGATTGTATATCTCGGACATCTTTCGGAGTATATTCTAAGGTCATGAGGCTATGGTCTAAGGCAGCTTTATTCACAATTATTAGATATTGAACGTGTAAACATGGACTATAATCTGATTTGAATCCATTTATCTATATTATTCTATTGCTCTCATCCACAAAATGTATATTGTATAGTATATCTGTGCTTATAGTATACCAAGGGATATACCATTTGAAGCAGATCGGCATTTTAGATTCTTCCACGAGTCAAGTCAGAACCTTACCTATGTACTCCGTACTCCGTACTCTATCGCTCTCTCCTATTTAGTCTGTACTCATGACATAGCTCACATGGGATATTGCAGTTGTCATGGGTAGATGTATAAAGGAGGTCACGGGACCTAGCCTATGTACATATTT